AAGTCTTCTTATTCCGATTAATAGTTAATTTGATAACAATATGTTTATTTACTCGACTTTTAATCCTTCACACAACCAACTACAATGCATCTAAAAATGTTAACTCAAGTCAAGGCTCGACTTTATTTTATGAAGTTTCATGAATGATAATTTTTGTTCAGTTGTTCATTGAAACGATACAATTTTACTTACGTAACCGCCTTAATTCCTACCGCACTGAAGGAGTAGAGAAAAGTCATCTGGTCTTTTTCCTTCCTATCAGGACGGGCTTTTAGTAGATGATTGTTTATTGGAGAACTATATTTGTCCTCTCTGTTATCTGTGTTGTGTCTGTGTATCGAACAACACGACGTGATACAATTCCCTTCGATTATAATGCATTATTATAATTCTACGCATGGAAATTATTCACTTTCGGGTTGTGTTCTTTAAATCACGATTGGTTACTTAATTCGTCAACAACTATATCGAAGTCAACTCCCACGACACCTTGGTACTTTTATGTGAAATATTCGAATATAGTTACGCGTTAGCGAAAACACCTCGATCATAAAAGACACGGAAATTCCTGGTAAAATAATTACAATTTGAATTTGAATTAAGTAAAAGGAATTTCTTAAATCGGTATCAGAGATAATTAAGGTAATCATCTCTTATATTTAACGTCTGCCCAAATCTAGTTGCCCGTGGCGAACCCTTTTGAATCGGCCGAATCTCACAGACGGTCGACTTCGCGATGAACCGATTAGCACGAAGAACTACCGCGAAGAAGCAAAATGTCATCGGTTCACACAAGTTTTAATACAAACAATTGAGGTCGGAGTGTGGTAAAATTGGAAGAGGTGGAATCGAAAAATGAAGAAATGAATTATAATTTCTTAATCATTTCTGATGAATCCCAGAATTTCTTTAATGCTATTGAACTCTGTTACAGTGCAACAGAGCTTAGCTCATCATTTTAGTTACCAGGTTGGATTGGCAACTTGACTTTTATAAGTAATATTTTTACAGAAACGTTGACGTTTCTTATTTCCTTCAACAAACTCATGTTTGGTCATTGACGCAATAAGAGTCTTGAAGCTTCTATTATCAAGCTAATTTATGAGCATTCTTTTAATTCTCTTTTAATTCATCATTTTTGAAATGATTCTATTGTAATGAATGATTCGAATCAATAGGGAATAATAGGAAAGGGATAATACTCTATGAATGTAGTAAAACCAACGCGAACACAATGCAACTGCATTTGTCGAACCGTATGCTAGATTCTTACCGTTATAATTTAATATTCATAAAAATTTAATACTATTTCTGGAATAAAATTGCAATGATTTTATCAGGAATTAATTAATAATAATTTGGACTAATTAATAATGCTGAACCTGTATTTTTGAAAGAACTTGCGAAATGCTTTTTTTAAAATAAAAGACCATTCAACAAAAAGGAAATGTTGACGCAATAACTTTTCTCATCCTTATTTCGAAATCACAAATTGGCAATAGTCGAAAAACTTGTTTCAACACTTTCTGAAAACAGCACTTTTTATAACATGAATGGGGTTGATAATTACGTGATATATATACATATATATATATATATATGTATATTTACAGAAATGAGTACAAATACGTGTACGCAAGTATTCACGCAAAAATTAATGGGGATCCGAATTTCCAAAGTATGGGCTTAAAAATGAAAAATATTACGGTACCCAAATGGTTCGTAACATCAAATTTAACAATTTTTTTAGCCTTGCCCGGTCGTGGACAAACAATTTTTTTTTCAATATTTTCGGTATTTTTTTAAATTTTCAAAATTTTGGAATTTTTTTTTTCAAATATCGCACATTTTTTATATGCTATATATACATTTATTTATTTTTGATGCGCTGATTATGAAAATCATAGTGAAAATATACCTGTAAATTTGATATTGATATCGAAAACAATGAAAAAAAGTCTCAAAATTTATGACTTTCAAAAATATCGGAAATGCAATAGGTAAATTTATAAATGTTTTAAAACTGATGATCAGGGTCTCTTCATTTTTTTCTATTTGAAAAAAAAAATTAATTTAAATACACTAACTTTTTAACATTACCTTTTGTTAAAAAAAAAAAAATTGATATACTATGTGTTTTAAAATTGGACAGAGAGCCCTGTTTACATAAACAGTAAGGAAGTAAATTTTTTTTTTATTTTTAATTTTTATTTTTAGATGAACGATTAAGAGATTGGTTTTTTATGAATAGCATTTGGTATCCATTTACAATTATATTAACCTATTTAATAACGGTATTTATATTGGCACCATATTATATGAAAAATCGACCAGCCTACAAATTAAATACATACATTAAATGTTACAATTTATTTCAAATTATTTCAAATGCCTACATAGCAATAAATGTTTCATTTTGCTATTCATTTAGTCTTGCTTTTGATTGTATTCCCATTAATTACAATAAAGATCCTTGCAGTATGTTGGTATGTTTTTTGACTTTTAAATAAATAAAAAAAATAACATAATATTTATTAGTAATATTTTTTTTTTGCATTACGATTTCAGATAGTAAAATGTGGTTATATTGGAATGTGGCTAAAAATGATTGATCTCAGTGAAACAGTAATTTATATACTTCGAAAGAAAAATAATCAGGTTTCATTTTTACACTTATACCATCATTTAAGTACCTATTTATTTGCAGCAATTTTTCCAAGTTATTTAAGTATAGAAATTGTTATATTGACACCAATTTTAAATTGTTCTGTTCATGTGATAATGTATTTTTACTATTTTCTGAGTAATTTTGAAGGACCAATTAAAAAAATGATCATTCCATTCAAACGCTATTTGACCCTTATACAAATGGTAATTAACAAAATTTCAATAAATTACTGTTTTTCAAATGTGTTTGGAAATATTGATGATTTATTAATTTTATTGATTCAATAATAAAACTAATGAATTGTTTTTAATGTTCCATTTCGAATGGATAATATATATTTAATAACTTATTTAATTGAAAAAATATTTTTAATTGTTTCAGGTCCAATTTATCATTATAATTATGCAGCTCTTTATTTTCCTCATTAAAAACTGTGGTTTACCAAAACGTTTGATCGCTGTAATGTGGCTGAATGTTATATTCAATTTTTGGTTGTTCTATCGCTTTTACAAAAAAACTTACATTGATATAAAAAAGAAAAATTAAGATTTATATATATTTCGTAACAAGGCATTTTGTCGGGTACAATTTAAAATAAAATAAATTATTAAAAATTTAATAAATAAACGACACCAAAGTGATAATCCAGCCATAATGACTGTAAAATTTTAAACTTATATATACATTAAATTTATTATTAAATTATCATAATGAGATTTCGCCGCCGCCGCTGATTCAGTAATTTTGACAAGGATGGGTCATTCCATGTCAAGTGTACCCAACCCATATTTTTGACAAGGTTATAGGTAAGGGTTAGCAAACCCATGTTTTTGACATAGATAGTACAATGGTTGATTACACTTGATATGGAATGACCCAATAGGAATATAGCCGAAAGCCCCCCCCCTCTCCTCTCCCTCGCAAAAAATGACCTAAATTTTGAGGTTATGTTAGTTTCAAGACTTTCAATATAGCTGCAAGTGGAGATGGATTTCCCGCCAAAAATGACCTGAATATAAAGGTTATGTTCGTTTTAAGACTGTGAATTTAGTCGCTAACCGCCCTACCCCTTCCATACCTTGAAGGGGAGGTGGATTTTCCGCCGAAATTAAATTATATTTTAAAGTTAAGTTATTTTTGCGGGAAACGAGCAAGAAACAAAAATAACCTAAAAATTTAGGCCAAAATTTGGCGCAAAAAAAAGAAGAAACAAACATAACCTCAAAATTTAGGTTAAAATATTGTTTTTGTAGATGTTTGAGTTAAAGTTTGGTCAATTTCTGTAATTTAAAACTATTATTAATATTTTATCATTTATTTCTTTAAATGTTATTTACGATTTTTATTAACAATAATTTTTATTATTTTCAATTTTTAAAACAAAATTTATCTAATTTTCTAAATTTTCCAGCAAAAATTTGACCTACATTTAAGGTTATGTTCATTTTTTGGTCATTTTCCTTCAAAGTTTGACGTAAATTTTGAGGATATATTTGTTCCTTTGTCTTTTTGAGCCAAATTTTGGCCTAAATTTTGAGGTTATGTTTGTTTCTTGGTCGTTTCCCGACAAAATAACTTAACCTTAAAATTTAGTTCAATTTCAGCGGAAAATTCACCTCTCCTTCAACGTAAGGAAGGGGGGGGGGCTTGCGACTATATTCACAGTCTTGAAACCAACATAACCTTTAAATTCAGGTCATTTTTGGCGGGAAATCCACCTTTACTTGCTGCTCTATTCAGAGTCTTGAAGCGAATATAAACCTCAAAATTTATGTCATTTTTGGCGGGAAATAAGAAGAGAGGGGACGACTTCCGGCCCTATTTAGTTTTGAAACGAACATAGCCTTTAAATTTATGTCATTTTTGTCGGGATAATAAGAAAGTAGTTTTTGCAAAGATGAAAATTTCGTTGATCAAAGATACAAATTTTAAAAATATAGTTTTAAGAGGTTGTAAAAATTATTCGTTTGAATAAATGAAATATATTTATCTACACGATCTACATGAAATTTTAAGTTCAATTTTTTTTTTAATCCTAAATCTAAACCCTTGAAAAAATGCTTACGTAATACTTGAATAAATCCCAAATTAATAATAATAAATTTTTAAAAAATACAGATTAATTATTTGCTGAAAATATAATTAATATTTTATTAATATATAATATTCTATAACTAAATATACATATTTCAAATACAATAAGAGTTCTAGTATAAATAAAAATTCTAATATAAACGAATTTTAATGTTGATTTTGTCATTTGAAATTTGTAAAATAGATTAAACGACGTTAAGATTTATAATAGAGAGTGGGAGACAGGCGTGCGTATCATTTTTTTTTCACCGTGCATTCAATGCACTATTTCATAACCTTAGGATGAATTAGCGATTTAAAAATATTAACAGTAACTACTGTGGTGATTTTATAGTTTGGTGTTTACAAAAACTTTTTATATCATATAACATTTTTAATTTTTGTTTTTAAATTTCTCAAATTTTACAAAATATACAATTTTCAAAAATGAGTGTAATGGAAACTGTTAATTATTATTATTACGACTTAGCTGGTAAGTTTATAATGTTTTTTCGCATTATTTACTAAATTGATTTAGTAATAAATATTACTTTTTTGACTTAGTAATTTTTAGTATAATATTACTATTTAAATTAGAAATCACAGAAAATTAAAAGGCATTAAAATAAACTGCAACGCTTATTATTTTAATTCAATTTTGCTTATTTTAATACCAAAATATGGATTAAAATAAGCAAAATTGGATTAAAATAATAAGCGTTGCAGCTTATTTTAATGTCTTTTAATTTTCTGTGAATTTTATTTTTACTAGTTTAAATTTAAAAATTTATTTAGAATTAAATAAATCATTGTTAATGTTTCTTGCACTGTTATAAAAAAAAAAGAAAACAAAAAAAATATTATTTTAAATGGCGTAAAAATTTTTCAGATCCTCGAATAAGAGATTGGTTTTTATTGAATAGTATTTGGTATCCAATTATAATAATATTAGCCTATATTGTTATTGCATTTAAATTAGCACCAGCTTACATGAAAAATAGACCGGCTTACAAATTAAATACATTTATTAAATGTTATAATTTATTTCAAGTAATTCTAAATGCATATATTGTGAAAGAATTGGTGCCCTGTTATTCGTTTCTTCGTTTTTTTGAATGTCGACCTATAGAATACACAATTGATGCTTGTGGATTAACGGTACGTATATATATATATTTTTTTTTTTTGAGACGCAAAAAATTAATTCTTTTGAATTTTCATCCTCGAATTACAGAATAATAATAAATAGTTTTTTATTTGTTGTTAAAAATAAATTTTTTGTTTTGAAATTATATATGTTTTATAAATTTTTAATTTATTAAGAATATTAATAAATTTTTTTAAATTTAAATTTGCAGATAATGAAATGTGGTTATTTGACAATAGCCTTAAAAATTATTGACCTCATTGAAACAGTAATTTATATATTGCGAAAAAAAAATAATCAAGTATCCATTTTACATGTCTATCATCATATAACAACATGTTTAATTGCTATAATATTTACAAGATATTTTTGTGGTGAAGTTGCAATATTGGTGCCAATAATGAATTGTGGAGTTCATGTGATAATGTATTCATATTATTTTCTCAGTAATTTTGAAGGTCCAATTAAACAAATTATTATGCCATTTAAACGTTACCTAACGATCGCTCAAATGGTAAAAAAAATAAATTTTTTTAATTATTTAAAACTATTATTTACTATATAAATTAATTATTTGTAACTACATATATATTCCTTTGTTTCAGATACAATTCAGTATAATGATTGTACAAATAATAGCTGGTCTTTTACAGAATTGTGAATTATCAAAAGTACTACTATTTATAATGCTGATTAATGTAGCTTTTATTTTCTATCTATTTTTCCGTTTCTATAAGAAAACATATATTATTAAATCAAAAAAGGAAAAATGTTTTAAAAAATAAATATGATATTAATAAAGTAAACGCAATATTTTAATATATATATATATGCGAAATTCCTGAAGTGATCCAATGTGAGAATTGCATTTTTTGAAAAATCATAACTATATTATATAAAAGGGTGATGTTCAATTTGTTCCATCTTAAGTCATGGATTTTTTTCTAACCTCAAAAAACATGTCTAAACAAGTAACTCAAAATTTTTATGGAATTGGGTTCTAGGGGTTTTTGGAGTCGCTTATTACGACTATATATTATCAAATAAATATTTATACTTGAATCAAATAATTTTTATTTCAATTAAATAAAAAAAAATTATTGAACTCACGTGAATATCCAATTTCATTCAAATTTAAAATTATTTTATAAAAATGAAAATAGTAATATGCCTATTTTAGATTAAACATTTATTATTTAAAATATTGTTAAACGTTATATGTATAATCTATATTAAGTGGAGGCACCATCTCCAAATTTTGACTCACTTAAATCTAAATTATTAAACGAGATTATATTTTTTTTCATGCATCATTTCAAGTCCTTAAAAATCTCTTGTATGGATTTTCAAAAAATAGAAAATTCTAAAATGGTTAAAAAATTTTTATTTTTTTTTTTACTATTCTGTATATGTTTTTAAGATATACAAATGATGCAAGAAAAAAATATAACATCGTTTAATAATTTAAATTTAAAATGTATCAAAATTAAGGATAGCGTCTCCCCTTAAATAGATTTCTTTATTTTATATAAATATTTTACTCTTGCTATGTCACTGTTCATAAATTTTTTAAATATTCATAATTTAAAATGATAACTTACATAAATATATACAATGAAACAATAATTTTGATCCCATTAACACAAAATTCATGTATATTCAAAAACTAAGATATAACCTTAATGAAACAATGCTTGACCTAATTAACCCAATAGACAATGTATATTCAAAATGTATAAAACTTCAAATGTATCATTCAAAATGATATGTATATTCAAACTTTCAAATGCTCTCTAAATCTGAATTAGTAAAAATGTTTACTTATTTGTATTAGTGACTCACTTTTTGCTTTAGAATTAGTAAAATTTTACTAATTGTTATAGTAAACGTTACTAATAATTAGTAATATTTTACTAATTCAGAAGCAAAAAGTAAGTCAATAATTCAAATTAGTAAACATTTTTACTAATTCAGATTTAGAAACTGTATATAAAATGTCAATAAAATTAATTTGATGATATATTATTTTGGAATTCAACGTTTTGATGGTTAATGATAGATGGTTAAAAAATTAACAAGATGGTAAAAAAAATTCTGATAAATAAAAATATAAAAAAAATTACCGACGCAGAATATTAAATTGATTGAAATAAATTCAATTTCTCCTCAACCAAAATTAAAATAGTTTTATTTATTTCAATGCCTAACAAAATTCATAACATAAATTGTTTTAATTGCTATTTAACATAAAAATAAGTAAACGTTATGAGAGTGATAAAATATTTTTTTTTTTATCAATTAGATGTTATTTTAGTTTCGCATTGTTATTATAACATAAGTTGACATCTCCCTTTTTCTCTATCACTGCTTTTATTAATTCTTTAGACGGTTGTTTTAAATCATATGCCCAACCAATTTTTGCAAACATATCAAGTACAAATGTTGACCAATTAAGACTATAGTTTCCTAATTCTGCGCATTTATAATCGTATGGAAATACATGATGATAATTATGCCAGCCCTCACCCATTGATAAATGAGCAACAAGTTTATTTTCCGCTGGAGCTATTGATCTGTAATATAAAGAAAAATATTTTACAAGCCAAATTTCTTCATAGGGAAGAATTTAACAAAATTTTGATATAATATAGAATTTGACTGAATTTTTGCGCCCAAAAGATTTTGATAAAAAATTCTAATTTGAATAATGAAATATATTCTTTAAATTAAAATTCTAACAATGTTATAATAACTTACTTGTCGTAAGGTTTATAACCCCATAAATGAGCAGCGCTATTGACACTCCATGTGAAATTCAAATTTAATACGTAACGAAGTAATACTATTCCTATTGACCATAACCAGGTTTCATTCCAAAAATAAACAGGTATAAGAATAGGTAATACAAAACAAAGAAGGACTTTGAAAAATATGAAATGTCTGTATAACAAAAGAAAAAGGCATTAAACAGAGAAAAAGTTAAAGAGATATATGGAGTTATCATCATCCAATTATTAAAACATACTTATCACCGAAAGCAACAAGAGGATCAGCGTAAATATCACTCATATCAATTTGTTTCCCTCGTCTTATGACTTCCGGATGTTTGTGCATCATAAGCCAACCAACGTGTGCAAAGAAAAATCCCCGCTTACTATTATGTGGATCCGCGTCTGTTTCTGTATATTTATGATGAACGCGATGATCTCTCACCCAATTGTATACTGAATTCTAATAGGAAAGTATTTTTAAATTTTATAAAGCATATATATATATTTTTTGATACCTAAACTGGTACGCATGATTATGTTCTAAAAATCATTAGTTACAATTATTTTTGAACCGAATTTTTATTTGTTTGAATAAGTATTTTGCAGAATTTTCATCAAAACGATTTTCTAAATATTACAGAATTTTTACTTAACTGAAAAATCATTTAACAGAATTTCAATAATTGATAGAATTTTCATTTGTTCGAAATTGCAAATGTCCTAACAAACAATTGATTTTGGCGCGACTTTTAAAATCAATCAATCACAATTTTATGGATAATTTTTGATTAGTTGATTTTGAAAATCGCGCCAAAATCAATTGTTTGTTTGCGAACATTTGCGATTTCGGTAAAATGAAAATTCTATCAATTAGAAATTCTGTTAAATGATTTTTCGGTTAAGTTAAAAATTCTTTAGTATATATATATATATATATATATATATATATATATATCAGGGACTGACACGGAAACGAAACAAAACGCCAAATCAATTTTGTGTAGTATCGTGTTCAATCACAAACACATTTAATAATTTATAATGTTTTCGTGTCCTGACCGGACACTTTTAAAAAAATTAAATGTTTTCGTGTCCGGACACGAACACTTTTGAAATTTTAAAATGTTTTCGTGTCCGGACACGACACTTTTAAAATAATTAAATGTTTTCGTGTCCTGACCGGACACTTTTGATAAAATTAAATGTATTCGTGTCCAGACACGCCACTTTTAAAATAATTAAATGTTTTCGTGTCAGGATCGGACACGACACTATTAAAATTTTTAAATGTTTTCGTGTCCGGATATAACCCACTTTCTCATTGTAAAATATTCTCATGAACAAATTTACTTGTTACGCCATATTAGATCCGCTACTCTGATTGACCGCCATCTTGTTTTGTTATAAATTAAATAATATTAAGTAATTTTTGTCAAAAATCGCGTTTGCGTATAACTTTCTCCTTTCAGTGACTAAACATAAAACATTAAGAAAGAATTATGTCTCGTGTTTAAACACGAAACGTTATTTAACACGAAAACATTTCTTTATATCAAAAGTGTCAGATACAAACACGAAACGATATTCTATGAGAAAATGTGTCGTGTTCTGACACGAAAACATTTATTTATTTCAAAAGTGTCGGGTCTGGACACGAAACATTATTTGACGAGAAAATGTGTCGTGTCCAAACACGAAACGATAATCAATGTAGAAATGTGTCGTGTCAGGACACGAAACATTATTCGATGAGAAAATGTGTCGTGTCAGGACTCAACACATTAGTCAATAGGGAAATGTTTCGTGTCAGGACACAACACATTAGTTAATGTATAAATGTGTTGTGTACACAACAGAAACGGAAACGACACGAATGATTCGGGCAGGTCCCTGATATATATATATATATATATGAAATATCGGTTATATGGAAATTATATCAAATAACTCTCCACGAGAGAATAAGGGATCTTACGTCAAAAATATTTTAGATTATGTTTAGTGATAGTTTTACCATGATTAAAAAGTTTCTTTTTTTTAAATTACTTATAATTTCTTACTTGTCCAGACGAGTAGAAACAATAAAGGAGAATCAATCGAAGTGGCCATTTAGCTTTATAAGATTGATGGGTCCATAAACGATGTACACCACAAGTTACTCCAATACCAACCAAGTGTGCCACAAAATATTCTACAAATGAAAGAAAAAATCGTTTCGATGCCGTGCAATTATTATAGGGTCAGCCGGGGTAAATCCGAACGGGGGGTAAATCCGAACGCTAATTATTTCAGCTTAATTAAAATTTTTAAAAATAAGTTCGATATGAGAATTTTTACCTCAGATCCTCTTCAAGATATTCTAAGTATTATCCCATTTTTCGTTTGTTAATTAGCAACAGCATAAACAAAAATAACGAGTATTGCAAAAAAGATTGAAAATCAAAGATGACACTCTTTCAGTATTTTGTCTCGTATTTGAAGAATAAGAAGCTGAAAATTTATTTTATTATTTATAATTGTTTGTTATGAATACTAGAACAGAAACTATTTTTGATTTTTGCCTTCTGTAAAATTTTATTAATAATATCAGACCGTTCGTATTTACCCAGGAAAATTGGAAAACCGGGGTAAATCCGAACGGTATTTTCAATAATTTTTTTTTACATCAGAGCCACACAAAATTGTTTTTATTTCATTACACTATTATTTTAACATTATAAAAGTACATAGAAAAAAGTTTTTCTTTCTATACGTATCCTCGTTAGTAATTAATAAGCAGAAACTTAATCTCTGTTCTCTCGAAGGAGTGTTTCAATTTTTTTTGCCAAATGGTTTGTTGAAAAAGGTTTTTCAGGATCTTAATAAAATTTGGTATTCTACGGTTTTTGGGGTCGCTAATTACCAATTTGAAGTCAGTTTTTCAAAATTCAAAATGGCGGACGAAAATTAAAAAATTCATTGGATTCGCTCGAAAATTGTTACTCGGGGGGTTTCAGGGTTAGCAAATTTGATCATTTTTAAAAATAAGTTTTAGGAAAGTCCGCCATTTTGAATTTAAAAAATTTTAATTTTTTTTTTATTTACATTCAATCACTCCAAAATTTTTTCTGTAGCAAGTTTTGCAAAAATCCGTTATGATTTGATAAAGTTATTGAAGGTTTTAATTGTGTAATGCATTTTAATTTTTAACCTGTTTGATTTTTGTATTTATATATGATGCATTATTACATAATAGGTTTATTATCGTATTTTTTTTTTGAGTTTTTATATAAGTTTAACAATTGCAATACTTTAAATTTATTTTCCCTAAGATTTTTCTGAAATACAGTGGCGTTCGTATTTACCCCGGTATTTTAGAAAAGTTGCAAAGTATCGAGGTAAATACGAACGCTAAGTTTCCTGCGATTGTAATTTATCAAAAATTTTTGCTACCCCATAAAATTGTTCTATGGAAGTAAAGTAACAACTTCATGCACCAGAATACCGGAAGTATTTTTTTTTTTTTAAAGAAAAAACTTATGTTATTGTTGAAACTTACTAAAAGCGTTCGGATTTACCCCGATTGACCCTAATTAATATTAAGGCCATATTTTTATTATAATTATATATATATATTATATTTAAATTGATTTATTAGCCATAAATTTTTAGAATACTCACCAAAAATAAATGTTTTTAATTTCTTCGTATATGGATAAGTTAAAAGAACATACAATGCAATGGCATGGAGAACAAAAGTAGAGATTATCGTGTCCCATTTTAATTTTGTTTTAAAATATTTTGGAGATTTTTCCTCTATGGAATTATTTATTGTCGTTAAAGTGCATTCATCATTGGATTTTATATTACATGTCTCTGGGACCATTTTTTCTATAAATATGAATTAAAGCCTTTTATTATTTCATATAATCATTTCTTTATAATTTAGAATTTAAAGAAATAATATCTAATTTAAATATTGTTATATTAAATCAAGGGCCGAAAAAAACAACTAAATATTATATTCAACAATTATTTAAAAAATTTTTTTTTTTTAGCAACTTGATATTTAAGAATATTTTTATAAGGTTCGAAGAAGAAATAGATTAATTGCAAATTATTACCTATTGTTGTTTTTATGATTAATTTTTCTTCTTTTTACAGTTAAAAATCTTTTTTTTTTTTTTGAAACTGAAAGCTTTCGCTATACGGTACCTTCAATGTACTGAACTTATTGATAATGATTCACATCAACTTAATGACTTACGTAAATCATAGCATTAATCAAATTATGAAAAACGAAACAACTTTTTAAATGATTTATTCATTTTTCATTATATAATTCCTGGACAATTGTAACCTTTGTATACACTGAAAAAAAATTTATTTTATTCAAATACCGATGTATTTGGTTATTATCAAATAAATATTTACTTGAATCAAATATGTATTTCTTATTTGAATCAAATATTTCAGTATTTGAAGCAAATACAATTTATTTGATTCAAGTAAATATATATTTGATAATAACCAAATACACTGGTATTTAAATCAAATAAATTTTTTTTTTTTAGTGTATGGGGCATTCTATTTTAAAATTATATTGTAAACAATCGACAATATAAGACAATTTTTAAATAATTATTTTTCCCATTTAATTAAATGAAATTACTTTTACAATGAGTATAGTTTCGAAAGAATATTTAAGCTTTCTTTCGACGTAGATTTTGTCAAAATCGAAGAAAACGTGTTCTGAGATATTTAGAAGTTTAACCTTCAAAATAAATTTTTTTATACTAATTAAATATTAAAAAAATTTTTTTTTACAATAATAAAGTTTAGAAATTTTTCTCTCGAAACTACTCATTACAAAAGTAATTCGATTAAATTAAATAGGATAAAAAATTATTTAAAAATTGTTGTCAATTGTTTACTAAGGGGTATAATTTTAAAATAAAATGCTCCATATTACAGATTTTATAATTTTCTCCCTCATCGTATGTTATTTCGTTTAATATTTATTAATAAATAATAATTTTGGTTTTTAATTTCTTATATTATATTGAAACAGAGCAATTGAGTTAAAATATTAATTTAATACAAATAAATATTTATCTAATAGAAAAAAAAAGTTTTTTTATACTAATAAAAATTTATTTAATAGAAGTAAATATTTATTTGATAGAAGACAAGTAATCTACTATTTAAATAAAATCAGTTTTTTCCGGTTCAACCAATTATATGGTACAACAGCAAAATTTTATTCAGAGTTTTGATGAATAAAATTTTCTAAAATTACCTAAAATTTAAATAATTAACAATTATTATTGCAACATATTTAATAATTATATCATCATGAATATTTTGTTGACAAAAATTTGGTTATTTTGTAGAAAACAAATTTTTAATTAAAATTTTAAACCATATCACTACAACGTAACATTTTACAATGTAGATTTTGATCGCAGTCTTTGTTTTTAACAAAATTAACATTTTTAAAGAGGTCAATCGATTTAACTTTTTTCATGAATTATTATTAGTTATGAAATATATTAACATTCGTTTGACGCGTAAAGTTCTTTAAGTTTTTTGATATTTTGATGAATAATTTTTATTTTTTTTTTTCTAAATGTTCATCGCATATTCTCTATACTAATGCAACAATACGCATTTAAACTATGTTATTATTTATATCATTATTATATAATATATGACCGATACGCATATTATATTAAAAATCGACATTTTTAACCCCTAAAATAGCATATATTAGCTGAAATAAAAAATACATATGTAATATTTTTCGATTTTCTTCAAAATTATTCCTACTGGAAGCGTCGATCCGGGAATTACATTTGTGGGTAGTGTCTTACTTGTTAGTATATCATTGTTATTCAGTCATAATAATATTTAAGTTTAATTCAATTATAAATTTTTGTTGAGAAAATAATTTTTTAGGTTTAGAATCATTTCAAAATTGTATATATTGAGAATAAATATAAAATAATAAGTGGAACGTCTGAATTGTGACACTTTGCAAGGAATGGTAGCTTTTTTCGATACATAGCTAGGAACTAGAATTGATAAAAGCACGGCTAAGTAGATGTAAAAAAAATATAAAGATATGTCATATTTCGAACGTTCTACTGGAGTTTTAGTGGAAAATTTACATGCGTCCATTCCAAATGAACCACCTATTTCAATGAATTATTATTACAAATTCATAAAAATCTTAATAAATATTATTAAAATTATTAAATTTTAATTAATAAATTAATTAAATTAATAATAAATAAATAATTAAATAAATTAAAATCGACATTAAGAAATTATTTTTAAAAATAATTTCAATGAAATTGCCTAAAAAACAAATAAATTATTAAAAAGTCTTGAAACGAACATAACCTTTAAATTCAAGTCATTTTTGGGCGGGAACTCCACCTCCACTTGCGGCTATATTGAAAGTCTTGAAATTTACATAACCTCAAAATTTATGTCATTTTTGGCGGGAAATACGGAGAGAGAAGGGGGAAGGACTTACTGCTTTATATAGAGTCTTAAAACAAACATAACCTCAAAATTTAAGTCATTTTTGGCGTAGGAGGGAGGTGGGGACTTGCGGCTATATTCAGAGCCTTGAAACGAACATGACCTCAAAATTTAGGAGGGGGACTTCCCCCTTCCCCCCTCCTCCTAGGTCAAAATTTCTGAAACAGCGGCGGCGAATTCTTTTTATAATATAGAAAGATATATATATATATATATATATATATATATATATATATATATGTATATATAACAGATATATATAATATATAACAGATCTTTTTATTTAAATTAAGAATTTTTTTTTCTAAGTGTATATGATTCATATTTGAAAAAATTTATGCAGAATTATTTATTTTTCTGCACATTATGAATAACAAAAAAGTATCATTAAGGATTAAGAAGTCAAATCACTAATGAATTATTAAACGCATATTAAATTATTTCAAACGTAATACAATCTGTTATATTCACTTAAAATTGAAATTATAAACTATCAACATCACACACTATATTTTCGTATGTCTTTTGATAAATTTAGTTAATAATTTTGTATTTTTTTTTTATTTTAATTATAAATATATAAGTTTTTATTATTGATATATTAAATTTATGAAATTCTCGACAACAGAATAATATTCAAAATGGGCTTAATGGAAAATATTAATTATTATTATTATGACTTGTCTGGTAAGATTTTTGAACAACCTGTATATTAAGTACACAATTTTTTTTTTTTTTTTTTTGTTTTATTTAGAATAAAAAATGTTGTTTTACTTTTAAAAATAAAAGAAAGTATAATATTGTTTTACATTAAAAAAAAAAAAAATTTCAGATCCACGAATAAGAGATTTCTTTACAATGGATAGTATTTGGTATCCTATTGTAATTACATTAATTTATTGTATTGTTATATTTAAATTGGCACCTGATTATATGAAAAATCGACCTGCATACAAATTAAGTACATTTATTAAATTGTACAATATTTTTCAAGTTATTACAAATGCTTATATTGTTATAAATATGTCAGCATGTTATTCATTTTCTCGCTTTTTTGAATGTCGTCCTGTTGTTTATGACACAGATACTTGCGGTATGAAGGTAAGTACTTTTTTTTCATTTTTTCTCTTTCATTGACATTTTGTTTTATGAAATAAAAATAAAAATCCATTTTATGAATTTTTAATTGTTTTCTACTAAAAGATAGTAAAATTTATTATAATTTCATAATTTTTAAATTAAAAAATAGAAAACGCTATTTCTTAAAAGTTAAAATTTATATTAAAAAAAAAAAAAAAAAAAAAAAACATTAAAAGAATAAGAACATTAAGAATTAATTTTATTTTTATTATTTCAGATTGTAAAAGTTGCTTACGTTACACTATTGCTAAAGATAATTGATCTTTCCGAAACTGTTGTTTACATTTTAAGAAAGAAAAATAATCAAGTTTCATTTTTACATGTATATCATCACATGAGCACCTACTTAATAGGATTAAATTTTGCAAAATATGTAATTTCTGAAATTTCATTGTCGGTTCCAATTTTAAACTGTTCAGTTCATGTGATTATGTATTTTTATTATTTCCTTAGTAATTTTGATGGTCCAATTAAAGAAATAATCAAGCCTTTTAAACGTTACCTGACACTCATACAAATGGTAAATGACAATTATTTTTTAAATTACTAATATTACATTTGACTCTCTCTCTCTCTCTCTCTCTCTCTCTCTCTCTCTCTCTCTGTATATGTGGCTCTACGGTAAAAGAGACCTTAGGTACAAACAAATTTTAGGTTATGTTCATTTTTTTTTTGTATAGTGTATCACTCTAGAAAACACAAACATAACCTAAAATTTGTTTGTAGCTAAGGTCACTTTCAACGTATAGAGCGTCACATATATGTTAAATAATGAAAAAATCTATATTTAAAAAAAAAGAATTAATAATACTAATAATTGATAATTTTTTATTGTTCAAGGGTCAATTTATTATATTGCTTGCACAAGCAATTATTGTCATGGTACAAAATTGTGGATACCCACGAGTTGTGATAATTGCTGTCATATTAAATGCTATTATCAACTATTGGCTATTCTTTCGTTTCTACCAAAAAACTTATTTAAGAAAAAAACATATTTAATATTATATAATAAATTTTATAATAATTGTCTATAATAAATAAGAGTACGTTATCATAAATTATGTCATGCACTAAGTAAGGAACCACCACATATCAAACGTGATACAACGGCGGCGATATCTTTTTATAATATAGTAATGATATATATAAATTTATATAAAACAACTGTATTAATGAAGATTAGACTTTTATTTAAAAATACATATATATATATATATATATTTGTTTGAATGAAAATTATAAAATCTTTGATTTAAACTTAATGGTTAGTTTGGAATGGACGCATGTAAATTTTCCACTAAAACTCCAGTAGAACGTTCGAAATATGACATATCTTTATATTTTTTTACACCTACTTAGCCATGCTTTTATCAATTCTAGTTCCGCACTCTGTATCGAAAAAAAGCTACCATTCCTTGCAAAGTGTCACAATTCAGAAGTTCCACTTATTATTTTATATTTATTCTCAATATATACAATTTTGAAATGATTCTAAACCTAAAAAATTATTTTCTCAACAAAAATTTATAATTGAATTAAACTTAAATATTATTATGACTGAATAACAATGATATACTAACAAGTAAGACACTACCCACAAATGTAATTCCCGGATCGACGCTTCCAGTAGGAATAATTTTGAAGAAAATCGAAAAATATTACATATTTATTTTTTATTTCAGCTAATATATGCTATTTTAGGGGTTAAAAATGTCGATTTTTAATATAATATGCGTATCGGTCATATATTGTATAATAATGATATAAATAATAACATAGTTTAAATGTGTATTGTTGCATTAGTATAGAGAATATGCGATGAACATTTGGAGAAAAAAAAATAAAAATTATTCATCAAAATATCAAAAAACTTAAAGAACTTTACGCATCATACGAATGTTAATATATTTCATAACTAATAATAATTCATGAAAAAAAGTTAAATCGATTGACCTATTTAAAAATGTTAATTTTGTTAAAAACAAAGACTGCGATCAAAATCTACATTATGAAATGTTACGTTATAGTGATATGGTTTAAAATTTTAATTAAAAATTTGTTTTCTACAAAATAACCAAATTTTTGTTCAACAAAATATTCATGATGATATAATAATTAAATATGTTAAAAATAATAATTGTTAATTATTTAAATTTTAGGTAAGTTTAGAAAATTTTATTCATCAAAACTCTGAATAAAATTTTGCTGTTGTACCATATAATTGGTTGAACTGAAAAAAATTGATTTTATTTAAATAGTAGGTTACTTGTCTTCTATCAAATAAATATTTACTTCTATTAAATAAATTTTTATTAGTATATAAAAAATATTTTTTTGTATTAGATAAATATTTATTTGTATTAAATTAATATTTTAACTCAATTGCTCTGTTTCAATATAATAAGAAATTAAAACCCAAAATTATTATTTATTAATAAATATTAAACGAAATTGCATACGATGAGGGAGAAAATTATAAAATCTGTAATATGGAGCATTTTATTTTAAAATTATACCCCTTAGTAAACAATTGACAACAATTTTTAAAAAATTATTTATCCTATTTAATTTAATCGAATTACTTTTGTAATGAGTAGTTTCGAGAGAAAAATTTCTAAACTTTATTATTGTAAAAAAAAATTTTAAATATTTAATTAGTATAAAAAAATTTAGTTTGAAGGTTAAACTTCTAAATATCTCAAAATACGTTTTCTTCCATTTTGACAAAATTTACGTCGAAAGAAAGCTTAAATATTCTTTCGAAACTACACTTATTGTAAAAGTAATTTGATTTAATTAAATGGGAAAAATAATTATTTAAAAATTGTCTTATATTGTCGATTGTTTACAATATAATTTTAAAATAGAATGTCCCATACACTGAAAATAAAATTTATTTGATTCAAATACCAGTGTATTTGGTTATTATCAAATATATATTTACTTGAATCAAATAACTTGTATTTGCTTCAAATACTGAAATATTTGATTCAAATAAGAAATACATATTTGATTCAAGTAAATATTTATTTGATAATAACCAAATACATCGGTATTTGAATAAAATAAATTTTTTTTCAGTGTATACAAAGGTTACAATTGTCCAGGAATTATATAATGAAAAATGAATAAATCATTTAAAAAGTTGTTTCGTTTTTCATAATTTGATTAATGCTATGATTTACGTAAGTCATTAGGTTGATGTGAATCATTATCAATAAGTTCAGTACATTGAAGGTACCGTATAGCGAAAGCTCTCAGTTTCAAAGAAAAAAAAGATTTTTAAATGTAAAAAGAAGAAAAATTAATCATAAAGACAACAATAGGTAATAATTTGCAATTAATCTATTTCTTCTTTGAACCTTATAAAAATATTCTTAAATATCAAGTTGCTAAAGAAAAAAAAATTTTTAAATAATTGTTGAATATAATATTTAGTTGTTTTTTTCGGCCCTTGATTTAATATAACAATATTTAAATTAGATATTATTTCTTTAAATTCTAAATTATAAAGAAATGATTATATGAAATAATAAAAGGCTTTAATTCATATTTATAGAAAAAATGGTCCCAAAGACATGTGATATAAAATCCAATGATGAATGCACTTTAACGACAATAAATAATTCCTTAGAGGAAAAATCTCCAAAATATTTTAAAACAAAATTAAAATGGGACATGATAATCTCTATTTTTGTTCTCCATGCCATTGTATTGTATGTTCTTTTAACTTGTCCATATTCGAAGAAATTAAAATCATTTTTTTTTTGTGAGTATTCTAAAAATTTATGGCTAATAAATCAATTTAAATATTATATATATATATATATATATATATATATATAATTATAATAAAAATATGGCCTTAATATTAATTATAGGGGAGAGTGGTCCTATGTCGGCCCTGTGGGTAAAGTTGGCCCCCCCGGGTTTCTCAGAGCTGGCGTTCGCGTCGAATTAATAATTTTGTGGTGTGACATATTAACAAACACTAAAATAATTATTTTAGTGTATGTAAAAAAAGAGTTCGATTAAAATTATTAATTCGACGCGAACGCCAGCTCTGAGAAACCCGGGGGGGGCCGACTTTACCCACAGGGCCAACATAGGACCACTCTCCCCTAATAATTGCACGGCATCGAAACGAATTTTTTTTTCATTTGTAGCACATTTTATGACACACTTGGTTGGTTTTGGAGTAACTTGTGGTGCACATCGTTTATGGACCCATCAATCTTATAAAGCTAAATGGCCACTTCGATTGATTCTCCTTTATTGTTTCTACTCGTCTGGACAAGTAAGAAATTATATAAGTGACGAGAGATAAGGTAACTTACGTCAAAAAAAAAAATTTAGGTTATATTTTTGATTTTTAGATTCAAAAGAATTCAATAAAAATTAAATTTTGATTTTACCTAATTTAAAAAAAGAAACTTTTTAATCATGGTAAAACTATCACTAAACATAATCTAAAATAGTTTTGACATAAGATCCCTTATTCTCTCGTGGAGAGTTATTTGATATAATTTCCATATAACCGATATTTCATATATATATATATATATATATATATATATATATATATATATATATATATATATATATATATATATATATATATATATATATATATATATATATATATATATATATATATATATACTAAAGAATTTTTACTTAACCGAAAAATCATTTAACAGAATTTGTAATTGATAGAATTTTCATTTTACCGAAATTGCAAATGTCCAAATAAACAATTGATTTTGGCGCGATTTTCAAAATCAACTAATCAAAAATTATCCATAAAATTGTGATTGATTTTAAAAATCGCGCCAAAATCAATTGTTTGTTAGGACATTTGCAATTTTGAACAAATGAAAATTCTATCAATTATAGAAATTCTGTTAAATGATTTTTCAGTTAAGTAAAAATTCTGTAATATATAGAAAATCGTTTTGATGAAAATTCTGCAAAATACTTATTCAAACAAATAAAAATTCGGTTCAAAAATAATTGTAACTAATGATTTTTAGAACATAATCATAGGTACCAGTTTAGGCATCAATATATATATATATATATATATATGCTTTATAAAATTTAAAAATACTTTCCTATTAGAATTCAGTATACAATTGGGTGAGAGATCATCGCGTTCATCATAAATATACAGAAACAGACGCGGATCCACATAATAGTAAGCGGGGATTTTTCTTTGCACACGTTGGTTGGCTTATGATGCACAAACATCCGGAAGTCATAAGACGAGGGAAACAAATTGATATGAGTGATATTTACGCTGATCCTCTTGTTGCTTTCGGTGATAAGTATGTTTTAATAATTGGATGATGATAACTCCATATATCTCTTTAACTTTTTCTCTGTTTAATGCCTTTTTCTTTTGTTATACAGACATTTCATATTTTTCAAAATTCTCCTTTGTTTTACAATACCAATTCTTATACCTGTTTATTTTTGGAATGAAACCTTGTTATGGTCAATAGCAGGACTATTAGTTCGTTACGTATTTAGTTTGAATATCACATGGAGTGTCAATAGCGCTGCTCATTTATGGGGTTATAAACCTTACGACAAGTAAGTTATAACATTGTTAGAATTTTAATTTCAAAAATATTTCATTATTCAAATTAGAATTTTTTTATCAAAAATCTTTTGTGCGCAAAAATTCAGTCAAATTCTATATTATATCAAAATTTTGTTAAATTCTTATCCCTATGAGAAATTCAGCTTGTAAAATATTTTTCTTTATATTACAGATCAATAGCACCAGTGGAAAATAAATTTGTTGCTCATTTAGCATTGGGTGAGGGCTGGCATAATTATCATCATGTATTTCCATACGATTATAAATGCGCAGAATTAGGAAACTATAGTCTTAATTGGTCAACATTTGTACTTGATATGTTTGCAAAAATTGGTTGGGCATATGATTTAAAACAACCGTCTAAAGAATTAATAAAAGCAGTGATAGAGAAAAAGGGAAATGCCAACTTATGTTATAATAACAATGCAAAACTAAAATAACATCTAATTGATAAAAAAAAATATATTTTATCACTCTCATAACATTTACTTATTTTTATGTTAAAAAGCAATAAAAATAATTGATTTTATAAATTTTGTTAGGCATTGAAATAAATAAAACGATTTTAATTTTCGGTCGAAGAGAAAAATTGAATTTATTTCAATCAATTTAATATTGTGCGTCGGTAATTTTTTTTATATTTTTATTTATCAAAATTTTTTTTACCATCTTGTTAATTTTTTAACCATCTATCATTAACCATCAAAACGTTGCATTACAAAATAATATATCATCAAATTAATTTTATTGACATTTTATATACAGTTTCTAAATCTGAATTAGTAAAAATGTTTACTAATTTGAATTATTGACTTACTTTTTGCTTCTGAATTAGTAAAATATTACTAATTATTAGTAACGTTTACTATAACAATTAGTAAAATTTTACTATAATTCTAAAGCAAAAAGTGAGTCACTAATACAAATAAGTAAACATTTTTACTAATTCAGATTTAGAGAGCATTTGAAAGTTTGAATATATACATATCATTTTGAATGATACATTTGAAGTTTTATACATTTTGAATATACATTGTCTATTGGGTTAATTAGGTCAAGCATTGTTTCATTAAGGTTATATCTTAGTTTTTGAATATACATGAATTTTGTGTTAATGGGATCAAAATTATTGTTTCATTGTATATATTTATGTAAGTTATCATTTTAAATTATGAATATTTAAAAAATTTATGAACAGTGACATAGCAAGAGTAAAATATTTATATAAAATAAAGAAATCTATTTAAGGGGAGACGCTATCCTTAATTTTGATACATTTTAAATTTAAATTATTAAACGATGTTATATTTTTTTCTTGCATCATTTGTATATCTTAAAAACATATACAGAATAGTAAAAAAAAAATAAAAATTTTTTGACCATTTTAGAATTTTCTAGTTTTTGAAAATCCATACAAGAGATTTTTAATGACTTGAAATGATGCATGAAAAAAAATATAATTTCGTTTAATAATTTAGATTTAAATGAGTCAAAATTTGGAGATGGTGCCTCCACTTAATATAGATTATACGTATATAACGTTTAACAATATTTTAAATAATAAATTTTTAATCTAAAATAGGCATATTACTATTTTCATTTTTATAAAATAATTTTAAATTTGAATGAAATTGGACATTCACGTGAGTTCAATAATTTTTTTTATTAAAATCACCACAGTTGTTACTGTAAGTATTCTTAAATCGCTAATTCATTCTAAGGTTGTGAAATAGTGCATTTAATTGCACGATGAAAAAAAAAAAAAAAAAAATGATACGCATGCCTGTCTCTCACTCTCTATTATAAATTTTAACATCATTTAATCTATTTGACAAATTTCAAATGACAAAATAAACATTAAAATTCGTTTATATTAAAATTTTTATTTATACTAGAACTCATTTCTAGAACTTACTGCTTTATTCAGAGTCTTAAAACAAACATAACCTCAAAATTTAGGTCAAACTTTGAAAGAAAATGACCGCAAAAAACGAACATAACCTTAAATGTAGGTCAAATTTTAGCTGGAAAATTTAAAAAATTAGATAAATTTTGTTTTAAAAATTGAAAATAATAAAAATTATTGTTTATAAAAATCGTAAATAACATTTAAAGAAATAAATGATAAAATATTAATATTAATAGTTTTAAATACCAGAAATTGACCAAACATTAACTCAAACATCTACAAAAACAATATTTTGACCTAAATTTTGAGGTTATGTTTGTTTCTTGGTCTTTTTGCGCCAAATTTTGGGCTAAATTTTTAGGTTATGTTTGTTTCTTGGTCGTTTCCTGCAAAAATAACTTAACTTTAAAATTTAATTCAATTTTGGCGGAAAATCCACCTCCACTTGCGGCTATATTAAAAGTCTTGAAACGAACATAACCTCAAAATTTAGGTCATTTTTTGCGAGGGAGAGGAGAGGGGGGGGAACTTTCGGCTATATTCATATGGGTCATTCCATATCAAGTGTAACCAACCATTGTACTATCTATGTTAAAAGCATGGGTTGGGTACACTTGACATGGAATGACCCATCCTTGTCAAAATTACTGAATCAGCGGCGGCGGCGAAATCATTTTATAATATAGAGTGATATTTCCCATAACAAAACAAAAAGACATATCCGAACCTTTAATTCTTTTATTTTAGATTGTCTATATTAATCTGAAAATTTTGACAAGTTGGTTTCACAGAAAATGAAAAGGCATTAAAATAAGCTGCAACGCTTATTATTTTAATCCAATTTTGCTTATTTTAATCCATTTTGGTATTTATATAAGCAAAATTGGATGAAAATAATAAGCGTTGCAGCTTATTTTAATGCCTTTTAATTTTCTGTGTTATCATTATGATAATTTAATAATAAATTTAATGTATATATATAAATTTAACATTTTACAGCCATTATACTCTGGTGTCGTTTATTTATTAAATTTTTAATAATTTATTTTATTTTAAGTTGTACACGACAAAATGCCATGTTACGAAATATATATAAATTTTAATTTTTCTTTTTTATATCAATGTAAGTTTTTTTGTAAAAGCGATAGAACAACCAAAAATTGAATATAACATTCAGCCACATTACAGCGATCAAACGTTTTGGTAACCCACAGTTTTTAAAGAGGAAAATAAAGAGCTGCATAATTATAATGATAAATTGGCCCTGAAACAATTAAAAATATTTTTTCAATTAAAGTTATTATAAATATATTATCCATTCGAAATGAAACATTAAAAATAATTCTTTAGTTTTATTATTGAATCAATAAAATTAATAAATCATAAATATTTCCAAACACATTTGAAACACAGAAAATTAAAAGGCATTAAAATAAGCTGCAACGCTTATTAATTTAATCCAATTTTTTGCTTATTTTAATAACAAAATGGATTAAAATAAGCAAAATTGGATTAATACTACTTTAAGTAGTTGATTTTACCCAGGTAGAAAAATTAACATTACTAACGTTACTAACGTTAGTACCTATAAAAAAATTAAGAAAATGTTTCTAAATTGTATTTTTGCAGAAACTTGTCGAAAATCGACCACTAGGAAGTATTTAATGTTCTTTCCCGCACTTTTTATAATTTTCATTTCTATTATCACTTCCACTTCTTTATTTTCATTACCGTTTCCACTTTCACTTTTTCTAATTCTCATTCACACTTCCATTCCCACTTCCACTCTTTCTAATTCTCATTTCCACTTTCACTTCCACTTTTTTATTTTTATTACCACTTCCACTTTTTCTAATTTTTATTCCCACTTTTCTTTTTCTATTTTTCATTCCCACTTCTACTCCCATTTTTTCCACTTCTAATTTTCATTATAGCTGTTGCCATTTTGACTAAAACTATTGGGAGTGAAAATATAAAAAAGTTGTAATGAAAATAAAAAAGTGGAAGATGAAATGGGAATGAAAATCGGAACAAGTGGAAGTGGAAGTGAAAGTGTGAATGAGAATTAGAAAAAGTGGTAGTGGCAATGAATATAAAAAACTGGAAGTGGAAATAGGAATGGGAATGAAAATTAGAAAAAGTGGAAGTGGCAATGAATATAAAAAAGTGGAAGTGGAAATGGGAATGAAAATTAGAAAAAGTGGAAGTGAAGTGGGAATGAGAATTAGAAAGAGTAGAAGTGAGAATGGAAGTGCGAATGAGAATTAGAAAAAGTAGAAGTGGAAATGGGAATGAAAATAAAAAGTTTAAGTGGAAGTGAAAGTGGTAATGGGAAAGTAGTGGCAAAGTTTCTGTGAAAATATATTTTAGAAACTCTTAATTTTTTTATAGGTACTAACGTTAGTAACATTAGTAATGTTAGTAACATAAGTAACGTTAGTAACGTTAGTACACGGAGAGACCGCCGGTTAGAAAAATTACTAAAAAAATTTACAAGTAGCGGAAATAAGGTTACATTGTCAAACATTGCTGTAGGAAATCGAAAATTCTACTAGCAGCATACTTAATAAAACTGTAGACTATAGTAATTTCTATTCCAATTTGTGTGCAATTTTACTATAGTATACAGGTTTTATTAAGTATGCTGCTAATAGAATTTTCGATTTCCTACAGCAATATATGACAAAGTAACCTTATCTCCGCTACTTGTAAATCTTTTTAGTAATTTTTCCAACCGGCGGTCTCTCCGTGTAACGTTAATTTTTTCACCTGGGTAACTATTTAAAGTAGTCATTTTTACTACTTTTATTAGTTGCTATAATTATCCTTTTTAAGTTTTGACTTGTAAATTTTTCATCTTTTAATTATATTATAAGTTTGTTTAATTGCATAGTGCAGTTAAATTTACTATTTAAAGTGATAGTTTTAATTGGAAAGGATTTTTTTAATTCTACGACATAAATGTTCTTAAAGCCTATTGAACCACTTTAAATAGTAAAAGCTACTACTGAAAGTAGTAGTTTTAATTGGAAACGATTTGTAAATTTTACATCAAAAACGTTTTTTAAGCTTATTGAATTAATTAAAATAGTAAAAAATTACTACTTAAAGTAGTAGTTTTAATCACAAAGGATTTGTTAATTCTACAACAAAAATGTTCTTAAAGCCTGTTGTACCACTTTGAGTATAGTAAAATCTACTACTTATTAAAGTAGTAGTTTTAACTGGAAACGATTTCTAAATTCTACATCAAAAATCTTCTTTAAGTTTATCGAATTAATTAAAATAGTAAAAATCTACTACTTTCTAGTCAACTACCCAATGTTAGTTGAATTTCTCGGCAACATTTTTTTCAGTGCACCCCTGATTATTATTCGCACACTACACGTATCAGTGATATTATTTGGTTAAGTAATAAAATAATTATTTAATATTTTTAGGTAATATAACAAACTGAAAAACAAGTAAAATTCACGAAAAATTTTTTTTTTTTTTTTAATTTAATTCATATTAGGTGTATAAAGGTTTTTGAAGGCGCTGAATTTAAATTTGACCTTTAAATTCAAAACATTCAAAATACCGGACATAATTTTTAAATTAACGAATTTTAATGGGACTTGATTTTTACATAAATTATTAAAAAAAAAATATGTCCGACATTTTGAATTTTAATTTTGAAATCATATTTGAATTTAGAGACAACAAAAACACTTATATATATATATATAGTATAAGTTTAATAAAAATTTGTCATCCAGAATTTTCTAGACATTTTTGGATCACAGTCGTCTATGCGGAAACAATGACCATAAATAGGTGAAGTGATATTTAATCGCCATTGAATTATTCAAAATAAAGTAAATATATACATAAGACATTAATATTCATTTAAAAAATGGTAAACTTAATTCACTATATCATTGTCACTGCTGTTGTTTGTCGCTAAACACAATCTAATATTCTTTTTATTATTGTAATACTTTATAGTCAGTTACAGATTGGTAAAAAAAAAAAAAAAAAAAACTTTCAAGCCAAAATGGGTATAATGGAAATTATAAATTATTACTATTACGATTTGGCTGGTAATATCATTAAATATTGAATAGTTTGTATTTTTACTGGGGTAAGTGTACTAATTACGGCAAGTGCATCAAATACAGCGCGTTCGTAAAAAATAACTATTATTACTATGATATTTAATATAACTGTTGCAAAGTGATAAAAAAAAAATTATTTTAATCTTTTTTTTTTGATACAATTACTTATAAAGATACAAATTTAAACAATTATTAATTTAATTATTTGAGATCAAATTTTTTTCCTCGTAATTGATACACCGTAACTGATACAAACGCGCCGCAATAGAAAATTACGGTATTAATTTTAATTTCTCATATTTGTTTAAATAATTGATTTTTATAAAGTTAAAATTTTTTTTTTAATATCAAAATAACATAAGCTTTTAGTTTAATAAGTCTTAAATTGAGTTTATACAATAGAAATGTCGAATTTTCTACATCAAAGGTGTTTTAACTCGAATCGCGCCGCAATTAGTGCATTTACCCTATAGGGTAAATTTATAAATGTTTTAAAACTTATGATCAGGGTCTCTTCATTTTTTTCTATTTGAAAAAAAAAATTAATTTAAATACACTAACTTTTTAACATTACCTTTTGTTAAAAAAAAAAAAAATTGATATACTATGTGTTTTAAAATTGGACAGAGAGCCCTGTTTACATAAACAGTAAGGAAGTAAATTTTTTTTTTTATTTTTAGATGAACGATTAAGAGATTGGTTTTTTATGAATAGCATTTGGTATCCATTTACAATTATATTAACCTATTTAATAACGGTATTTATATTGGCACCATATTATATGAAAAATCGACCAGCCTACAAATTAAATACATACATTAAATGTTACAATTTATTTCAAATTATTTCAAATGCCTACATAGCAATAAATGTTTCATTTTGCTATTCATTTCGACGTGTTTTTGATTGTATTCCAATTGTTTACAATATAGATTCTTGCAGTATGACAGTATGTGTTTGATTTTTTTTAACACTAATTTTTTATTTTTATAATATGAACAATAACGAAGTTTCATTTAATATTCAATTGAAAGTTTATAACATCTGATATTTTAAATCTAAATTTAAATAGATTGAGTTTGCCACGCGAAATAACTTAATGTTGATTATTAACGTTTTTTTATTATGATTTCAGATAGTAAAATGTGGTTATATTGGAATGTGGTTAAAAATGATTGATCTCAGTGAAACAGTAATTTATATAATTCGAAAGAAAAATAATCAGATTTCATTTTTACACTTATACCATCATTTAAGTACCTATTTATTTGCAGCAATTTTTCCAAGATATTTAAGTGTAGAAATTTTTGTATTGTTACCACTTATAAATTGTTATGTTCATGTGATAATGTATTTTTACTATTTTCTGAGTAATTTTGAAGGACCAATTAAACAAATGATCATTCCATTCAAACGCTATTTGACCCTTATACAAATGGTAAATAATAAAATTTCAATAAATTACTATTTGTAAACATTTATAATTAATAAATTTCAATGCTTTAATAATAATTAAACAAAAAAAAAATATTTGATTTAAACAATTGATCACGTGGCTTTTATCAAATTAATATTTATTTGAACCAAATAAATATTATTTGAATTTGATGTATTTTGCGACAAATCATAGATATACCCATTTGCTATTGCATTTCCGATATTTTTGAACAGTTTTTGACAATAGATTTAAAAAAAAAATCAATCACTATGTAAATTGATAAAAATGACTTTTTTTCTTTAAAACTTAAAAATTTCATATGGTAATATCGTTTGAAAAAAATTAACGATTGTTTTTTTGAAATAATACGTTTAAAAACACACATTTTAATAAATAAACTTTTAAAATTGATGCATTTTTAAGGAAGTTATGAACAATTAAAAAATAAAAAATCATTAAAATTCTGTAATTTTGAAAAATTTATGTCGTAAACGGCTTGCTTAAAAAAATTTTTAAAATATCATGAAAGCTAGTACTAAAAAAAATTCAAAAAAGAAAATCGTAGATGCAGTTGCAAGTGGATGTCTGATTTGGCGTTGAATACGTCAAATATATATATACATATAAGAAACAGATACATATTAATTCTCTTTATAAAAAATATTTAAATTGTTTCAGAGTCAACTTATCATTGTACTTATACAAATCTCAGTTGGTATCTTTATAAAAAGATGCGAGTTGCCAAACAAAATGGTTGCTGTAATGTTCTTCAATATTATCTTTAATTTATGTTTGTTCTATCGCTTTTACAAAAAAACTTACATTGACGTAAAAAAGAAAAATTAAGATGTTCTTTTTTTTATATTAATTAAATTAAATGATAATAATCAAAATAATAATAATATTAAAAGTATAGATTATATTTATTATAGTTTCAATTTGATAAAAAATTAATTGTAAATTAATTAAAATAATAATTATTACAATAATTTACATAGTCTCGGATTTTGGAGAGTATTTTTTGCCCTAAATTTTTTAAAATAAAAATGTTGTAAAATTTGCAAAAAAAATTGCTAAAAAAAAAATAAAATTAAAATATGATTTTTTCTCACTCATATGTTTACTTTATGTGTAAATGTTAATTTTAATGAATATTTGTAAATAAATTATTTGAAAAAGGAAGAGGAAAATTAAAATATTTTACCAAATAACAAACCAAGTGATAATTGTATAGGACAAAATTTTTTAAAATTATTATTTTTTAAAAATTATGTTAAAAAGAATTCTCAAGTTGTTCGTTTTGAACATAATTATTATAAAAGTCGGACAAGTGCAAGTTACATTCGCATTAAAACCAAGGGTTCCATCCATGAAAACACATAGATAGACACAGAGAAAAATATATCGAAAATTATCAGTTTTCCCTTGAAAACGCTAGGATAATCAACTCCAATCATTCTCACTATATTTTTTTTTTGTAATCTATACGTAGAAATGTATAAATTTGAAGCCCTTAAAATAAAATTTTCTTCTTTTTTATTTTTACTCATAGAGAATTTCGAAATTTTTCCTATCTTTTGGAAATTCTCCATGAGCAAGGCCAATCAAAATTAGTATAACTTTTAACAAATTCCGAGTATACTTATAATTTTTGAGGTGTACAAGCGCCTTATTACTTTGTTATAACGTTTGAATAATTCAATGTGTTTAATAATTCATTAGATATTTGACTCAATCATTTTTGCTACTTTCTTTTTTTATAATGTGCAGGAATTTCTTTATTTTGTTTAATTTATAACACAATTTGCAAATTTTATATTTTGTTTCATTTATAAAATCTTTAATTTAAACTTAATATTGTTAGTTTGAAATGAACGAATATAAATTTTCCACTGGAATTACAGTAGAACGTTCGAAATATGCCATATCTTTATATTTTTTAAATTTGATGTCTCACTCTGCTTTTCTCTATTCGGTTGGTTTCTATTTTCCCCACTCGCCATTAGTCATAATTCTCGCCAACTACCGCACTCTGATCTAATAAAAATTTAATAACTTTATAGTAACTTTTAATTTTAACAATAAAGTTGGTACAATGTCATCCTTCCAGATAGTCTACTAAATTCTGTTAAGGGTATTTTACAATACTTTCTTTACATCGGTAATTTTAAAAATTATCAAGAAAATAAAATTAATAAGAAAAAGAAATTCAATGAGTGAGATTAGTGTCGTATTGGATTTAGTGGCTAAAAGCAAGTGTTTCATACTAGATAATGAATAATTTGGGCAAATACACAAGGGAACAGGGAAACAGGGCAAGATCCCAAAATATGTTCGTCCAGAAGGTTGCCATTGTTCCTACTCGCAATGTGTCAAAATTCTCATCAACTACCGCACCCTACTCTAGTGAAAATTTACTGACTTTATAGTAAACTTTTACTATACAGTCACTAAGTTTTTACTAGAGCAGGGTGCGGTAGTTGACAAGAATTATGATAAATGTCGAGTGGGGGCAAAAAATTTGATGTTATGTTGATGATAATATTGGCTAGATTAAAGCTGTGTCCACAAAAGGCGTCTTGCGTAGTAAAAAAACCTTCTTTCTTACAATGTATGTTAATATAACACATCACAGAATAACGGAATACAATAGAATTGTTTTATAAGAAAACTATTTTATTTGCTATGATATGCTGCGTTATTTTAACATACATTGTAAAAAAAAGAAGTTTTTTTTACTGAGCAAGACGCATATTGTGGACACAGCTTTAATCAAGACAAAACTATCATAAACATAACCTTCAATTTTTTGCCCCCACTCGCCATTTGTCATAATTCTTGTCAACTACCGCACCCTGTTTTAGTAAAAATTTAGTGACTTTATAGTTAAAATTAAAAGTTACTATAAAGTCAGTAAATTTTCAACTGGAGCAGGGTGCGGTAGTTGATGAAAATTACATGACAGATGGCGAGTTAAGGACAATGGAAAATCAGACATCCATTTGCAGCTGCATCTTCGATTTTTTTTAAACTATTTTTTCTTTTAGTACTGATTAAAACTAACTTTCACGATTTTCTTTAATTTTTTTTAGAAAGCCATTTGCGACATAAATTTTTCAAAATTACAGAATTTTTATGATTTTTTATTTTTGAATGCTCATAACTTCATAGTGAAAATTCTTGTAAATTTGATTTTGATGACGAAAACCATAAAAAAATGTCTCGTAATTTATCATTTTTTTTTTGTTTATTATGTAAAATATGCCAAATTAAAAAAAAATTAGACAAAAGTTTTAGATCTTATTGTAATACATTTTTTATATCCTATATACATTTTTTTTTAATTTTGCATATTTTACCCAATAAACCGGAGATATTTAAAAAAAAATTCAAAATTTCGAAAATTTAAAAAAATTATGTAAATATTGAAAAAAATAATTTCTCCACTATCGAACTAGGCTTAAAATTTTCGTAAAAGAAAGTAATTTTTTAGAAAAAATTTGGAAAAAATGGATCAGTACATGAATTTAAAAAAATGACATTTTGTTTTAAAACTTATAAATTTAATAGTAATATTGTTTGAAAAAAATTATCGTTTTTTTTGAAATAGTACGTTTAAAAACACACATTTTAAAAAATAAACTTTTAAAATTGATGCATTTTTAAGTAAATTATGAGTACTCAAAAATAAAAAATCATTAAAATTCTAAAATTTTGAAAAATTCATATCTCATGAACGGTTTGCTTAAAAAAATTAAAAAATATCATGAAAGCTAGTCTCAATTAGTACTAAAAAAAAAATTCAAAAAAGAAAATCGTAGATGCAATTGTAAATGGGTTTCTGATTTGGTTTGGAATACATTATAATAAATTGTTTATTGTTTTAATAGTACAGGACATGCGATGCACATTTAGAAAAGAAATTATTCATTAAAATTTCAAAAAGTTTATCAAACTATGAGTATCATACGACTGTTTATATTTCATAACTAATAATTGTATATTCATGAAAAAGTTAACTCGATTGACCTCCGAATAGAAATTGTAATTTTTTTTTAAACGAAAACTGATGAGAATCTACAATATACAATGTTACTTTATAGTTCAGGTTTAGAATTTTATTTAAAAATTTATTTTACACAAAATAACCAAATATTTTTATTTGGCAGAACTTTTATTTTAATTATTTTCTTTGCATGAGTTTTTATTGAAAATAATTTTAATTTAACAGAATTTTCATTCAACCGAATTATATGTGATTTGAATTTTTAAATGACAGATATTCGAATTCACCAAATTTTAATTTATCCCAATTTTTTAATTATACGAATTTTTGGTTGACAAACGAAAATTCGGCTTGTTAAAAATTCTATTAATTAAAAATTCGTACAAATAAAAAATTAGGATAAATTAAAATTCGGTGAATTGAAATTTCTGTCATTTAAAAATTCGAATCACATAAAATTTGATTGAATGAAAATTCTGTTATAAATTAAAATTCGATTAAATTATAATTCTTTTAAATAAAAAAATCATTGTATATTAAATTACTGTAAAATAAAAATTCTGCCAAACAAAATTTCGGTAGCTAAAAATTTACTTTTTTTACTTTTGTTTTTTTATTTTTTTATAAGTGTTCAAATTTTTGAGTTATGAATTTTTAAAAATCTGATTTTTTCAATTTTTTTTTGAAATTAGGTGAACTGAAAAAAGGGTTTGGTATTGACAACCAAACTTTTGGTTGGTATTTAAGCAATCAAATTTTTTTTGTTGGATCAACATAAAATTTTAATTGTCTCAATTAAAATTTGTTTGACACAACCAAAATTAGAAAAAAACGAATTTTTTTGTCCTAACTAAAGTTTGATTGGGACAACGAAAATTTTGTTGTTTCAAACAAAAACATTTTGGTTGCTTAAATACCAACCAAACATTTGGTTGTGAATACCAAACCCTTTTTTTTCAGTGTTGTATTTCAAAAAAAAACTTGAAAAAATCAGATTTTTAAAAATTCATAACTCAAAAATTTGAGCACTTATAAAAAAAATAAAAAAATACGTAAACCTTTTTTTTCTATAAAGAATAAGAAAAAATATATTTTAACGAATTTAAAAGGTCATAGGTAAATCTCTCACGTGAAATCGCCCATATGTATAATGGTTAATGAATAATTCATTTAAAAAGCAGTTTCGTTTTTATAATTGATTAATGCTCTGATTTACATCACAGAAAATTAAAAGGCATTAAAATAAGCTGCAATGCTTATTATTTTAATCCACTTTTGCTTATTTTAATACCAAAATGAATTAAAATAAGCAAAATTGGATTAAATTAATAAGCGTTGCAGCTTATTTTAATGCCTTTTAATTTTCTGTGATAAGTTGTTAAATTGATGTGAATCATTGTTAATAAGTTCAGTACATCAAAGGTACCGTAGCGGAAGCTCTTAGTTTTAAAAAAAATTAAAAAATTAAAAAAAAAGTTTATCAGAAATATAATAATAGGTAATAATTTTCAATTAGTCTATTTTTACTAATGAAAACTCTTCATTTTTTTGTGTGTATTTGGATAATTATAAATTATAAAGAAATTTTTATGAAATTCTAAATGGATTTTGCGTTTATGGTAAATTTTAATATTTAATATTTTTTTTTTAATAATTTGAATTTTTTATATTTTTTTTCTGCACAATATTATGTAAATAATAATAATTATTGTTATAATAATACCGAAGTTTTCTGTAAATATTAAAAAATATTTTCTTATATTTCTATAAACTAATTTTTCATTTATAAACTTATTACTCAAATTATAAGTAATCAATTTAGTAATTGTAATGTATGTATATATTTATATGTAATAATGTTATTTTTAAAATTTGCATGTTAAAAAGGCAAATATAATTTGCATTAATAGAAACAAAAAAAATGGTTCCAAAAACATGTGATATAAATTCTAATCATGAAAGCACCTTAACGGCAATTAATAATTCAATAGAGGAAAAATCATCAATGTATTTTAAATCAAAATTAAAATGGAAAATGACAATCTATATTTTACTTCTCCATATTATTGCATTGTATTCTTTATTAACATTTCCATATTCAAAGAAAAAGAGAACACTTCTTTTTTGTGAGTATTTGTAAAAATTTATGATTAATATATTATGTCAATTTAAATAAGAAATTAATATTTAAAATAAATATTTGACCTTAATATTTAATTATAATAATTGCACTACATTGAAATATTTTTCACAATTTCTAGCAATTTTTATGATGTTCATAGCCGGTTTTGGAGTGACTATTGGTGTTCATCGTTTTTGGACCCATCGATCTTTTAAAGCTAAATGGCCACTTCGATTAATTCTCCTTTATTGTTATTACTCGTGTGGACAAGAAAATGGTCGCAGAATGAATATTACTTAATGCTTATAACATAGAAAGGAAAGATGGATATTTTAAATTAGAAAAAAGTATATGTATTATGAAGAATTTTTTTTTTATATATAATATACTTTTTGGAACGATTATAACATTGGCAAGAATTCAAGAAATAATGTTTTTAACTATCGGCATAATCTAGAATAATGTATGGAAATTTTTTTTTAACTTTTATACAACATAATCTTTAAGATCTTATAACTTTAAAATTTGGCTTTTTTGAAACTTAAAAAATGTTTTATAATTTCCGAAATATGTTAAAAAATGTCTGAGCATGTTTTTTTCTTTTGCTCGCACATTTTTTAACATATTTCAGAAATTATAAAACATTTTTTAAGTTTCAAAAAAGCCAAATTTTAAAGTTATAAGATCTTAAAGATTATGTTGTATAAAAGTTAAAAAAAATTTCCATACATTATTCTAGATTATGCCGATAGTTAAAAACATATTATTTTTTGAATTCTTGCCAGTGTTATAATCATTCCAAAAAGTAAAGAAAAAAAAAAAAAAAAAAAAAAAATTCTTCAGAAAAACATTCAAATGAAGAATTTTATCGTCGGCTTTCCAATCATCTAAGTTTCAAGTCTCTAACTTTTTTCTAATTTAAAGTATTAAGCATTTCCACTCTACACACGTCAAGCGTATACGGACAATTATGTTATGATACACTTATCATTTCTGTTAATATTATACACTGTAAAAAAAAGGAGTTAAATTTCAACTCCCTAGGAGATGCTGTAAGGCTGCTTCTACAATAGATTAAAAAATGTGTAACGATCGTGTAGTGTAGTGTAGTGTAAAGTCGTGACGTAGAATATTGCAAATTAACTGCTGTTAATAAACAAAAACATAACCTCAAATTCAAATTTTTAATATTAATTTAATTATTAATTTTAATTTTTAATATTAAAATTCTGAATTTGAGGTTATGTTTTTGTTTATTAACAGCAGTTAATTTGCAATATTCTAAGTCACGACTTTACACTACACTACACTACATGATCGTTACACATTTTTTAATCTATTGTAGAAGCAGCCTAAAAGTCCCACCCTTTTGGAATTGAAGCGAAGGGAGTTAATGCTTTTCGAGTTAATTTTATGCCTAGGGAGTTGGTTTTAAGGAGTTAATTTAATTATTAACTCCTTTTTTGAGCTGATTTTTAAATCGAAAAATTTAACTCCTAACTCCCAGTAACGTTAATTCCCTAATTTTTTTTACAGTGTACTGATGTGCTTTATACAAATTAAAAATATTATCCTTCTTCTTTATTAGAATCCAATATACAATTGGGTGAGAGATCATCGCATTCATCATAAATATACAGAAACAGACGCAGATCCACATAACAGTAATCGGGGATTTTTCTTTTCACATGTTGGTTGGCTTATGATGCATAGACATCCAGAAGTCATAAGACGAGGGAAACAAATTGATATGAGTGATATTTACGCTGATCCTCTTGTTGCATTTGGTGAAAAGTATGTTTTTTAATAACACAGAACCAAAACAATTAACCTCTTTTTCAAAACAAACCGTAATATGAATTTTTCTTATGTATTTTGATGCGCTGAACACAAATCTAAAGTCCGATTTGCTCCATCACGTCAGAAATTTTTTCTATAACCTGAAAAAACCTGTCTAATTAAACAAGTAACTTAAAATTTGTTTGATTCTAAGGGTTTTTTGGTTTGATAGTAGCCATATTTTTTGAGATTAGAAAAAAAATCCATGATGTGATGGAACAAATCGGATTTTAGATTCGTGTTCAGCGCATTAAAATACATCAGAAAATCATATTCCGGTTTACCTTGGAAAAAGTTACATTTTTTTTTTTTTTGGTGGTTCTATGATAACACAGAAAATTAAAAGGCATTAAAATAAGCTGCAATGCTTATTATTTTAATCCAATTTTGCTTATTTTAATCCATTTTGGTATTAAAATAAGCAAAATTGGATTAAAATAATAAGCGTTGCAACTTATTTTAATGCCTTTTAATTTTCTGTGAATAACACGAATCTTTCTTACTTTCTCTGTTTTAATGTCTTTTTTTTTCTTATTACTATACAGATATTTCATGTATTTCAAAGTCCTTCTTTGTTTTGTAATACCTATTCTTATACCTGTTTATTTTTGGAATGAAACCTTGTTATGGTCAATAGCAGCAACAATGATGCGTTATGTAATTATGATGCGTTAATAATTATTTTATAACAGGACAATAGCTCCAAGTGAAAATAAATTTGTTTCCCTCGTTGCATTGGGTGAGGGCTGGCATAATTATCATCATTCATTTCCATATGATTATAAATGCGCAGAATTAGGAAAATATAGTCTTAATTATAGTACATTTTTACTTGATATGTTTGCAAAAATTGGTTGGGCATACGATTTAAAACAACCGTCTAAAGAATTGATAATAGCAGTGATGGAAAAAAAGGGAAATACCTATTTATCTTGATAGATAATGTGTTATAAGAAAAAGTGTTAAAAATCATATAATTTTAAATATATACGTTATTATGGAAAAATAAAACATTTTTAAAAATGACATTTATATCTTCTAATTTTATGTTACAAAAGTACTTTATGTTATGAATTTTACGAAATTTAAAAATATAACGTTATTATATTAACCTAATTTAATCCTCTTAAAATGTTTCACATTTTTTTAAATTTTATAAAATTATTGCTATTGATCTTACTTTTATTTTTATGCTTTCTTCCTATTTTCTATCATCCCAGAATAACAACATTAATTAAATTTTTAAAATATTCTCATATTTTTAATTATTTTATTTTTAGATTTTATATTTAGTTTTCAAATTCAATTATCTAATAAATGTGAATATATATTTTTTATATAAACATAAATCATCATCAATAATAATAATAATAATAATAATAATAATAATAATAATAATAATAATAATAATAATAATAATAATAATAATAATAATAATAATAATAATAATAATAATAATAATAATAATAATAATAATAATAATAATAATAATAATAATAATAATAATAATCGAAATAATAATATAATAATAATATAATATGTAATATAATAATAATATAATAAATAATAATATCGAAACGCGTCATATGATTTTAAGAACAAAATATAATTAAGCCATTAGGCCAAATACTGGTTAACATCATTTACCTACTAAATTAAATTATATGGCTTTTCAAAATTATTAAATTAATAATAATAATAATAATTATGATGATATATAGTTAGTTTATTAATAATTACAAGAAATATAAAATTATTAATAAATATAATAATTTAAGTTACAAAATGATTTCAGTTATTGGATTAAGTTTCAAAATGAAAAGAGTCACACTGTTTTTAACATATTTATTTCTGAATTTCTTGTCATGAAGAGGCAAAAGTAGACTAATTTAGAAATAAGATCTAAATTACTACTATAATGAAGTCCAAAATTTTAAATCGAATTTCTCTGCGTTCGTTGAATATCAAATAAAAGAAAACAAATTTTGCATTGTGTGAATCAAAATCCCTATGCGCATAGGGATTCTGATCCTCACAATGCAAAATTTACTTTCTTTTATTATGAATCTAAAGTGTCTTAACACCTTGACAAATTCGGAACTGAAAAATACAATAAAAAATTTATAATATTACAAGTTAATATTCATTTCTGTTATCACAGTGTATTATAGAGTTATTTAATTATTTTATTTGTGTGATTCTGAACACAATCAATTTAATAATTTAATTATAAATGAACAAAATTTAAACATAGTGCAACTTGATAAATTTTTTTTCTGTCAATTATGTAATTAATAATTTCCTGTTATCAGAGTATCTTAATTGCTGTAGATGACATTTGTTCAGTTGGTTTCCATTGTTCAAAGTTTCCACTCGTCAATTGTCATAATTCTCTTCAACTACCGCACCCTGCTCTAGTAAAAATTTAGTAACCTTATAGTAACTTTTAATTTTAACAATAAAGTCACTAAATGTTCACTGGAACAGGTAGTTGCGGTAGTTGATCGAGAATTCTGGCGAATGGCGTGTAGAAACTTTGGAGAGTTGGTACAATGGTACAATGTCATCCTTCCAAATAGTCTACTAAATTCTGTTAAGGCTGTTCTACAATACTTTCTTTACATTGGTAATTTTAAAAATTATCAAGAAAATAAAATTAATAAGAAAAAGAAATTCAATGAGTGAGATTAGTGTCGTATTGGATTTAGTGGCTAAAAGCAAGTGTTTCATACTAGATAATGAATAATTTGGGCAAATACACAAGGGAACAGGGAAACAGGGCAAGATCCCAAAATATGTTCGTCCAGAAGGTTGCCATTGTTCCTACTCGCAATGTGTCAAAATTCTCATCAACTACCGCACCCTACTCTAGTGAAAATTTACTGACTTTATAGTAAACTTTTACTATACAGTCACTAAGTTTTTACTAGAGCAGGGTGCGGTAGTTGACAAGAATTATGATAAATGTCGAGTGGGGGCAAAAAATTTGATGTTATGTTGATGATAATATTGGCTAGATTAAAGCTGTGTCCACAAAAGGCGTCTTGCGTAGTAAAAAAACCTTCTTTCTTACAATGTATGTTAATATAACACATCACAGAATAACGGAATAAAATAGAATTGTTTTATAAGAAAACTATTTTATTTGCTATGATATGCTGCGTTATTTTAACATACATTGTAAAAAAAAGAAGTTTTTTTTACTGAGCAAGACGCATATTGTGGACACAGCTTTAATCAAGACAAAACTATCATAAACATAACCTTCAATTTTTTGCCCCCACTCGCCATTTGTCATAATTCTTGTCAACTACCGCACCCTGTTTTAGTAAAAATTTAGTGACTTTATAGTTAAAATTAAAAGTTACTATAAAGTCAGTAAATTTTCAACTGGAGCAGGGTGCGGTAGTTGATGAGACAGATGGCGAGTTAAGGACAATGGAAAATCAGACATCCATTTGCAGCTGCATCTTCGATTTTTTTTAAACTATTTTTTCGTTTAGTACTAATTAAAACCAGCTTTCACGATTTTCTTTAATTTTTTTTAGCAAGCCATTTACGACATAAATTTTTCAAAATTACAGAATTTTTATGATTTTTTATTTTTGAATGCTCATAACTTCCTTAAACATGCATTAATTTTAAAACTTTATTTCTTAAAATGTGTGTTTTTAAATGTATTATTTTAAAAAAATCGTTAATTTATTTTTTAAACGATATTACTATTTTATTTTTAAGTTTCAATGATTTTGAAAATCATAGTGAAAATTCTTGTAAATTTGATTTTGATGACGAAAACCATAAAAAAAGTCTCGTAATTTATGGTTTTTTTTTTGTTAAAAAAATTAAATAAAAAGAAGAAATTCAATGAGTGAGATTGGTATCGTATTGGATTCAGTGGCTAAAAGCAAGTGTTTCATACTAGATAATGAATAATTTGGGCAAATACACAAGGGAACAGGGAAACAGGGCAAGAGCCCAAAAAATATTCGACCAGAAGGTTGCTATTGTTCCTATTCGCCATTTGTCATAATTTTTACTACAGCAGGGTGCGGTACACTGTAAAAAAATGTATGGAGTTAACAGCACTGAGAGTTAAATTCTTCGAGTTAAAAATGTACTCAAAAAGAGAGTTAATAATTAAATTAACTCCTTACAACTAACTCCCGAGGCATAAAATTAACTCGTAAAACATTAACTCCCTTCACTTTAACTTCAATAGAGTGGGACTATTATAGCATCCCCTAGGAAATTGAAATTCAACTTCTTTTTTTTACAGTGTAGTTGATGAAAATTATGACAAATGGCGAGTAAGGACAGTGGAAGGTTGGTTTCCATTGTCTCCACTCGCCAAAATACCCGTTCGCCATTTTTCAAAATTCTCATCAACTACCGCACCCTGCTCTAGTGAAAATTTACTGACTTTATAGTAACTTTTAATTTTAAAACAATATTCTCACTAAATTTTCACTAGAGCAGGATGCGGTAGTTGAGGAGAATTATGGCAAATGTCGAGTGGAGACAATGAAAACCAACCGGAAACCTTTCATTCGTCCAAGGGAAAGTTGGGTAGGATTGAAATTTTGTCCAACAATAATATTCGGAAAGTGTTGTATTTAATTGTATTATATATTGTAAACACAGTCTAAATAATTAAAATACTTTCCGAAAATTATTGTTGGACCAAATTTCTATTCTGCCTAATTTTGCTTTGAACATATTTTGGGCTTTTGCTTCCCAACCCTGTTTTTTTTTTAGAAATGTCATCTGGCAATTAAGATATTGGGTTGATTTCCATTGTTCCCACTTGCCAAAGTTCACACTCGTCATTTGTCATAATTCTCGTCAACTACCGCACCCTGCTCTAGTAAAAATTTAATGACTTTATAGTAACTATAAAGTCACTAACTTTTTACTAGAGCAGGGTGCAGTAGCTGACGAGAATTATGGCAAATGGACAGTGGGGATTTTGGCAAGTGGGGACAATGGGGAACCAAACCATTGTTCATTGTGGAACAATAAATTATTGCATTATATTTATTTACACATAATTATACATACAATCCATAATGTTACCAATATTTGAGAATTGAAAATATCCATAAATCAACGTAATGAAAAACGTGTCTTATTGTTATATAACTTAATAGATAATTTTCCAAATAATATTTTTTTGTAATTTAAAATTCCATTTTTTTCGTTTCTTTATATATTTTCCTTTTTTTTAAAAAAAAAAATATATGTGATACATCATTGGCAGTTAAGAACTATAAACTGATTTTTAAAGCATTTGATTTTATTATCATTTTAGCAACATTGAAATTCAATATTTTTAAATATACATTGTTTATTGGGTTAATTGGGTCAAGCATTGTTTCATTAGAGTTTTCTTAGTTTTTGAATATACATGCATTTTGGGTTAATGGGGTCAAATTATTGTTTCACTAATATATTGCCGCACGTTACCGAAACTTTCCTGAATATTTAGTAAATATTTACTTGCAATATTTGGAATATTTAATTGCAATGTTTATTGAAAATTGTGTAAAGATTTAAATGTCCCGATTAAATAAATTTTTAGTGTGACACTTTCTTGAACATTTAAAAAAAAAAAATTCGGGAAAGTTTCTCACTATAAACATTTATTCAAGTAGGACATTTAAATCTTTATAAAATTTTCAATAAACATTACAATTAAATATTCCAAATATTGCAAGTAATACTAATAATGTACATTATAATTTTTAATGCTTGCAAACATTAACAATCGCTTTGAAAGAATTAAAGTTAAAACAGAAAATAATTGAATAAATTATTTAAAAAGTTGATTCGTTTTTATAATTTATTAATGATATGACTCGTATAATAATTGTTGTGAATTATAATAAACATAAGAGTACACTGAGTTATATAGAGGATAGGAGCGAAAGCTCTTATATGTATAGTTTCAATCAAAAACAACTAAAACTTCAAAAAATATTATTACTTATATTAGTTTATAAATTCTCAGGTAATAATAACTTACAATTAATATATCAATGGGAGAAAAAATTTACAAACCTTTATATATATTTTAATGAAAATTTTATTTCATTAAATCAGAGAATTATTTCCCACATATAATAGAAATATATTATTTTTCATAAAAATTTGAGAATTATATTTTTCCGTTTATGTGAAAAAATATTCTTTAAAATATTTTATTTAAAATTATGCGCATTTAAATTTTTACAATTGGCAAACTGAGATTACAAGCGAAAAAAAAACGATAACAAAAAAGATATATTATAATAATTTATAAAATATTTTTACGTCATTTTCTTGTAATCTTACTTTTTGCCTATATTGTAAAAATTTAAATGCGCATAATTTTGTTAAATAATATTTTTTCGCATATACGGAAAAATACTTCTAAAATTTTTATGAATATACTTTTATATACGGAAAATAAATTGTAAATTTTTCACTTACATCTCTTTTAGGTTAAGAGAAAAATTTACAAAATAAGATTATTATTTTATAATTTTTTTTATAGGCGCACACAAAGTGAGAAGAAAATTGAATTTATCATAAATTTCATGATAAAATCAAAATGAAATCAGAAATTATTACAGAAACATTGTCAAACGATAAAAAATTATCAACTACAATTTCAAAACAAGAAATATCTTCGAATTCATTTAAAGCAGAATTAAGATGGATGTCAATAACAATGATAACCGTTGTTCATATGGTAGCAGTTTATACTCTTCTTACTTTTCCATATTTTGAGAAAAAAAGAACGTTTTTATTTAGTGAGTACTAAAATTATAATGCCTTTATATATATTATGCACGCAAAGAAAAAGTTATGTATTTGTCTTAGAGGAAAATAAATTTTTATTTGCTTTAAAATAAATATTTATTTGATTTAAATAAAAATTTTATTTAAAACAAATGAAATTTTTATTCACGTCAAATGAAAAAAGGTATTTGGCTTTGAGACAAATATACGTTTATATTATCCCCACTCGATATTTGTCATAATTCTCGTCAACTACCGCACCCTGCTCTAGTGAAAATACAGTGACTTTATAGTAACTTTTAATTTTAACTATAAAGTCACTCAATTTTTTACTAAAACAGGGTGCGGTAGTTGACAAGAATTATGACAAATTGCGAGTGGGGGCAAAAAATTGGAGGTTATGTTTATGATAGTTTTGTTTTGATTAAAGCTGTGTTCATAATATGCGTCTTGCTCAGTAAAAAAAAAACTTCTTTTTATACAATGTATGTTAAAATAACGCAGCATATCATAACGAATACAATAGTTTTCTTATAAAATAATTCTATTTTATTCCGTTATTCTGTGCTGTGTTATGTTAACATACATTGTAAAAAAGAAACTTTTTTTTTACTGCGCATGACGTCTATTGTGGACACAGCTTTAATCAAAACAAAACTATCATAAACATAACCTCTAATTTTTTGCCCCTACTCGCCATTTTGTCATAATTCTCGTCAACTACCGCACCCTGATCTAGTGAAAATTCTAGTGACTTTATAGTAACTTTTAATTTTAACTATAAAGTCACTAGAATTTTTACTAGATCAGGGTGCGGTAGTTGACGAGAATTATTACAAATGGCGAGTGTGAATTTTGGCAATTTGGGACAATGGCAACCTTTCTATTTATGCAATTTTTGGTGTGTACGTTTTGAAATATATATTCATTTTTAGCATATTTTATGACACAAATGGTTTGTTTTGGAGTAACCGCTGGTGCTCATCGTTTTTGGACACATCGTTCCTATAAAGCTAAATGGCCACTTCGATTAATTCTTCTTTATTGTTTTTACACATCTGGACAAGTAAGCATGAATTTTGTCCTTTTGGTTTGACATTTATCATAATTCTCGGTCAACTGTCGCATTCTGCTTCTAGTGAAAAATTTAGTGACTTTATAGTAATTTTTAAATTTTACTAGAATGTCACTAAATTTTTAACTACCGCATTCTGGTTCTAGTGAAAAATTTAGTGAGTTTATAGTAACTTTTAATTTTAATTAGAATGTCACTAAATTTTTTAACTACCGCACCCTGCTCTAGTGAAAAATTTAGTGACTTTATAGTAACTTTTAAATTTAACTAGAATGTCACTAAATTTTTAACTACCGCATTCTGCTTCTAGTAAAAATTTACTGAGTTTGTAGTAACTTTTAATTTTAATTACAATGTCACTAAATTTTTTAACTACCGCACCCTGCTCTAGTGAAAATTTAGTGACATTGTAGTAACTGTTAATTTTATCTAGAGCAGGGTGCGGTAGTTGACAAATGACAAATGATCTTTCCATACGCCACGAAATAATAAAATTATAGAAGTGTCACGACTTTTCGAAAAAAATCACAAAGTTATATATATTACAACGTTGAAATTTGGAAAAAAGTGACAAATTTTCAGCACGTTGTAAATTTCCATGCCGAAATATCAGAAGACAACATATCCTAAAATTTGTTTTTATTTTGTAAATTTTTTCACTTATTGTCTCTTTTAGGTAAATAAGTGAAAAATTTATAAAATAAAAACAACTTTTAGGTTATGTTGTCTTCTGATTTTTCAACTTGTAAATTTACAAAGTGCTGAAAGTTTGTCACTTTTTATTCAAATTCCAACATTATAAAATAACTCTGAAATTTTTGTGTTTTAATAATTTGTATATACATTTCTATTAAAAATATTTTAATAATAGAATTCAGTTTATAATTGGGTGAGAGATCATCGCGTTCATCACAAATATTCAGAAACAAATGCAGATCCACACAATAGTGATCGTGGATTCTTTTTTTCACACGTTGGATGGCTTATGATGCAAAAACATCCAGAAGTCATAAAACGAGGGAATCAAATTGATATGAGTGATATTTACGCTGATCCAATTGTTGCATTTGGTGAAAAGTATTTCGATATTTAATATAATTCTCTTTCTTTCTCTTTCTCCTCCCCCCCTTTTTTTTTGTCTGATAATGCTTCATTTTTCTCAATTTGTAGGTATTTCTACTTTTTTAAAGGTTTCTTAGGTTTTATAATACCAATAATTATACCCATATATTTTTGGAATGAGACCTTGTACTATTCAATAACAATGTCACTTTTACGATATGCTTATACATTGAATTGCACGTGGAGTGTCAATAGCGCTGCACATATGTGGGGTTATAAACCATACGATAAGTAAGATAATTATAAAGAAACGTAAAAAGCAAAAAAAAATTAAAAATTATAGGTTATGTTTATGATAGTTTATAGGGAAAGAGACTAAAGAATAAAAAAAATTATAGGTTATTTTTATGATTGGAGGAAAAGGCACCTAAGAAAGAAAAAATTATAGGTTATGTTTATGATTGTTTAGAGGGAAAGGCACCTAAGAAAGAAAAAATTATCGGTTATGTTTATAACAGTTTAGAGGGAAAGTTACCTAAGAGAGATAAAAATTATAGGTTATGTTTATGATAGTCTGAAGGAAAATTACACACTGAAGTTACAAAACTATCATAAACATAACCTGTAATTTTTATCTCTCTTAGGTAACTTTCCCTTTAAACTATTATAAACATAACCTATAATTTTTTTCTTTCTTAGGTGCCTTTCCCTCTAAACAATCATAAACATAACCTATAATTTTTTCTTTCTTAGGTGCCTTTTCCTCCAATCATAAATATAACCTATAATTTTTTTTATTCTTTGGTCTCTTTCCCTCTAAACTATCATATACATAACCTATAATTGTTTTTTTCTTGTCCCTTCCCCTCCGAATTATCATAGACATAACCTATAATTTGTTTGTTTAATTATATTCAAAACTATCATAAACATAACCTATTTTTTTTTTTTGCTTAATCATATATATACAAAACTATCTTAAACATAACCTATAATTTTATTTGCTTTTTGCATAAAAAAAATAAATATAAATTGACTAAAAAGTAAAATTTATTATTTACTATTTTTACAGGACAATAGCTCCAGTGGAAAATAAAATTGTTGCCTACTTAGCATTGGGTGAGGGTTGGCATAATTATCATCATGTATTTCCATATGATTATAAATGCGCAGAATTAGGAAAATATAGTCTTAATTGGACAACATTTATGATTGATATGTTTGCAAAAATTGGTTGGGCATACGATTTAAAACAACCTTCTAGTGAAATAATAAACATAATGAGGACAAAAAGAGGAGAGTTATCGCCATCTTTTGCAGTGTCAAAAAAATTAAAATAACATTTATTTATATTTTGACAAAATATTTTTAAAATATATATATATATATATTCTAACACTAAAAAATGATACTTAAGAAAATATAAAAATTATAGGTTATGTTTGTTGATTTTTTAAAGTTAAAATACACATGAGAAATAAAAAAAACTATCATAAACATAACCTATAATTTTTTTTTCTTAAGTGCCTTACTTCAGAACGCTAAATAATAAAATTATTATTATTATTATTATTATTATTAATATTTATTGTAATTTATATTGTAAATTAATTATTATAATATTATATTACATTTATATTATTTTTATTTATTTATTATATTAACATCGAATATTAATATAAAATATAATAAAAAAAAAGTAATTAATTATTATTGTTATTATTATTATTATTAAAAATATGAAAATGTGATTTTGGACTAGTTTTTATTTTAAAAAATCGACACTACTTTAGCATGCCCTTAAAAAAAAAAGTAAATTGTAATTATTACTATTATTATTGAGATTTATAATTTTATTTAAATCTCCCCAAAAAGGAATTTTACTTTCATATAGTCGAGAAAAAATATTTTTTGTAAATGCTTTATAAAAAAAATAATAAGTTCAATTGAATTAATTTTAGAAATATAGAAAATTGTATCCTGATTTTAAATTTCCAGCCCCTGTAGCTTGACAACCCGTTATTATCACGTGAAATTGTTTCTGTTTTGAATTAAAAATAGAATTTTGTCTTCGAAATTCTTTTTCATATTCAAAAATCTGTCAATTTTGTTAGAAAAATAATTATTAATTATTTAATTATTAGTTTATATTTTTATTTAATTTAATTTATTAACGGGACATTTATAAATATCAAATATTTCGTTTTTACTTTTAGGTTATGTTGATCATAAAATTAATATTGTAATATAAATATGTTAATAATAATAAATAAACTACTATATATTTATTATATGTTAATTATATTTTTTTATATTTAGTATAATAATTAATAAAATATATTTTTCTCTTTATTTAAAAAAAACAAATTTAAATTCATAGTCGATATTCATATATCGAGAATTGACGATCGATATATATATATATATATATATACGCATTGTTAGCTAACTTCAATTGGGTTACAGTGACGTTGTATCTACTTAAAGATGGCGGTGATTGGTACGCCATGTTTCTCGTGATTTTCTCGCGTATTAGAAAATTTTTTTGAGATCTTAAATTTCGTATGTGCAACAATGGCCGATGATGAAACATGGTTATTGAAGGAAGACGGTTATCTTAATTTAGATTGTGAGTGCAAAAATATAATCTATCATCCGAATTTAAATGTGGTGCTGATTACTACTGGGAATGCGCAAGTGTGCGTTTTTGATGTCAACTCAGGACTGATTCTACAACGCAGCTTTCTGTCTGGTAATAAAAAAATGGCAACAATTTTTATTTATTCAATAATGATAATTATCATTTAATTGAATATTAAAATATTTTAATGCGCGTAAACAATTTGTTGTATTTTTTTTTTTTTTTTTCGCAAATGCAAAGTCGTCGCCCCATCTTCGTCGTCATGTTCAAGGTCGTCTTTCGTTTTCTTGGTGTGTCTATAGACACCACTCAAAAACGTCAGGCCATAAAGATTTTTTTTTTTTTCTGTAAAAAAAAAAAAAAGGAAGAGAATTATTTTCCAATCGCCCACTTTTTTGAGCCTCTGAATTTTAATTATGGAAAATATTTATTTTGTTAGTGATGAAAATTATTTTGTTATTTATTTGCGGAGAGTGCGGTTTTTTTTTAACTCCCCGAAATTACTCAATGGAAGGGTTCATTGTGACAGAAAGAGTCTTTTTACTTTGAAAAAGGAAATTTGATTTTGTTTTTTTTTTTTTTTGCTTTTTATTACGACTCTAATAGAAGGAAAATTTGGAAAAAAAAATTTTGTTTGTCAAAAAATACCGTTCTCTAATAAATTGAGATTTTGTTTGACAAATTTTCTTTCTATTTAGAAAATATTTTCTAAGTGGAGGAAAAAAAAAGTATGATTTTTATATTAAATAAACAATTTTTTATTCTATTCATTATAATTTTAATTTTGATTAATAAAAAAAAAAAAAAAAAAAAAAAAAAAAAGTGAAAAATATTCCGAATTCAAAGAAATTAAAAAAAAAATTTCGAAAATTCCAAATTTTGTTGTAAACGATAAATATTTTCCATATAATAAAAAAAATAATAATTTCCCATCGTTTAATATTTGACATTATATTTTCCAGCTAATTAAAACGGTAATTAGTTCGAATGCTTTTTTTTTATTATTAATTTCATTTTTTTTAAATCAATATTAGCAAAAGAATATAATTTCTCCTTTTTTGCTAATATTGATTTCTTATAAATAAAGAAAAAAAAAATTATTTTTTTTATAACCATAAATTGAATTATAATTCAAGAAATAAAAGAAAAGTTTAATTAATTACGATTTGAAAGTGGGAGGGAAAAATAAATAATTCTCAATATAGAAATCAAAATAAAAAAATAAGAGATTTTTTATCGCAACTTGAGCTCTTATTTTGTAATTTATGTAACTTTAACATATTAATGAAGCCGTTAGAATGAGTTATTCATTTCTGAGAAAAAGCTTTTGAAGGTAAATAATTCTTTCACTCTATACTTTGTAAAAAAAAAAAAAAAAAAAAATAGTAAATGAAAAAAGAATTTAAAACAATATTTACCATTATTTACATTGAGTAAAACGAAAAGAATTTCTTATTTTTAAAAAGAGTTTCATTATTAAAAAATTTATACTATGAACATTTTTTTTTTTATATCAACGAAATTAGTTTATTTTTCACATGAAGAAATTATTTTATTCAAATTATTTGAATTCAATAAATAAATAAATAATAATTTTTTTTTTCATTATAAAAGGAAAATAAATTTAATGTAAATTTAAAAAAAAAGTAAAAAAAATAGAAAAATTTATTTAACGCAAATAAAATTGATTTAATACAAAATAAATATTTAGCTCTGAGACAAATATTTCTTTTTTTTTTTATATGGTTGCAATTATTTTAATTATAATAATTAATTATTTATAATTGTAATTGTTTATTATTGCAAATAATTATATTTAATTATTGTAAATAATAATTTTTAATTTTTGCAAATAATAATTTTCAATTATTTGCAAATAATTATATTTATTTATTGTAAATAATAATTTTTGTTATATTAATCGCAAAATAATAATTAATTTTAAATTAATGCAAATAATTATTTATTATTTCATAGGATTATTAAATATTCCAATTAATTTTGTCTTTTTTATTTATTTAGTTGTTGTTTTTTTTTAATTATTAAAATTGTAAAAATGGATTAATTTAAAAAAAAACTGATTTTATTTTTCATTATTTTTGTTTTTTAGATAAATCAGGTGGAAAATTGCGTGGTACATATTTGGCCGATGGAATCGACAAAATATTGTACACAGATGGACGAGGAATAGGCGTTAGAAGTGATTACAATGGAGTACTTTTATTGGATACAATATTACAAACTCCAGTGTCTCGTAGTGAAGATATTATAAAATTAGAACTACTTCTTTCGGAAGCTGTTTTACTCTATCAATGTCTACGATGTATAGATCTACCGGGAGCAGATCATTTACAGGAGGTTCTTCAGGAATTATCCTCAAAAATTCATTCCGGACATACGAGCCAAAAAAGGGGAATCAAAGCACAAAAGGTATAAAAATAAAAATAAAAAATTTTACTTTTTTGGAAAACAAAGAAACAAAATTAATATATTAATTATTAATTAAGTATAAAATTTATTTAATTTTCATTATATATATATATATATATATATATATATATATATATATATATTTATTTATTATTTAATTGTTGAAAACAAATTTTAAAAATCTATATACATATTTTTCCAATAATTCAAAATTATGTTCAATTTTCGTGCACTGCGGAAATAATCGCAGTAAAAAAATTGAATAATTGAATAGAATTTTGAATTTTTGGAAATTATCAATTTTAACATAAAAATTTAATTACTGATTAAATTAAAAAAAAAAAAATTGATTAGCTAATTGAAAAAAAATTGATTAGCCAATTTAATTTATAAAAGTAAAAAATAATTACAATTAACGTAGAAAAAATTGGTTATTTAATTAAAAACTTTACTCAGCTAATTAAATTGAAAAAAACTTGATTATTTATAAATAATTATAGATAATAATGATCAAACTAAAAAAAATTTTTTTTTGATTAATTACAAAAATTGGATTATCTAATTAATTTTTAATTTGATCATCAAATTAAATGAAAAAATTTAATTTTTCTATTAATTTTTTAGAAACTCAAGTTTCTTATTAAAAATTCAAAAAAATCGATTTAACTTCAAAAAATGTGTTTTTATTTAATTCGAAAACGAAATTTGAATTATTTATTTATCAATATAAACTAATTAATGAATTATAATGATGAAATTAAGAAAAGAGATTCAAAAAAAAAGAAGAAACTGTTTTTCATTTAAATAAATTGATTAATTATTAATATAAAATGAAAATAGTTAATTTATAATTATTAATTAATTTTTAATTATATATAGAATATGTATAACATAGAACTGAAATTGAATTTAGAACTTTAATTTACATTGAGATAGATGAAATAAAACATTTTAATTAAAACTTTTCAATTGAGATTAAATTAAAGATTTAATGTAAAAAGAAAAAAAAAAACAAAAATTATATACAACAATTTTCTTCTTTTTCTGTAATTAGAGGATGAGAAATTTTTTTTTTTTCCCGTGACATTCTTTAATTAGAGAAAATTTACAAGATAAAGATTAAAATTACGTTCAGTACATAAAAATTGGAGTTTTTTTTAAAGGAAAAAATAAAAAAAAGTACTTTTTTTTTGCAATATTTAATTTAATTTTTAAAGTAATTGAATAATTATTATAACGTTGATAAAACAAAATCGAATTTATTTGTTTATAATTTAAACTAATCAAAAGGCAAATTGAAATCTTCGTTGTTGTAAATTAATTATTTTATTTTTAACAATATTAGAAAAATAATTTTTAATTTTTTGATTTTGCAAATAAAAATTAATTTTTTTGTTGTAAATTCAGTGGAACACAATATGTTTGGAATTGCCACATGGAGCTTTGAAACTCGTGTGCTCTGGACTAGTAATGGAATTGAAAAAACAAACGAGGCACATTCCGGCATTGCCGATTGCCTCAGCAATAAACGAAAGACTCAACGGCCTAATGCCAAGTGTCAATATAGAAGGAAGACCTGTTGATAGGGCTCTTATGTTCAGTGAAGCTGCCCGGCGCGATTCATTTTCCAAATGGCCACACATGAATTACAGGTAATTACAAAAAAGATATATTTTTTTTTTTTTTACTATAATTTACTTAAATAAATGCATTTTATAATTTTTCTCTTCGTCAATATTGACGAAATATGTTTTCCATTTTCAAATGGAATTTTCTTTCAAATTGATGAAAAAATTAATTTTCAATACAAAAAATTTATAATTTCCAAAAATATAATTACCAAAAATATAATTACCAAAAATAAAATTACTAAAAATATAATTTCTAAAAATAAAATTATAAAGTAGGTAAATTGCTGAAAAAAAAAATAAAAAAATTATTTTTTCGACGAATTTTCAATATTTAAATTAAAATTTCACAGATTTTCATTTTATACGAATTTTCACACTAAGAAAATTTTTATCTTACCGAATTTTTGCCTGAATTTTTATTTTACAGTCAATTTTTTTTTACATGACTTTTTATTTAAAAGAATTTTTAAAGAGAATTTTAATTTAACAGAATTCTCATTCAATTGAATTGTCATGTAAATCGAAATTTTAAATCAAAGAAATTCCAAATTCACCGAATTTTAATTTGTACGAATTTTTATTTGTTCGAATTTTTAAGACGGGAAATTTTCATTTGTCCAAAATTACAAATTGATCGAACATAAAATAATCGACAAAAAAAAAATTTCGGCGCAATTTTTTTTTTTTTTTTTGAAAATTATCAAGAAAATATTTTGTGATTGGTCAATTTTCAAAAATTGCGCCAAAATCTTTTTGTTGATTTTTTTATTCTATCAATTTGTAATTTAGGAACAAATAAAAATTCGGTCAAATGAAATTTTTGACGTCTTAAAAATTCATACAAATTAAAAATTTAGTGCAAATAAAAATTCGGACAAATTTGAAATTTGATTAAATGAAAATTCCCTTAAATTGAAATTCGTTTAAATAAAAATTCAAGAAAATAATTTTAAAATAAATATTCTGGCAAAAATTCGATAGATGAAAATTTTGTTAGTGTAAAAATTTAGATAAACATACTTTCGATATTCTGTATCGTTACCGGAAATGGAAGTCTCGTATTTTGATATTAATTTAGATTATAATTATTAAAAAAAAAAAATTCTAAGAAATTATTTAGATTGTATTTTTTGTAAAAAAAAAATCTCAGAAATCATTTAGATTATAATTATTTTTAAAAAATTCGCAGAAATTATTTAGATTGTATTTTTTTTTATATATAAAAAGAATCTCAGAAATTGTTTAGATAATAATTATTAAAAATAAATATAAGAAATTATTTAGATTATAATTATTTTTTAAGAAATTTTTAAATTAAGATTATTTATTTAACAAATAAATAATAATTAAAGAAAAAAAGAAAATTATTTTTGATTCTTATTTCATTGAAGATGGGCATTTCCCGATCAAATGGCACAAGCTGGCTTTTATCATCAGCCAAATTCAACGGGCGATGATCGGGCAATGTGCTTCACCTGCAACGTGTGTCTCGTCTGTTGGGAACCAACTGATGAACCATGGTCAGAACATGAACGACATACACCAACTTGTCCCTTTGTCAAAGGAGAATACACACAAAATGTACCCCTTTCAGTTACACTTGCAACGGCGCCCGCTCATATTTCCGATGGCAGTGTCGAAATAATCGGCACAACAAATGTTGCCGGTCTTGTTTCCACGGGTACAAATAATGGCCTCGTTAATGTTTGGAATGTACGCAATCAGCTCAAGGTAATTGGAAAAATTAATTTCTCCTTTTTTTTTTTATTCAAGAAAAATTTTCTCCCTTTTCTATATATTAGAATAATAATAATTATTATTATTCAATTTAATTTGTAATTTATTAGAAATGGAAATAATTTTCAAACCATGCAAATTTTGATGATAAATATGATATTAATGAAAATTATTAATTTACATTAATCAAGAAATTAAAATTTACAAATTTAATAAATTTACATTTAATAAAATTTTCATTAATCAATTTTTAATTTCAATTTATTAGGAATTTTAATTTAACAAACTATTAATTGATTTGAGTTTGGAAATTATTCGAATTTCAATTTATTCAAATTTTAATTGATTTAGATTTCAAATTATCTGAATTTTAATTTAAAAAAAAAATTCGAATTAGCAAAAATTTTAATTTATCTAAATTTTAATTGATATAAGTTTCTAATTATACGATTTTTAATTTATCCAAATTTCAATTGATTTAAATTTGAAATTATTCGAATTTCAATTTATTAAAATTTTAATTGCTTTTAGCTTCTAATTATCCGAATTTCAATTAAACGAAATTTTAATTGATTTAACTACCAAATTATCCACATTTTAATTTATAAATTTTTTTTTTTTTATTTTAGTTTTGAATTATCAAAATTTTAATTGATTTAAGTTTTAAATTATCCGCATTTTAATTTATTAAAATTTTCTCTGATTTTAGTTTTGAATTATCAAAATTGTAAATCATAAAAATTTTAATTTATCCAAATTTTAATTGCTCTTTGTTTCAAATTATCTGAATTTTAATTTATATAAATTTAAATTAATTTAAGTATCAAATTATCCGAATTTCAATTTATTTAAGTTTTCAAATTATTCGAATTTTAATTTTTTTAAAGTATCTAAAAGTAGAAATTCAAATTTTGAAATGAAATGAAAAAAAAATTTTGTTTTCTAAAATTCGGAAAAATTTAAATTAACTCAAAATAATAATTATAAGTTGAAAAATTTAGAAAATAATTGAATTTTTAATACAATTTAGATTTTTAAATTAATTTTAATTAAAATTAACTCAATGTAATAATTTCAAGTCGAAATTTTTTTAAAAATAATTGAATTTTCTTTATTTATTATTAAAAAGAAAATTTAAATAATTGAAATTTATTTGAATTTTTGAAAATTTTGGAATGTAATTGAATTTTTGAAGATTTAAAGTTCACATTTTTAGAAATAATTCCATTTCAAGAGAATTTAAATTTGAAATATTTTGTAAATTTCAATTTTAGAGAATTTTTAATTACGAATTATTTAGAATAATTGAATTATTGAAGAATTTTGATTTAATTATTAAAAAAAAAAAAATAATTGATTTGAAAAATGATTTTGGATAAAAATTTACAAATAATTGAATTTTTAAAGATCTACAGTTGAAATTTTTTGAATTGAATTTCAGGTGATTTAAAAATTTGAATTTTGCTAAAAAATATTGAATTTTTTTTTACAAATTTCAGAGAAAAAAATTCAATTTTAGAGAATTTTTAATTACTCATTTTTTATGAAATTAAATTTTCGAAGAAATTTATAAAAAAAAAAAAAATAATTGAGTTTTGTTTTGTTTAATTCGGAAAAATTAAAATTAACTAATAATAATAATAATAATAATAATAATTGTAAATTGAAAAATGTTGAAAACTAATTGAATTTTCGAGATTATAAAGAATTTTTAAATAATTTAAATTTCGTTGAATTTAAAAAATTAATGAATTTTTAAAGAATTTACGGTTTTTGAGTTTTGTAAAAAATAAAAAAAAATTTTAATTTAAATTGAAATATTTTAATATTTAATTTTTATTCAATTAATTAATATTTATTTGTTAAATAATAATTAATAAACATTATGTGTGTTTTTTCTTAAAAGTTAGTGAGCAATTTAAATTTTTATTTAATTTCTCATTTTTTTTTGCCGTTGAAAGATTCTATAAAATTTTGATTTTTCTGTTTTTTGTTAAATAATGTTTTTGTTTAAAAAAAAACCAAAAAATTTTCCTATAAATTTTTAAAAAAAATATTTTTAATAAAATTCAACAAACAGAAAATCTTTTAAAGAAAAAATATAAAAAAAAAAAAAAATGAAATAATTAATTATTTAGTAACAAAGAGTAAAATAATTTATTTTGAAAATTGTACAATTTTTCAAAATTTATTGAAATTAATTTTATTTATTTATTTGTAGATGAAAATTACTTTTTAGTTTAAGATAAAACACAATTTTTTAATTATTATTAACTAAAGAATGCGAAGCCTTAAATAAATATTTCTAATGATTATTTTATTTTTTTTTTGCGAGAAATAAATAAAAAAAAATTTTTTTTGCAGCGCGAGGCCTCTTTCTATATTGCATTAAGCGATCACGAGAGCAACAATAAACAAACAATGCAATTTTTTGCAATGTCAATGGAATCAGACAGTTATGATTCCGAAGCAACAACAATGAATTATTACAAATCATCAGTATCGCATCGTATTGAATTGACATCATTGTCGATAATTGGTCCATTAAAATCAACAATTGAAGAAACAAGCGATAATCTTACAACTAGCATTCCAATTAAAACACAACAACAACAACAACATCAACCACAACAGCAACAAATACCTTCATTGGAAACACAAATTAGGCCTTGTCTTATATCGGGAATTCTTGTCAATAATCATCGTCACAATCATCAATCGCGTAATCTTGAAAATGTTTGGGCATCAACGACAGATTTAGCATCATCATCATCACTTGTACAAGCAATGAATAGTGTTAATAGTGCAGCAAATGATCGACAAACAATAATTGATATTATGAAAGTTGGAAGCGATTCAACAGCGACTTATCAACCAAAAAAAATGCTCTATTTGGTATTATGTGATTTTCATCATAAATCAGTATTGCCAATTGCATTAAAAAAAGATGAGGCTAAACAAACAAAATCAAAGAAAACATTATCGGGCACCGGTACAAGTACAAGTTCAAATGATGGTAGACAGGAGAATCTTTATCAGGAATTATTTTTAAGTAAATTTTTATTAGAGGATTTAGTTGAGGATGTTGATTCAGAAATGCTTGTTGGTACACATTTTGATAATATTTTTCCCACAACACCATTAACTGCATCATCATCAAATGGAATTTGTCCCACACCACTTGTACCACCGCCTGGTTTTACATTTGATGCTAATTTTAATCCAATTAATAGTGGACAAGAATTTACAAATTCAGAAAATAGTAGTGGTTGTTCAAAAAAAATTCCCGATGTTTCAATAACAAAATCAACAACAACAACAACAATAACAAGAACAACAAAAATGGAACCAAGTGTTATACAAAGTATAAGAATTGATGCACCGGAAAATATGAAAATTAGTTTTATCTCGGCAACAAAAGACGGACGACATTTGTATGTTGCATTATCGCCAATTGAAAAAGAATGTTCAACAACAACGACGACAACAACAACAATTCGTATGGATATTGATGAGGAGAGTGAATTTTTTCCACAAAAAAGTTTTATGTATTGGGATCATAATGAAACGCAAAGTAGTGAAAGTTTATTGTCAAATGGTGATGATGAGAGGAGAAATTTGGAAGTTAATAATGATGATGGTGGTGAGGAGGTGAATGAGGATAATAATGATGATAATGGTATTAATAGTGAAAAGGCAATATTATTGATATATGCACTTGATTTTACTGATAAAGTTGTGAGAATAATACCTGATCCATTGGTACGTCAAGAATTGCCAGCTGATGAAACGCCATTGGAACATGTTTTATTGCCAATACAAGAGAAAAATCGTAATAAAGCTGTACAACGTGGTGAACCATTTGGACGTATTGCATTAGTTTGTAAGGATGGTGTTGTTCGTGTATTGAATTTAAATAATTTAAAAACTGTCGCACGAGTACGTTTAGAGGGACAGAAATTTGTATCAGCCGCCTATTGTACAAGTGAGTTTGAAACTTATTATTTTCCAATATTCTAATACAGGGTGTCTGGAAGTCCTGGAAATGTCTTGGAATTTGAAAAAATGTTCTGGAATGTCCTTGAAAGTCCTGGAATTTTAATTTTTGTCCTTGAATTTTTTATATTTTGCTTTTAAATTTTCAAAAAGTTATAATTTTTGTCAATCAAGTTAAAAAAAATTCATTAAATAAGTAAAATGAAAATTTACTTAAGTAATTAATTAATTTTTTAATAATTTCTGAAAACAATAGTTAAACTAAAAATTTTTTTATTCCTTAAAGTCATCTAATTTAATGTCCTGGAAAAATAAGAAATTTGTCCTGAAAAGTCCTGGAATTTTAATTCAGATTTTTAGTAGACACCCTGTAATATGATAATTTTAATTTAAATATTATTCTAAAAATTTTAATAATTTTTAATTTGCAATCAAATTTTTTACATTCTCACATCATAATGAGAAAGGTATTTTAATAAATTTTTACATTTGCTTGATTGTTTTGAACGTTCAAATGAAGGAAATAATTTTTTTTTTTTTTTAACTACGATAATGAAAAATAATAAATTAATAAATTATTTTTAGATAAAAAAAGCAATATTTTTTATAATAAAAATTTGAAATTAAAAAAGTAGCAAATACAAAATTTTTTTGTTCATTTTGAAAATTTAAAACTACAGGTGTATAAATTTTTAAGTTATTTAAATTTTTTATTTAATTGAATTTAATTTGTATTTATTAAAAAAGTTTTTTCTTGTTGATAATATTTTCAAGTCCGAATTTTAATTTCTTAATTTACATTTACACTAATTTTTACTTAATGGAATTTTTATTTGTTTTTTTTCCTAATATAATTATTAATAATTTTCAAAATTTTCAATTAATAATTGAATTTTTGTTTTACTTACATTTTTTATACTTAATGAAATTTTCAAGTATCTGAATTTTAAATTTAATTTACAAATTTACATTTACTAAAAATTTTTATCAAATAAAAATTTTATTTATATTAATTATTGTTTAACTGAATTTAATTTTCATTTAATCAAATTTTTACTTAGGACAAATTTAATTTTATTCTTTTTTTTCCAAATTTTCAATTTAAAATATCAAGTAAATTTCAATTATTTTCAAAAATTTACAATTTAAAATTAACTAAAATTCAATTATTTTCAAAATTTTCAATTCAAAATCAACTAAATTTTAATTATTCTCAGAAATTTTAATTCAAAATTAATTATTATGAAAATTTTTAATCTAAAATCAACTAAAATGAAATTATTATCCAAAATTTTAAATAAAATTTATTCATTTTCAAAAATTTCAATTGAAAATTAACTAAAATCCAATTATTTTCAAAATTTTCAATTTAAAATCAACTAAAATTCTATTATTCTCAAAAATTTTAATTCAAAATTTTTAATCTAAAATCAACTAAAATTAAATTATTATCCAAAATTTCAATTCAAAATTAACTAAAATTCAATTGATTGATTTGATTTTATTCAAATTTTTTATTTAATATGAATTTTTATTTAACTGAATTTAATTTACAATTTTATTCAAATTTTTATATTTAATGAAATTTTTAACAGTTATTGCCACGGATTAGGGAAAAGTTATGAAATTTTTTTTTTTTTTTTTGAAAATGACTGGAAAAATAACAAATTTCTGAAAAATACTTTTAAGAATTATAATTATTGAAATTTTTATTTCAAATTTTTTATAAATTCTAAAAATTATAAATTCTCAAAACTTGTAAAAATTGTCTTAATTTTTGTATATAATTTAAAATCTCTTGAAAAATATTTTCAATTAGTGTCAGAGAAAAAAAATTTAAATTCTAACTGGAAATTATAAGCTAAAAATTTGTGAACGTTCAAATGAATGAAATTTTATTTTCAATCTATAAATTATTAAAAATAGCAAATGTAAAGTAAAATATTAAATTAACAATTTCTTTTTAGATATTTAAAACAATATTTTGTAATAAAATTCGTACTTAAAGAAGTTGTAAAAAAAAAGTTTGTTCATTTGAATGTTCAAAATTTTTTTGGCTCATTGGAAAAATCAGGGAAGAATAAAATAAAATTTTTGTGTCAAACCAGTTAATATTTTTATATTTACAATTTGAATTAAATTTAAAATGTAAAAATAAGAATTTAAGCTCAAGAACGATAAAAAATAATTTATTAGTTTAAAAAGGAATTATTTTTTAATATTCCTTTTTAATTAAAAATTTTTTTAACTTTGATTTTGTAATTTATCGAACAAGAAAATTACAGATTTTCACATTTAAATAATTCAATTGTTACTAAATTTTTATTTAATTGAATTTAATTTACACTTACTCAAATTTTTATACTTAATAAAATTTTTGTGTATCTGAATTTTTATTTAATTTAAATATTTACTTAAATTTTTACTTAATGGGATTTTTATTTGTTTTTTTTTTTTTCGTTTTCTATGTTCTTTAAGGGAAATTAATTTTCTTTTTTTGTCGAATTTCGATGAGAATAGACAAATTTTTTTTGTGAAATAAAAAAGGAAAATTTTATATAGGAATTAATGAATTTGAAGAAAATGAAAAAAGAATAGTTTTAATAATAAAATTTTGTTTTTCTTTTTAAAGGTTTAGAAAGATTGTGCGCGTGTACAAGTAATGGAGCGCTTCACTTTTTTGCAACGACGGAAGAAGATGAAATACCAGAAGAAATGGAAGAAACTGAAGATTTGAAAATGATCACTGAAATTAGTTGCGTTAATGAACGAACCGAACCGAGTACATCAACGTCTTCCACTGTGTATCAGTAAGTTTTATTTAATTTTTTTTTTATTTCATTTCTAATAAACTTTTATTTATTAATTAATTAGTAATTTAATTTTCTTATTTATTATTAATTTTTAGAAATATTTATTTTAATTTCTAATTTTTTTTTTTTTTTTTTGTCTTTTTGCAGGGAACCGATAATAGCGCACAGGAATAATTTAAGTTATGCCGATTTAAAGACACTTTATGAATTAACAAAGTTTGATAAACATTCACCCGCTTATAGAGCAAATGTCCCGCCATGTTGGAGTGAAATGATGCAAGCACAAAGACAACGACATTATCCACAACATTTGCATCAAGCTGAGGATCAACATCATACGAGAACTTGGCGTTTACAAAATGATGCATCAACATGGGATGAACATATTTTTGAATTAACATTACCAAGAACAGCGTCGGGTGTTGTTGGACATGTTGATGTGAAATTTAATTTACATTCACCATGTCCTGAATTGCCGGCAATTCAAGTGACATTATTGAAACAAAGTATATTTAGTATTGGTCATCATAAAACGCCAATAACATCGGTTGATGAAAGAATTGATTTTAGTCTTGGATTAGATCAAAAAGGTGAAAATCCCGTTGTCACTGAGGAATATCAACGTCAACATAATACAGAAATACTTTGTGGTCCAATTAATTTACAACGTTGTATGGATTTATCTGATCATTCTGGTTGTGCAACATTAACAAGTCCAAAATTATTTCGCGCTAAATCAAATTCATCTTGTACATTGTTGGTTCATATCAAGGCACTCGTCGATCCAATTAAAGATGGAGTGAGTTTTTTTTTTTTATTTATTTTTTGTATTTTTGTTTATTTAATTTATTATGTTTATTATTATTATTGAAAATTTCAGACAAGTTCAAAATCAAGAATGAATGTGGAATCAAAACCACCGACGTCGAAAAAATTGAGAATAGACGAAGCTGGACCATTATTGCCGGGCGCAAGTGTCGAGAGATACGCGGCTAATGCATCGAAAAAATTGAATTCCTATATTGGTTGCGATTGGATTCATGAAATTTCAATTAGCGTGAGAAAAGTTTTACCAACAAATATTCCACACGAGAGAATACAACGTTGTGCAATGTTGGAATCAAAACAATTTATCAATAATCTTTTGTCAGTTGCGTGTCTACAGACTTCGGATAAGTGAGTAAAAAAGAAACAAAAATTTTTTTTTCGCATTATTATTATTAATACAAAAATTTGCAGGCTTTGGATTATACGACTTTTTCGACTATTTCCGACTTTTTCTTTTTGCAAAAATACGACTTTATCGACTTATTTTAATAAAATGGGACTTTTTCGATTTTTTTTTACATTTTTTTACAAAAATTTTTAAACAAAATACGTTTTTTTTTTTTTTAGTATATAGTGCAAATCTTTTTCAGATCTTCTTTATTTCAATTATTTAACAAATTTTTGACAAAAATTCTTTACTAAATTAATTATTTTTTAATAATTTTTAATGAAATTCTTCACAAATTCAATTGTCTTAAACTATTTTTTAATTAAAATTTTTACAAAAATTTAATATTTGTTTATAATTTAAAAAAAAAATTAGCAAATAAAGTAACTAAAAAAATTTTAACTCAAAATCACTTGAAATTTAATTATTTTGCAAAAATTTCAATTATTTTCAAAATTTTCAATTCAAAATTTTTTAAAATTCAATTATTTTCCAAATTTTCAATTCAAAATCAAGTAAATTTCAATTATTTTCAAAAATATCAATTTAAAATCTTTTAAAATTCAATTATTTTCAAAATTTTCAATTCAAAATCAAGTAAATTTCAATTATTTTCAAAAATTTCAATTTAAACTTAACTGAAATTCAATTATTTTCAAAATTTTCAATTCAAAATCAACTAAAATTCTATTATACTCAAAAATTTCAATTCAAAATTAATTATTATCAAAATTTTTAATCTACAATTAACTAAAATGAAATTATTATTCAAAATTTCAATTCAAAATCAACTAAAACTCAATTGATTTCAAAATTTTCAATGAAAAATCAACTAAAATTTAATTGATTTCAAAATTTTCAATTCAAAATCAACTAAAATTCAATTATTTTCAAGAAATTAAATTCAAAATCAACTAAAATTCAATTATTCTCAAAAATTTTAATTCAAAATTAAGCATTATCAAAATTTTTAATCTAAATTCAACTAAAATGAAATTATTATTTAAAATTTTAAATAAAATTTAATTATTTTCAAAAATTTCAATTCAAAATCAACTAAAATTAAATTATGTTCCAAATTTTCAATTCAAAATCAAGTAAAATTCTATTATTCTCAAAAATTTCAATTCAAAATTAATTATTATCAAAATTTTTAATCTAAAATCAACTAAAATGAAATTATTATCCAAAATTTCAATTCAAAATCAATTATTTTCAAGAATTTAAATTCAAAATCAACTAAATTTCAATTATTATCCAAAATTTCAAATGAAGTTGAATTATTTTCAAAAATTTCCATTAAAAAAAACGAAAATTCAATTATTATCCAAAATTTCAATTGAAATTCAATTATTTCCAAAAATTTTTTAATTAAAAAAAAAAAAATGAAAATTCAATTATTATCCAAAATTTTAATTGAATATCAATTATTTTTTTATCAATTAATATTTTTCGAAAATTCAACTATTTGAGAGCATTTTTGAATTAAAAATGGTTTTCAAATTATTGTATTTTTGTCCGCAATTTCTAATAAATTTTTTAGTGAAATTATCAAAAAAAAAATTTTAATTAAAATTCACTTGAAGTTCAATTAATTTCAAAAATCTCAATTGTAAATCTTTGAAAAATCAATTTTACTTTTAAAAAATGTTATCTAAAATTATATTTGATAAATTAATTTTAGTTCTGTAAAATTGAATTATTCTCTGAAAATTAACAAAATCTTTTTGAAATTCAATTAGTTCTAAAAATTTCAATTTTAATTCTTCCAAAATTATTAAATTATTTAAAAAAAAATTTATTTAAAAATTTGTAAAACTTTTTTGTTAAAATACACAATCGACTATTTTTGAAATATATATCGACTAAAACGACTTTTTTTTTGTACCTTTAAGTCGGATCCGAGGCCTGAATTTTTTTATAATATTTTATTTTATCTTTATAATTTATACATTCAAAATATTTTTAATCTATTTTAAAAATACTGTAATAGGTTTTATTTTTATTTATTTTTATTTATATAAATTTTAAAAATTATTTATAAATTATAAAATTAAATTTTTATACATTTTGTTTACAAATTAATTATGAATTATAAAATTAAATTTTTATACATTTTGTTTAAAAATTAATTATAAATTGTAAAAGTTATATAAAAAAAAAGAAAATATAAGACAGAAAAAAGAATTAAAATTTGAAAATTTTGGAATTTTAGATCAGCAATTACACAATCGATTGCTCTCGATATTCTCATTTGGGTAGTCGCAATAAGATTAACAAGACTGAGAACATGTCAAAATAGTGTCGAGACAAAAGCAATGCAATTGGAAACTGTACGCTGTGTCCAAGCGAAACTTTCAGCTTTATTGAGAACATGTCTTTTGTACGCTGGACGAAGTATTTCACACAAATGCATAAAACTCATCGTTTTGTGTAGCGAGTAAGTATTATTTTTCTTTTGTATTTTTTTTTTAAATTTTTTTGTGTATTTTTATTTATTTTTTTCTTCCGTCTCAATAGGGGTCTTCACAATTTGGACGATCCATTGCCACATTCATTTGAAGAGGCTGTACTTACAATTTGTGTAACATTATTGCCATCAATTGTCAATGTACAATGGTCGGGTTCATTGCGTTGGTTTGCAATTCTCATAACGCGTCTATTGCCACTTGATCGTAATCATGCAATAGCACAACAATGTATAACATTAATGCAACAAATATCAATGGAAATGTCAAATCGTGTGAATCCACATCATTTATTGTTGGCAACAAGATTTGGCCTTTATAATTCGCCATTTGAAACTGAACTTTTTGACATGGATCCACCAGTGCCGCCAAAATTCAGTTCAACACCAGTTACATATGCAAGTGCAGTTTCTGGTGAGCCAACAATAACATCAATAACAACAACAACGTCAAGTCATTCACAGGATTCAATTGATTTACGTGATCTTCTCACATTACCGTCGCATCATTCAAGTGAGACTATTGTGCCGAGTAAACTTTATCTCAAAACATTGAGCGCAAATCACAGTATGAAAGGATTGCTCGAGGTAGGAATTTTTCAATTATTTTTTTTTTTTTAATTTTTTAATTTAAATTGTACAAATTTTTTTATTTTTAATTGATTCATATTTTAATTTATTCAAATTTTTTTATTGGTCCAAATTTTTATTTATTCAAATTTTAATTGTTCCAAATTTTAATTGATCAAAATTTTTATTTATTCAAATTTTAATTGATCCAAATTTTAATTTATTCATATTTTCATTTATCCAAAAATTGAATCTATTTTAATTTTAATTAAATTTTATTCGATACAATTTTTAATTGATCAAAATTTTAATTTATCTAAAATTGAATTTGTTCAAATTTTAATTTCATTTTGTCATTCAACTTTCAATCGATTCTAATTTTTATTGATCGAAACAAATTTTATTGAAATTCTAATCAAATGCAAATTTAATCGATGAAAACTTAAAATTAAAGAAATTTGCAATCTATATGAAGATAAATTGATTTTAGTTTCAAATTATTCGAATTTCAATATTTGCAAAATTTTAATTAAATTAAGTTTCAAATTATCTGAATTTTCATTTATTCCCGTTTTAATAATAAATTACAAATTATCCAAATTTCAGTTTGTTTAAATTTTAATTAATTTTAGTTTCAAATTATCTAAATTTTTTATTGAATTTAGTTTCATATTTTAATAAGAATAATAATCGAATAATAAATTATCCAAATTTTAATTAATTAAAGATTGAAACTAATTGAATTTCAAATTTTAAAATTATTAATTGATTCAAGTTTCAAAATTTTATGATATTTAATTGATTGAAATTTTTAATTATTCTAATTTTAATTGGTTCAAGTTTCAAATTATCCGTATTTTAATTTATTAAAATTTTCTTTGATTTTAGTTTTGAATTATCAAAATTGTAAATCATAAAAATTTTAATTTATCTAAATTTTAATTGCTTTTAGTTTCAAATTATTTGAATTTCAATTTATCTAAATTTAAATTAATTTAAGTAACAAATTATTTGAATTTCAATTTATTTAAATTTTTATATTCATTTAAGTTTCAAATTATTCGAATTTTAATTTTTTTTTTAAAGTAACTAAAAATAGAAATTCAAATTTGAAATAAAAAAAAAAAACGTTTTCTAAAATTCGAAAAAATTTAAATTAACTCAAAGTAATAATTAGAAGTTGAAAAATTTAGAAAATAATTGAATTTTTAATATTTATTATAAATTATTTTAAATAATTGAAATTCCGTTGAATTTTTCAAAAATTTTGGAAAATAATTGAATTTTTCAAGATTTACAGTTTAGATTTTTAAATTAATTTTAATTAAAATTAACTCAATGTAATAATTTCAAGTTGAAATTTAAAAAAAAAAAATAATTGATTTTTCTTTATTTATTAATAAAAAGAAATTTAGTTGAATTTTTGAAAATTTTGGAATGTAATTAAATTTTTCAAGATATAAAGTTCAAATTTTTAGAAATAATTCCATTTCAAAAGAATTTAAATTTGAAATATTTTGTAAATTTCAATTTTAGAGAATTTTTAATTACGAATTACTTAGAATAATTGAAATATTGAAGAATTTTGTTTAAATTCATCCAACTTTCAATCGATTCTAATTTTTATTGTTCGAAAATTTTTTTTTTTTGAAATTCTAATCAAATGCAAATTTAATTGATGTAAACTTAAAATTAACGAAATTTCAATCTATCTGAAGATAAATTGATTTTAGTTTCAAATTATTTGAATTTCAATTTTTGCAAATTTTAATTAAATTAAATTTCAAATTATATCCAAATTTTAATTAATTTAAATTTTAAATTATTCGCATTTCAGTTTATCCAAATATTAATTAATTTCAGTTTTAAATTATCTAAATTTTAATTAAATTTAGTTTCATATTTCAATAATAATAATAAATTTTAATAATAATAATAATAATAATAATAATAATAATAAAAAGTAATAATAATTGGATTATAAATTATCGAAATTTTAATTAAAGTTTGAAATTATTTGAATTTCAATTTTTAAAATTATTAATTAATTCAATTTTGAAAATTTTACGAATTTTAATTTATCCAAATTTTAATTGATTTAAATTTTAAATTATCCGAATTTCATTTAATCCAAATTTTAATTAATTTCAGTTGTTTTTAATTCTATGAATTTTAATTGATTTTAGTTTTTCAAATTATCGAAATTTAAATTTATGCAAATTTTTAATTGACTTAAGTTTCAATTTAAATATTTAATAATAAAAATTTAATTCACATCATTCAATATTTACCAATGAAATTCAGTTATTTTAAGAATTTTATTCGAAATTAAAAAATTTTAAATTGCTTTTAAAAAGTCATTAATTTCAAAATTTTATAAATTTTTTATTTATTTCAATTGATAATTTTTCTTATTACCTTTTTAATTATTATTAATAGGCTATTATTATTATTATTTTATTATTATTATTATTATTATTATTATTATTATTATTATTATTATTATTATTATTATTATTATTTTTGTAATTATTTGTTTTTTTAAAATACATTTATTTAATGAATTTGTTTTTAAAAATTTTATTGAATTTATAATGTAATTACTAAAAAAAAAAAGGTCGAGCCACTGCATTTTACGTGTCACGCCGCTTCGGACGGAACGAAAATGGAGAAAATCGACACTGGTGCAAATAATTTGGTGAATATGGCGCCAATAATTTACGACAGTCCACATCCAGGAAGTGGTTTCAATTCAGGACTTGGAATCAAAATAATTCAACATTCATACGTAAGTTAAAAATAGTATTTAAAAAAAAAAAAAAAAAAAAAAATTATATTAATAAATTTACATGGGAATTTTCACAATCGAAATTCCAAATTTTATCTTTGTGCGAATCCAATTAAAAAAAACGCGCGACTATCACTTTCATCGTTTCGTTAATTTTTTTTTTTTTTCCTAAATTAATGTCAACATGAAAGGAAAATGAATTTTTCTTTTATTTCCTTTCTGTTAGAACAAAAAAGAGTGAAAAAATTTTAATCGAGGATTTTTGAATTTAAAAAGTTTTTACGCTTTTTAAAATAAAAAATTATCAAGAAAGAAAAATGAATTTTTCTTTTATTTCTTCTCTGATTGAAGAAAAAAGTGAAAAAATTTTATCGGGAATTTTTAAATTTAAAAAGTTTTTACGCTTTTTAAAAAAAAAATTAATCAAGAAAGAAAAATGAATTTTTCTTTTATTTCGCCATTGATTAAAAAAATGGTAAATTTTATTTTACATATTTCGGAAATTTAAATTATTTTTTACAATCGAGGTGGAATTTTTTTTTTTCTTAAGAAGCAAAAAAAAGTAGACTAGTTTATAATCAGTCTAAAAAGTAAAAAGTAAAAAGTAAAAAGCAAAAAAAGAAAAAGAAAAAAATATCGTTGCGAATCCTTGTCGATTATAGAATTTGGATGATGGCTCGCTTGGACCAGATCTTCAGGCTAAGTTTACAACTCTCTATGACAGTTTTATAAATCATTGTAAAGCTGAAATAACAAAGAAGCCAACGGTACATCTATCGCTGACACCTGACGATCGGTCAATAAGTGATGAAGTTAGTATGCCCGATGAAGCTCAATACTGGCACATTCTTCAAAATGATAGCTCTCACGTGTTAGATTCAACTATTGCTAAAGAAAAATCCTCGGGTGCAAATAATGTTGGTACCTCAACGAGCAAAAATGAAGACAACTGTGCAAAAAAGGTAGTTTTTTTTTTTTTGATTCACGTGCGGATAAAAAAAAATTTTCTACCTATTTGTTTCAGAATTTTTTTCTTTTCGTTTTCTTCCTTTTTTGCTTCGTTTCTTCACAAAAAAAAAAAAAAAAAGAATTTTTTCTTTTCTTTTTTCAAATTTATGTTGAGACCAATGCCTAATTTTGCTTTTAAAACGATTTTTATTCTTTTTTGATTTATCAAAATCAAATTTTGATTGAAATTATCAGAATGAGGAGAAAAATTTTTTATTATCGTGCAAAAAGAAAGTTTGATTTTAAATCGATTTTGTTCTTTCTGCTTTTTTGAAAATCAAATTTATTTATAAATTGTTAGAAAGAGAAAAAAAAAATTTTGCGGTGAAAAAAGAAGATTTTCAATTAATAAAATTGAATTTACGTTAGGAAATTTTTTTTATATAAATAAAATTGGTTTTTTTTTCAGTTTTAAAAATACGATTTAAATATAATTTTTGAAGGGAGAAAAAAATTTTAATTTTCTCTATTATCAGCGAAAAAAATAGTTGAAAATTAAGTTTATTAATTCTCCTCCAATTTTAGGGAGAGAAAATTAAGTAAATTTGCAAAAAAAAAAAAAAAAATAATAATAATAGATAATCATTAATTTAATTATAAAAAAACGAATGAAATAGGACGAACGTAAAAATTGAACAACAATTTAATTTAATTTGATTTAAATTAAATTTTATTTTGATTCCGGCTCTAAACAAATGTTATTATTTATTTAAATACATATTTTTATTATTTCCCTCGCACGTAATTTTGATTTTTAATCTTGAATGGCCAACACCACACATTGATATTTTGAAATGAAACAATAATTTTTAATTTTATTAGTAAAAAAATTTAAAAAAAAAAAATTGATTTTGTAATTTTTTATGGAAAAAATATCGTAAAAAAATATTCTCTTAATTTTGCATTATTAAATAATAGAATTACCATTTTTAATATTTTTAATATTAAATCAAATTAGCTAAAATTGTAACTGAATAATTTTTTGTTATTTTATTTTCTTATTGACTAATTAAGTATAGTAATTATTTCACTTATGGCCATTCTGCTTATTTTATTTTTTTTTTTTTTGTTTCTTTTTTTAACATAATATTTGCAAATCTGTCGTTTATTTTTTTCAGCTTTGTTGTTCATTATTTAAAGGTTTAAATTTATTTAAATTTGTATTTTACAAATTTTTCTCTTCTTTTTTTTGGGGGGGGGGGAAACTTTTAGCAAAATTTATTTGTTTTTTGTTTACTAGGAGAAAAAAAATGAGGATTTTTGAAATCGAAATATTTTCTAAAATATTTTGCCAACTTTTTTTTTTTTTAATTTAATTTTCTAGGAATCCGATTGTAGATTTATTTTATCAGTGATTAAAAAAAATCTACTGTTTTCAAATTTTATTAATAATTTTTTTTTTATTTATTATCATTTTGTTTTTTTTTTTTTATTATTATAAATCTCGACTGCTTATTTTCACAAAAAAAAATTTTTGCTTTTTTTCAATGTCGTAGATAAGTTTAGATGTTACAAAAAAATAATATTCTTTTTACGTTTATTAATAATAATAATAAAAATATTTTTTATTAATAACGTAAAAAATACGTTAATTATTAATAATAATAATAAAAATAATTTTTATTAATAACGTAAAAAATACGTTAATTATTAATAATAATAAAAATAATTTTTATTAATAACGTAAAAATTACGTTAATTATTAACGAAAAAGAAATTTTGTTTATTAACGCAAAAATAAAATTGTTAACGTAAAGAAACGTTTATTATTAACATAAAAATATCCGCAATTGTAAACGTAAAAAAAACGTTAATTATTAACGTAAAAATTATTATTATTTTATTTATTATTTATTTATTAATAATGTAAAAATAACGTTAATAAACGTTAATTATTTTTTTTTTTTTGTTAAAGAAAGTTGTAAATAAATAATAAGTTTTTTTTTTTTTAAATTGCCTTTCAGAGAGACGAGGTCTATTTTCCCTGGGGAAGATTACTTTGTTGGCCACCACAGCAGGCGTTAGTTGTTGAAAGAATGCATTCGGGAGCAAGAAGATTTGTTATTCTTGATTTTGGATCGTCAGTTTTACTCACCGATTTAATGATTCCATCGTGTGTTGATTTGGTGTCATTGTCAATTGATATTTGGAATAAAAGCGAAGAATTAGATGGAACACGATTGGCCGTTGCTGGTGATATTGGATATAAACCACTTGTGATTAGTGATCTTCAACCACCACCTGTTTGCCGATACCTTAAGGTACGAGTTTTATTTATTTTAACTTATTTATTTTTTTTTTACCTAAAATTGTTTTTTTTTTTAATTTAAAGTTATTTTGTTACTTAATGTATTTTTTTTACTTAAAGTTATGTTTTACTTAGTAATTTTTTTATTCAAAATAATTTTTTAGTCATTTTTTAATTAAAGTAATTTTTTAATTAATTATTTAAATAATTTAAAGTATTTTTTTTTTATTTTAAGTTATTTTTTACTTAGTCATTTTTTTTTTATTCAAAGTTATTTTTCACTTAAAGTATTTTTTTTACTACTTAAAGTTATTTTTTACTTAGTCATTTTTTTATTTAAAGATATTTTTCATTTAAAGTATTTTTTTTTAACTTTCAAATTTAATAGTTAATAGTTTTTACTAATTTTTTTGGGGGGTTTTTTTTTTCTACTCTACAGATTACGATGATTGGTAGATATGGAATGACAGTGACAAGATGTAAAATTCCATTGGGAATGTTTTACGGTCATTTAGTTATTTTGCCAGGAGAAGATTATTCTGAATTAAAGGCAAGTCAATCGAGTCTCAGTGGAAGTGAGGCAAATATGCAAGCGACAGTTGAATCACAATGTCAAATTTTGTCAGCTTTGGCCGAAGATGTTCAATGCAGGTATTTAATTATTTTATTTTATTATTATTATTATTATTATTATTATTATTATTATTTTGAAATTATTTATTCATTATTTAGAAAAAAAAATGATAAGAAAAGAGAGAAATTTAAATTAATTGAAAATTAAATAAATTGGAAAAATTTATTTCTATTATTAGCAAAATATTTTTATTTAGTTTAATGTTTTTATTCAATTAAACGGGAAAATGTATAAAAAAAAAAATTTTTTTTTTCCTTTTTCTTTTAGATTCAGTCTGGCGACAGAAAAATTGAAGAGCTTTTTGGATCCTCTTCTTTGTACAGAAACACCAAATGTCGTTCACATGCAACATTATCTTTCGCAGAATAAAAATTCGTCGGAAAGCAAGGAACAACCATCGGCAAAAATTCTTGCTACATATCAGGTGAGAAGAAGAAGAAAAAAAAAATAAAACTATTTATTCGAGAAATTTACAAATTTTTAGTATTTTAATTACTATTACTATTATTAATTTTATTATTATTTGTATTTAAAAAAAAGAAGTTTTTTTTAAATTTCATATATTTGTAAAAGAAAAAAATATTTTTTCTATTTTTCTTTTGTAATTGTAATTAATTCGCTAATAACAATAATTGATAATAATTGTTTGCTTTTTTTTCGTTCTTTCTCTAATTCAAGGAATGCATTATGTTTCAACATCAATTAAATGTCGTACGTGGAGTTTGGAGACGATTAGAATCGTGGCGAGGACCACGAAATGTGCCCTCAAGTTCCTTGGCGAGTGCTTCCAGTGATAAATTAAGAATACTTGGCGAAACATTGTTAGACATTTTATTATACACCGTTTATGAAATTGGACCCGTTCCAAGTGTAAGTCGTCACTTTTTTTTTTTTTATTCATTATACTAATTAATTTTTTTTCGTATTTTAATTCTTTAAAAATATTTTCGTTTTTTATTTTAAAATATTTTTTTTTTCAACTATTTTTCTAAATTTTACGAAACGAATTTATTTATTTTTAAACTACTTTTTATTTCTTTTGGAAATTTTTCTAAGTGTTTATTTAGAATAAAATTAAAGAACAGAAGTTCTTTACAATAATTAAATGTTATTGATAATAGAGAAAATTAAAAAATAATAAAAAAGTGAAAAAAAAAAAAATGTTTTGTAGGATTTAAATTTAAAAAAAAAATTTTTTGATATTTTGAAATAAAATTATGTTGTTAATTTGTTATTCTTAGGTTCCGGCAACATTGTATGAGGCATTTACGCCGGGAATTTGTGAGAAACTTTTTAAATCAATTTGTGTTGTGACACCGGCACCGCGTCTACAGCTTCACGCTGTTGCATTGCTTGCAAGAATGGCCGGACATCAACCATGGTGGGGAAATTTCCTTGCGAACACACTCACAACACTATTCACGGCTTCGTCAACACATATTTTCCCACAAGACAGGTGAAAAACGAAAAAAAGAAAAGAAAAAAAAATTTTTTTTCTCTTATTAATTTTCCTTTACTCGCTTTTCTCTCTAATCTTTTCAATTTCGTAATTTTTTTTCCCATAATATTCATTTAATCATTATCAGTTTATTATTACTATTATTATTTTTATTATTAGGTATTAATAAATAATTATTTATTCATTTTGGAAAATAAGTTCCATTAGATATTTTTTAAAATTTATTTTATTTTTAAATCTTTTTCTGTTTATATATATATTTTTTTTATTTTTATTCTCTTGAATTAAAATTCTTTTAAATAAAAAGTCATGTAAATTAAAAATTTTGTAATAAAAATTCGATAACTTAAAAATTTTGTTAGGGTAAAAATTAGAAATTTGGAAATTTTTGTTGCTATTTCTGTTATTACTTTTTTTTTAAATGAAATAATTTAATAAATAATTGATTTCTATTTTTATTTATTTTTTTTTTTTTGAATTGATGATACTATGGAATAATAATTTTGCAGGGTCTTCATTTTACTAACATTCCTTGGACGAAAATCGCTGATAACAGGCGCAAATAAATCATCGGTTATTGACGCGATGGTCCGTACGCTTGGTAGACTACTGGCCCCAATTTCCAATCGGGAACAATCCAATTCAAATCAACTGGACACAACACTCATTAGTTGGGTCCTTCTCTTTCTCTCTGTATGTTTAGACACTACCGCTTCACATTCCCAATATCTCGATGATAATCACGAGAAAAACAAAGAACAAGGTGAGTGTTTATATAAAAAAAATCAATCGCACAAAATTGATTTTTTAAACAAAGTATTTTTTTCCAAATATTCTGTAGAAGGGGGAACATTTTTTTAATATAGAAATAAATTTTTTATAAAAAATTAGAAGACAACAATATAATAGAAAATGAAAAAATTTTTAATTGTAATTTTTTTTTTTTAAATAATTGGTATCTTTCTAATTCTGTGGGGAAAATTCATCGCTCGGTATAAGATTAGATATTGTATAAATTATTTTTAAAAATATATATTTTTTTTTTAATAGGACTTTCGTCACGATGGGACTTTATTCATGGTGAATCGTCAATGCAACGAAAATATTCAAAATCAAATCGTTCGTCGAGTTGTACGAATCATAAGAGAAAATTACAAAAACGATTGATGCATCATAAGCAACAATTGCAGGATTTTGAACAGGCAAAAAAGGCATTTCAAGCGACTTCGCAGGCACGTTCGGCATTATCGTCGCAAGCAGCAACATTGTCGAGTAAACTTGAGGCTGCATTAAAATCGCAAGAGCGATTTTTTAAGAAAACAGCAAAACAACATTCCGTGAAGCATATTAAGGATTTATTATCAATGAGCAATGAACTTTATTCATCGCGAAGCTCACGAATTCAGTCGCATTCGAGTGGACGGTATGTTTTTTATTTATTTATTACGATTTACTAGTTATTAATTATTCATTTATTATTTATTATATATAATAATAAAATGTTTGGTCTATCCTTCTGTCCTAACTTGAAGTTGGCCTTTTCTGATTTCACGTGTTTTTTTTTAATAGTACAAGATACTAATTTAAAAAAATTTATTTTTAAAAATTAATTTTTAAGGTACTAGGGGCGAACGAATACCTATATTAAATATTAATTATAAAAATACAGGCCTCGAATCAACTTAAAGACACAAAAAGTCGTTTTAGTCAATTTATATTCCCAAAAAAAAGTGGATTTGTTTTTTATTTTAACAAAAATATTTTACAGATTTTTAAATGAAAAAATTTTTTTTTAATAATAATCCTTTTCGAAGGGTTAAAGTTGAAATTTTTAGAAATAATTAAATTTCAAAAGATATTGTTAATTTTCAAACAATTATTAAATTTTACAGAACTAAAAATAATATATCAAACAATTTTTGGGAAAATGTTTTTTAAATTTAATTGAATTTTCAAAGATTTAAAATTGAGATTTTTGAAATTAATTGAAACTTTAAGTGATTTTTAATTAAAATTTTAGATGATTCAACTAAAAATTTATTAGGAAATGCCGACAAAATATAATAATTTGAAAATAATTTTTAATTGAAAAATGGTTTCAGATAGTTGAATTTTCAAAGAATATTATTAAAATAGTTAAAAATAATTGAATTTCCTTAGAGTTATAATTGAAATTATTAAATTTCAAAAAAAAAAAAATTTTCGATGGAAATTTTTAGAAATAATTAAATTTTAGATGCTTTTAAATTCAAATTATTGAAAATTCAATTAATTTTGAATTCAAATTTTTAAGAATATTGAAATTTTATTTGATTTTAAATTTTGGGAAATAATTGAATTTTAATTGAAATTTGGATAATAATTTAATTTAAATTCATTTTTAATTGAAAATTTAAATAATTAATTTTAAATAGAAATTTTAGAAAATAATCGAATTTTATTTCATTTTAAATTGAAAACTTGGTAAAAAATTAAATTTTAAATTGAAAATTTTGGAAAATAATTGAATTTTAGTTGATTTTAAATTGAAAATTTGGAAAATAATTTATTTTAAATCGAAAATTTTGAAAATAATTGAATTTTAATTGATTTTAAATTGCAAATTTTAAAAATAATTGAATTTCAATTGAAATCTTAGAAAATAATAGAATTTTAGTTAATTTTCAATTGAAATTTTGGAAAATAATTGAATTTTAATTGATTTTGAATTGAAAATTTTGGTAAATAATTGAATTTTAATTGAAATTTTGGATAATAATTTAATTGAAGTTCATTTTTGATTGAAAATTTGGATAATTAATTTTGAATAGAAATTTTAGAAAATAATTGAATTTTATTTCATTTTAAATTGAAAACTTGGTAAATAATTAAATTTTAAATTGAAAATTTTGGATAATTATTGAATTTTAATTGATTTTGAATTAAAATTTCGGGTAATAATTGAATTTTAGTTTATTTTGAATTGAAATTTTTAAAAAATAATTCAATTTTATTGTGATATATTTTTTTAAATTATAAACAATTGTTAAATTTCATAAAAATTTTTATTGAAAAATAATTTTGATATAATTGAATTTGTGATGTATTTCATTAAAATTATTAAAAATAATTAATTTAGTGAAGAATCATTTTAATTCAAAATTTGTTAAATAATTGAATTGAAGAAGATCTGAAAAAGATTTACATTTTATACTAAAAAAATGTATTTTATTTACATTTTTTTTCAAATGTAAAAAAAAAAATGTCGCATTTTATTAAAATAAGTCGATAAAAGTCGTATTTTTGAAAAAAGTCGGAAAAAGTCGTATAATTCGAGGCCTGTATAATTTTCATTATTATCATTTAATATATAATAATATTCTAATAAATTAAATTATTATTGATAATATTAATCTTTAATTTCTTTATAACAAACAAGTAAATACTCAATTTGGCGCGCTTGCGCGCGTTTAATTTTGCTAGTTTATTTATAAAAGAAGTTACAAAAAAAATTATTGTAATTAGATTTTTCAAATTTAGGGGAATTTTATTTTTATATTTAAAATTAAATTTAGTTTTTTAAAATGAAATTTAGTTTTTTTAAAATTAAATATATTTGTTTATAACTGAACTGAATTTTAGTTTTTATTGAAATTGAATTAATTTATTTAACGAAATAAATGGAAAACATCTGTTTTATTATTGATAGCAGAACGGAAAGTAATGAACCGGAAGTTGATTACATGACAAATCTATCGCATCAAAATGTTTTGCCAGTTGCCCGAGGACTCGTTGCTTTAATTATAAATAATTCTTCAAATATGGACATGTTTCTTCTAGCTTGCAAGGTAAATTTTGTTATTAATATAAAAAAAAAAAAATTGGTATTTAAAAAAAAAATTGTTATAAAATTCTTTTTAATTTGTTTTAATTATTTTAATGTTTAATCTTAAATTGTTTCATTTTTGGTAAATTTTTGAAAATAGTGGAAAAGCAATAAATTTTTTTTTTTTTTAAATGAGAAATAAATTATTTAAAGATTAATATATTTAACTGATTTCTTTTTTTTTTTTTTTTTTTTTTTGATATTTTGCTTCGAGAAAAATTTTTAAAATTTAATAAAAAGTAATAATAACATTAATAACATACATTTTTTATGTTATTTTATTCCTTCCATGGATCGAATTTTTCTCAATTTTTTATTAAAAATTCCGGAAGGAAAAATCCTTAATCTATAAATTTTTAAAATTTGTTTAGAATTTTAACGTTCGTCGTAGTTAATTATTTATTTGTAAATAATTTTTTTTTAATATAGGTAGTAGCGAGGCTTGTTATTTCTACGAGGCCCGCAATTAGTTTAGGCGAGCTTATGACTGAGGAACAACTTTTGAAACTTGTAAAATTAGCAACTGGATCATCGGACACAGCCTGGTCGATTCACGCAGTTTCCTGTTTACTTCAAGATCTTCTCGAAGGTGAATATTATTATTTTTTCATATCCCGAGCTTTTAAAAATACATTTTTCAATGTTAAAAAAAAATCCAAATATTAAAATTTAATTTATTTATTTACTTTTTCAATATTTGTATTTTTATGCAAAAATTAAAATATTAAATTAAAATTAATAATTTATTTAATTTACTGTGAAGTAGTTTAGTTATTTTTTTTATCGACGCGCTTCATTTTTGTTTACGATTGTGAATTTTCTTTTTTTTTTCTCGAATTATCAGGTGGAAGATTGTATCCACGTTTAACGAATGCACATAAAGCAAGTCCATCGGAGGAAATTTTCGATCCACTTGGCGCTGAGGAAGCTCGAGGTGGTGGAAATGATGAAGCAGAACCGGCACCAGTTGCTGGCACTAGTAATTCATCGAGTACATTGGGCGCCGATGAAGGTTTTGCCGATGGCGATGACGATACACAAGACAGTATTGTTGTTAATCCACCCAATGCCTCAACATCGAAATCAAATGGTTTTAGTCTTCCTTCACTTTTTGAGTCTGACGATAGTGAACTTGAAATTTATTTAGACGATATTCTTGAACGTGGCAAGAGTATTATGAAAAAAGGCGGAACCATACCGAAATATCCTTCGTCATCAAGTTCCTGGTATTTATCAATTTTTATTTTCCTATATATTTAAATATTATTTTAAAATTAATTAATAAATAATTTAAAATTCATTTAAATGGTAAATTAAAAATTTTTGAAATTAATATCAAATGAAATTATAATAAAATTAATATATTTTTTATAATTATTATTATTCAGGATTGCCATAAGTCTGGGAAAATTTAGAGAGAAAAAAAAAATATTTTCTTTATAAAACTTAAAATTTACGTTAATTTTAATTTTTATTCAACTTTATTTGATTTCCATTTTTTTTAATGTTTTATCAAAAATATATCCACAATGATTTTATTATTTTTATAAATATATATGTATACATATATACTATTGGTGAAATATTTGAAATTCTTTTGTATTAATATTCTTTTTAAAATGCTTCTAACTCAAGGAGTAATTCTAGGATTTCTCGTCCTAGGACTTTTGTATCCTTGGCGGTGGATGCACGATTGGAATATGGAGTCGAAACTGCAGTTGAAATTGCTTTAAGAAGACTTTCAACACTTGGCGCTTATAATTTACCTCTCAGTTTAAACGCCACGATTAATGTAAGTTTAAACCAAGAAAAATATATTATATTAAGATAAAATCAATAATTAATTATTATTAATTAAATAAATTGAATTTATTATTGATAAAAAAAAATTATTTATTGTTAAATGAAATGATTTTTAAAAATTTATTTTTTGTTTGTTTTTTTTTTTTTTTTTTTTTCATAGCCTCCGACGGAAACGACAAGAAATTCACAATCTGGCGTTGGCGGTAGTTCAAGACAAAATCCAGGATGGAACGAACGAAGTCAGGAGACGTGGAATTCAAACGATTCTGTACCATCAAGTCTAATGATGCTTACACGTTGTTTTGATAAAATTTTCTCCGAAATGTATATACAGGTATTTTCATTTTTTTTTGTCTTTTAAATTAATATTCAGATATTTATTTATTAAATTAAATTTATTCAAATTTATTAAATTATTTATAAATGGTTTAAAGAAATTTATAAATTTATTTACTTTTATTTTAATTCTAAAAATTTGCAAAATTAAGTGAAAAAAAAAATGGTTTTTGTAATCGAAATTTAAAAAAAAATACGACTTTTAAAATTCAAAATAAATTCATTGAAAATTATAAAATTAATTTTTAAAATAGTAGTTTAAAAAAATTCCGATTGAAATTGAACTAATTAAAAAAAAAAAAAATTAATTTAACAAAATTCCGATTGGAATTTGAAAAAAAAATCAGATTAGAATTAAAACTATTTTTGAAATTGAAATTAAAAAATTTGTTTATTTAAATTTAAAATAAATAATGTTAGCTTTTCTTTTAAAAATACTTGTTTAAAAAAATAAGATTGTAGTTAAACTAATTTGAATTGAATTTATAAAAAAATTCCGATTGGAATATTGAACAAGTTTAAAATAAAATTCCGATTAAAATAAAAATTATTTTTAATTAAAAAAAAAATTTTTTTTTAAATTAAAAAATTCGTTTACTGAATTTTAAAATATAAATAAAAATAAAATTAATTTTAAAAATTTTAGTTTAAAAAAATTAGATTAGAATTAAACTAATATAAAAAAAAAATTCCGATTGAAATTGAACTAATTTAAATAAAATTCCGATTCGTATTAAACTAATTAAATAAAATTCCGTTTGGAATATTGAACTAGTTCAAAAAATTTCGATTTGATTAGAATTAAACTACTTAATTTTGAAAAAATTCCAATTGTAATTGAAATAGTTTAAAAAATTCCAATTAGAATTAAATTTTTAAAACTTTCCAATTGGAATATTGAACTAGTTTTTAAAAAAAAATTCCAATTAGAGTTATAATTATTTTTAAAATCAAAATTAAAATATTCGTATAAAATTAATTTTAAAAATACTAATAAAAAAAAAATTCCGTTATGAATTAAAATTGTTTAAAATTAATTTTAAAAGTATTAAAAAAAATTTCTATTGAATTTAATTAGTTTAAGTAATTTCCTATTGGAATTAAAATTGTTATTAAAATTGATAATTTCGTGTTTTTAAATGATTGAATTTACTAATTTCAATACATTACATACATTTATTTAAATTCAAAATAAATAAATTTAAAATGATTTTTAAAAATACCTATGTAGTTTAAAAAAATTTTGATTGTAATTAAATTAGTTTAAAAAAAAAAATCCCGATTAAAATTAAATTAGTTTTAAAATAATTCCTATTGGAATTAAATTTAAAATAATTCCAATTGTAATTAAACTAATTTAAAATAGTTCCAATTGTAATTGAACTAATTTAAAAAAATTCCAATTAGAATTAAAAACTGTGACTAAATTCTTTAAAAAAAAATTGTTTTCTTTTTTCACAGAGAGATGGAACGAGCTTTGAGCTTGTTTTACAACTTTGGTTAACATTAAATTTGGACGCATCGACGGAATTAAATAATTCATCACAATTTGATACATCATTGACGCCTGTGATTCCATTGAGTTCGACGGCAATTTCGGGCATTATTTCCGTACTCTCATGGCATTCGTGCGTCTCATTGAGAGCATGGTGTCATGCCTTGCAATGTTTAACATTGGCAAGTAATCAACCATTGCAAACCGACGCGCCGGAAGCTGCAAATTGTAGTACACCACTCGATGGTCTTTTAGGTGGAATGGCCGGTTGCATTGTCAAGGAACGAAATATGGGACCAATGCTCTTGAGACTTTTATCAGGAAGTGGTCTCAATGTTGACACATCGGACAAACAATATGGAATGGTGTGTTTTTTTTATTTTTTCCAAATTTACTTTCTAGAAATTTTTTTGCTTTGTATTTAATTGAATTTTTCCTATAGTTGCGGTTTTAATTTTTAATTTGTATTAGTAAAAAAAGTAGTAAAAAATATTTTGGTTTATTTAAATTAAGGAAAAAAAATGTTTTTTCACAGGCTGGACCAATTGTTTGTCAAGCGCTGCAAGATTTTCTCGTACGCCTGGAACTTTGGTGCGATGTAATAACACCTGGCAGTACATTGGGCAATGCCCTCAAGGAATTACTCCTTTGGCTTGTCTATCAATTGGTACAACCCGGTGGACCATTGGCAGTGCGTCGTGGACCACTTGATGCACAATGTAAATTAATAACATCGTTATTGAATTTAAATTTTACACACACCGATCTTGGAACTGCAATGAGTATCACGGAATGTGTTAGTGAATTGGTATCGACCTATGTTCGTGGCTATGGAGTTGAGGCACAATGTCGTGGTCTTGTTGATTCGACAAATCCATCAAATAATTTTGGTGGCCTCTACGCTTGTGTTCTTGGCGGTGATGCACGACAAAATCGTCCCGCCTCGTGGGATTCATTGATTGTTGCACTTATTAAACTTGTTTGTCGTTTGGTGCAAACACCATTGCCAAGTGTAAGAAGCAGTGTTGCTGCGGCGGCGGCTTCTTCTTCATCGTCTTCAATGACGGAAATTATGGAATTAGGCGAAGCTGTGAATCAACAGCGAAATTGTGGTAAAATGGAAGCGCAATCTTCGTCATCGTCACAAACTGATGAGAGTAAAGTTGCTGAACAAACGTCGATGAAAATGCAGCAACAACAGCAACAGCAGCAGCAACAACAGAGTGGAACACCGAAACCGAGAGTACCTTGTGTTGCTGATACGGTTTTACAGCATGAGCCAACAATGATGAGATTATTGGGTGCACTTGGTCATAGTACGGGATCATCTTTGGCTATGTTACTCGGCGATAGTTCCGCAAGTAAAGCGACAGCTGATCTTGGTGATCCGCCTTCAATTCCCGATGCGACATTCCAATTATTATCGACACTCACGAAAAAGGCGAGCAGTCCAACTTTGGTGTTGAATCCTGTTAATCAATATCTTGCATCGTGTAAGTTGAATATTTTATTTTTTTTTTACTCTCAACCAAAAAAAAAAAAAAGGGCTAAAAAATTACTAATTTAATTTAGAGATATTTTTTAACTAAGATTCGTAAATCATTAAATTTTCAATAATTTTCATAAATTTCCACGTTCAATTAAAAGAAATATTTTTCAAAATTCTAAATTAAATACAAATTACAAAAATTTGAAAATTAATTTTTTTTTTAACTAAAATTCTTCGTCTGAACATAGAATAATTTTTTTTAGTAAAATTTCTACAATAATTTGAATGAATTAAGAAAACAATTTTAAAAAAAAAAATTTTTATTTTGTTAAAATTTTGTAAATAATGTTCAGAAATTGAAATTCACTAATTTCGAAATATAAAAATAATTTTTTTTTTGTTTTTAACTTAATGTTGAAAATTTTAAAAAATTTCTAGAAACTTACAACTTTTAGAATAAAAATAACGAAGCAACGTTTATTTGATAAACGATTTTTAAAGAAATAATTTTTTAAAATGAAAAATTCTATAATTTTTTTGCTTAAAAAAATATTTTTTGTAGTTTTCATTAATCAACAAATTATAAAAAAAATATTTTTTAAGCAATTAAAATCAATTAATTATAATTAATTAATTATTAAATTTTGAATGAAGAATTGTAGAATTTTTCATTTTAAAAAATTATTTCTTTAAAAATCGTTTATCATAAACGTTACGTACTTCAGCTTCGTTAAAAAAAAAAATAAAGAAAGAAATTATTATTATTTACATACAGTAAAGTAAATAGTTAAGGAAATAGAAAAGTTTTACTCGGGAAATAATATATTTTTTTTTTTTAATATTTCCAAAGCAACAAATATTTTTCAGAAATACTGGAATTTTTCAAGATTTACATTTTAGGTTTTTAGAAATTTAAAGAAATTTTTTTGGAAATTAGAATTTTTGAAAAATTTAAATTGCTTAAGATTGTTAATTTAACAAATAATTAAATTTTGAAGAATTTTTAATTGAAAAAAATTTATTTAAACAATTGAATTTTCAAATTAAAAAATTTATTTAAACAATTGAATTTTCAAATTAAAAAATTTATTTAAATTATTAAAAAATACCTCATTAATTTAGTGAAAAATGTTTGTTAAAAATTTTTTAATTATTAAATTTTGAATGAAGAACAATTAAATTTTAGCCGTTTTTTTTTAAAATATTTATTTATTTTATTTAACTAAATTGATAATTGTTAAAAATAATTTAATTTTGCAACAGAATTGACAATTTTGACATTATTTTCACTTAAAAATGATTTTAAATGAAAATTTTTTTTGAAATAATTCAATTTTCAAAGAATTTATTTTAAAAAATTCTAAAATAATTCAATTTTCAAAGAATTTATTTAAAAAAATTCTAAAATAAATTAATTTTCCGTAAATTTATAGTTTATAGTAAAATTTTGAAAAAATAATTTAATTTTCGATGATATTTAATTAAAGAAATTTAAAATAATTAAATTTTTTGTTGAAAAATTTTATAAAAAATTGAATTTTTAAAAATTTACAGTTTTTTATTTTAAGAAATAATAATTATTTATTTATTAACGATTTATAATTAAATTTTAGAAGAATTTGAATCGCTGAAGTTTTTATTTTTAGAAATACTAATTATTTATTTATTTATTTTTTAATGATTTATAATTAAATTTTAAAAGAATTTGAATGGCTGAAGATTTTTTTTTGTTTAAATTAAATCATCAAAGATTTTGATTAAAATTTCTAAAAATGATAATTTTGCAAAAAAAAAAAAAAATCAGAAAACTTTTGGTTTTATGATTCAAATTTTTTTTAAAATATTTTTAATTTTTAAACTGTAAAATTAACTATAATAATTTCCGTATTCATTCATTCATTCCGTCTGTCCACACTTGAAGTTAGTCGTATTTTGTTCCTTTTGTTTTTCTAAAATTTTGACAATTCTTGATTTCGTAATATTTTATGGTTAACACGACGGATATTTTTATTTATCGCCATTAATTAAGTCATATACTAAGTGACAGTTTAAAGTAAAAAAAAAATATTGTTCATTGTGTGCAGCACCAGTATATTTCCTACTTGGTATTTATAGAAAAAAAAGTTTCAATTATAATATAATTTTTATTATTATTTATAAATTTATTATATTATATATACATTTTTTTAAATATAATGATTATTACAGATAATTAGAACATTGTAACTTATAATTATTATTTATCTTTCATTATTTTTTCATTATTCATTATTATTTATTATATATTATTATTCACAAATTTATTATTATTAATTATTAAATTGTTATATTTTTTTATCTATAAACAATATAAAAATAGTTTGCTTTTTTAAAAAATTTTCAATTTGATTTTAATTTTTAATTTAACTTTAAAGTTTAAAACATTACAAATTTTTTTTAGGTTTTATTTTTTCAAAATTTTTAAATATTTTTTAATTGCTTAATACTTTTTAAAATATAATTAATAATTTTCTGTTAATTTAAATTTCTTTTTGATTACATAATTTTTTAATATTTATTAATTATCAGTTAATTAAATTTTTTGAAAAAAAACATAAATTTAAAATTTTTATTTGCAACGAAATATTTATAGAAAATACAAAAAAATATTTAACATAACTAATTTTTTGTAATTTGAAAGATTATAAAAAATTCATCGAACATTGACTTTATCAAAAATATTTATTTCTAAAATTTTAATATTTATATTTTAAAATTTTTACTTTAATTTATTTATTTATATAACATCAAACTCATTTTTTTCTGTGTATAAATAAATGATAACGTGAAAATTAGAAATATACCTATTATTAATTTAATACTCCACTGATGCAGAATTATTATTATTATTATTATTATTATTATTATTAATATTATTATTATTTTAAAATAACCATTGCAATTAAAGTTGGACGCGCGCTTGCGCGCGTGTAATTTTGCTAGTATGCTGTAATTTTTATTTTTACTTTCAAAATAATTCAGTTTTTGAAGAAATTATTAAAAATTAAAAAAAAAATGTAATTTTATGAAAAATTTTTATTATACGATTTTGAAAATAGTTGAATTCTCCAAAATTCTATTTTAATAAATAGAATTATTATTAATTTTTAAATATCACAAAATTTGATCAAAAAAATGTAGAAAATAATTGAATTTTTTTTTTTTGAAAATATTTTTTATGAAAATTGTAGAAATGAAATAATTTGAATTTTCTAAAGATTTTAATTTTTAAAAAATGTAAATTTTATTTTTTCGTTTAACTTATTTTATTAATAATTTTGTTTTTACCATTTTTTTGTGTTAATTTATTTATTTATAATTTTGTAATTATTTTGGTTACCTAATTTATTTATTTATAATTTTGTAATTATTTTGGTTACCTAATTTATTTGTTTATAATTTTGTTTTGCTGTTTTATATTTTTATTTCTTGCGTTAATTTATTTATTTTTAATTTTGTTGTTTTTCTTTTATTTTCATTAATTATAATTTACATATTTTTAATTTTAATATTTTTATGGTTATCTCATTAATTTATTAATAATTTTGTTTTTTTTTATATTTTCATTAATTAATTTACATATTTTTAATTTTGTAATTTTTTTGCTTACCAAATTTATTTATTTATAATTTTGTTTTTTTTCTGTTCATTTATATACTTAAAATTTTTTTATATTTTACGTTTTTTCATTAATTTTTCACAATTTTGTTATTTTTTGTTTATTAATCTATTTATAATTTTTTTTTCAAAGAAAAAAATTATTTAAAATTTTTTAAAGATGCTCAAAATATACAAAATACTCTTTCTTAGTATATTTATTTCAAAAAGAACAGGAAAAAAAAGTAGGTAATTAATTTTCTCTTTATTTTTTCCCCCCTTTGCAGCATGCGGAAAATCAACACTAAGTCGACAACTTGGAATGATGCAACTCTCAGAGCCTCTTCTTTGGTATATTCTCCGCGTATTGGACAATGAAACATCATTGGCAATATTCACTGGAATGGGAGGTGTTAAAGTACTTTGTGAAAATCTCGTAAAATCAAGTAAAGCAAACAATGAAGGTGGTTATGCGTCACCTGGTGTTATTGCACTTGTTATGCAACATCTTTCAAATACACCAAATCTCATTGCATCATCGTCATCGTCGGCTTCTTCATCGTCGTCAACGACAACAACAACAACAACAACAACGACAACAGGTGGTAATAGTGGTTTAGTTAATTTTGCACCACTTGGAACAATTACTTGGGTTAATTCAACGGCACAACCCGCTGATGTTTTAATACAAAGTCCAACGCCACAAAGAAGAACGCGAACTGCCGCTTGGACATATCATTTTTATCCCGATGAGGCGTGGGTTGATTTAACAATAACATTGAAATGTGCAATTTTACTTAAGGAAGTTGAATTACAACCACATGTCACATCATTGGCAACTTGTCCATCGGCTGTTGCATTGGAAATTGCACGCGAGGCAAATTCAGCAATGACACCTGTTTGTCCACCAATGTCAACGTCGGGATTGACATTTATTAAAATTACACTTTCGCAACCAAAAGTTGCAACCGCTGTTCTTGTGAGGCTGTATAAACCAAAGGATTCGGCTGATATTAGTTTGAGCAATATTCAAATACTCGGTAAGAATATTTTTTTTTTTTTTGCTTTTTCACCAATTTTTCGTTATTTTTTTTGTGGTATTTTTTAGTTTAGAAATTATATTTGTAATATAAAATTAATAGAATAAAATTAAATATTAATTTTTGATTAGAATCGAAAAATTGGAATTCGACAAAAATTATAGTTTAAAAACTATTTTTTGAAAAAAAAAATTATAATTTTCCATTGAAATTTATAGTTAAAATAATTATTGGAAAAATAGTTTTAATAAATTTTGGTATTTTCTCAAATTTTTGAAACATTTGAATTCGACAAATATTTAAAAAAAATTAATTAATTTTTTCCATTGAAACTGAATTAAAATAATTGGAAAAATTCAAGTTTTAATAATTTTTCAAAAATTCATTTTTAAATTCTTTTATAAGATTTACTAAATTTCTGATTTTCAACCAAAAAAAATTGATATTTTTTTTTAATTATTCTCATGGAAAATAAATGTACAAAGTATTTGGAAAATTTTTGAAAAATAATTGAATTTTTCAAGATTTACAATTTAGATTTTCTTTTTTAAATAATAAAATTTCAAGAGATTTAAAACTGGAATTTTGCTGAATATAAATGTTGCTAATTTTTTTTTTTTTTTTGTTTTTTTTAACTAATTTTAGATACAAAAATTCAATTTTAGCAAATTTTTAATTAAAATTTTTTTTTAATAACTGAATTTTCAAAGAATTTTATTAAAAACAATTATTGATTTGAAAAAAAAATTTTCGATAAATTTCAGGAACATTTCAATTCAAATATTTTATAAATTTCAATTTTAGAGATATTTTAATTACGAATTATGAAAAATAATTGAATTATTGAAAAATTTTATTAAAAAATTAAATTATTGCAGAATTTTATTAAAATTATTTAAAAAATTAAATTATCGAAAAATTTTACTAAAAATTATTGAAAATAATTGATTTTTAAAAATGATTTTAGATAAAAATTTATAAATAATTGAATTTTGAAAAAGTTAAAGTTAAAATTTTTAAAATTGAATTTCAGGAGATTTATAAATTGAAATTTTCTAAATTTTATTATTTATTATTAATTTATTATTGATTATTTAAAAAAGTTAAAGTTAAAATTTTTAAAATTGAATTTCAAGAGATTTAAAATTGAAATTTTCTAAATTTTATTATTATTTATTATTAATTTATTTATTTATTTACTTATTTATTTAATGAACCAATTTATTATTTATTAATTAAAAAATTAAATTATCGAAAAATTTTACTAAAATTATTAAAAATAAATGATTTTTAAAAAGGATTTTAGATAAAAATTTATAAATAATTGAATTTTGAAAGAGTTAAAATTAAAAATTTTAGAATTGAATTTCAGATTTAAAATTTAAATTTTAAGATAAAAATTTTTTTTACTAAATTTAGACAAAAAAATTCAATTTTAGCCAATTTTTAATGAAAATTTTTTTTTAACTACTGAATTTTCAAAGAATTTGATTAAAAACAATTATTGATTTGAAAAAAAAATTTTAGATAAATTTCAGAAAGATTTCAATTCAAATATTTTATAAATTTCAATTTTAGAGATTTTTTAATTACGAATTATGAAAAAAAAAATGAATTATTGAAAAATTTTATAAAAATTATTTAAAATTTTTTTAAAAAATTAAATTATTGAAGATTTTATTAAAATTGTTTAAAAAATTAAATTATCGAAAAATTTTACTAAAAATTATTGAAAATAATTGATTTTTAAAAACGATTTTAGATAACACTTTTTAAATAATTGAATTTTGAAAAAGTTAAAGTTAAAATTTTTAAAATTGAATTTCAAGAGATTAAATATTGAAATTTTCTAAATTTTATTATTATTTATTATTAATTTATTATTAATTTATTATTAATTTATTATTTATTATTAATTTATTATTTATTATTAATTTATTATTTATTATTAATTATTTAAAATATTAAATTATCGAAAAATTTTACTAAAATTGTTAAAAATAATTGATTTTTAAAAATGATTTTAGATAAAAATTTATAAATAATTGAATTTTGAAAAAGTTAATGTTAAAATTTTTAAAATTGAATTTCAGGAGATTTAAAATTGAAATTTTGCTAAATTTTAATATTGATGAAAATGTTTTTTTACTAATTTCAGAACAAAAAATTCCAGTTTTACAGAATTTTTTATTACGAATAATATAAAATAATTGAAGAATTGAAGAATTTTATTAAAATAATAATTTAAAATAATTAATTTTTGAAAAGAATTTTAGATTAAAATTCATAAATAATTTAATTTTGAAAGAGTTAAAATTAAAAATTTTAGAATTGAATTTCAGATTTAAAATTTAAATTTTAATATTGATGAAAATATTTTTTTTACTAATTTTAGACAAAAAAAAATTCAATTTTAGACAATTTTTAATTACACATTTTTGAATTTTCGAATTAGTAAAATAATAAAAATTGATTAGGAAATGAATTTTAAATAAAAATTTCCAAAGAATTATATAGTTAATTGTAAAAATTTATTCAAAAAAAATTGTGAAAAAAATTAAGTTTCTGAAAAATTTGAATTTCTATTTGTTTAGAATTTTGTTTAAAATTTAATTGTAAAAATGAAAAGAAAGAAAGAAATTCATTACAATTTTCTTTCTTTTTGAATTTTGCGAAGAATTTTAATTAGAGAAAAAAAAATGTGTAAATATTTGAATTTTATAAATATTGAAAAATAATAGTTCTTTGAAAGGCATAAAAAAAATCCAAATTTAAAAAAATATTTACTAAGGTACAAGTACAAATTAAATACAAAAAAAATACAAATACAAAAAAAGATACAGAATATAAATTATTTTACATCTTAAAAATCTTGATTTTTGTTTTCAAAAGACATTCTAATTAAAAAAAAAAAGTTACTTAATTTTTTCATATTAAAAATTAAAAACTAAAAAAAAAGAAAATAAATTATCGAAAAATATAAAAAAAAATTTTGCTTCTTTTTTTTTTTAGGAACAACAGCATTTGGTGATACAAAATCAATAGCCGAATCATTGGACGAGGAACAATTGACAAAAAAAAGTTTAGGCTGGTTACGATTGTTACATCAATGTTTATCAGTTAGTGCAATGAATTCACGACTCGCCGATGAAGTATTAAATTCAGCAGCTTCAGTCGATGGTCTTGTTGAATCATGTTGTAATCTTTTATTATTACCAGCACCATCTTTATTCACATCAAATCTTGAACGTGTTCTCTTTCAATTGGGTTTACATTCACGTGAATTGGGATTATTATTGATTAATTTATTGCTCAATAATCGTTCGGCAACATTATTTCAAGCATCAACATCAACCCAAGAAACATCAACTGTACAAATGGTTATTGAATTATTACAACAACTTTGTTGTTCACAAGATGCACATTGTGCAACGCGAATGATTGCCGTACTCGAGTGGCTTGAGGAAGTTGCACGAAATTGTTCAAATCAAACGCAAAATCAATATTCATCGCCACCAGCTGTTTATATACATTGCATTTCGTCCGTTATTTGGAAAGTTTCAAAATTGGTGAGTTTTATTTTCAAAATTTTTTAAATATTTTTTTTAATTAATTATTTATATTATTTTTTTTAATTTTTTTATGTTTATTTCAATTTGAATTTGGAGGGTTTTTTATTAATTTCGTTTTTGCAGAATTTGGAAATAATGAAAAGCAAAAATTTTCCAAATTTTAAATATGGAAAATTTTGTTTTGTCAAATTCGGAAAAATTTTAATTAAAATTAACACAAAGTAATAATTCAAAAATAAAAGTAAAAAAAAAACTTTGTTTTGTAAAATACGGAAAAATTAAAATTAAAATTTACTAAAAGCAATAATTCCAACAGTAAAATGAAAATTTTCGATTTGTAGAATTTGGAAATATTCAAAGTAAAATTTTCCAAATTTTAAATATGGAAAATTTCGTTTTGTCAAATTCGGAAAAATTTTAATTAAAATTAACACAAAGTAATAATTCAAAAATAAAAGTCAAAAAAAACTTTGTTTTGTAAAATACGGAAAAATTAAAATTAAAATTTACTAAAAGCAATAATTCCAACAGTAAAATGAAAATTTTCGATTTGTAGAATTTGGAAATATACAAAGTAAAATTTTCCAAATTTTAAATATGGAAAATTTCGTTCCGTCAAATTCGGAAAAATTAAAAATTAACACAAAATTTTGATTCCAAAATTAAAGTAAAATATTCCATTTTGTAAAATTCGGAAAAATTAAAATTTACTAAAAGCAATAATTCCAAATCTAAAATGAAAAATTTCATTTTGTAAAATTCGAAAGAATTAAAATTAACTAAAAAGTAAAAATTACGAATTTTAAAAGGAAAATTACAAAAATTTTGCAAAATTCGGAAAAATTAAAATTTACTAAAAGCAATAATTCCGAATCTAAAATGAAAAATTTCATTTTGTAAAATTCGAAAGAATTAAAATTAACTAAAAAGTAAAAATTACGAATTTTAAAAGGAAAATTAAAAAAATTTTGCAAAATTCGGAAAAAATTAAAATTAACTAAAAAATCTGTAATATTTCCAAAGTGGAAAATTTTGTTTGGTAAAATTTGGAAAAAGTAGAAATTAACGAAAAAAAATAATTTCAAGTTGAAAAATTTGAATTTTTGATGATATTTATTCAAAAGAATTTTAAATAATTAAAAATAACGTTGAATTTTGATAATTTTGGAAAATAATTGAATTTTTGAAGATTTATTGTTTTGAGAATTTTTTCAAATAATTGAATTTCAAGAGGATTTTTAAATTGAAATATTTTATAAATTTGAATTTTCGAGAATTTTTAATTGTTCATTTTTTTTTTAAGTAATTGAATTTTCGAAGAATTTTGTTAAAAATAATTGATTAGAAAAATAATTTTAGATTAAAATTTATAAATAATTGAATTTTTGGTAAAGAAAGAGTCAAAATTTTTTAAAATAATTGAATTTCGTTTTGCAAAATTAGAAAAAATTAAAATTAATTAAAAATAATAATTCCAAATTGAAAAATTTTTGAAAATGATTGAATTTTCGATGAATATTTATTAAAAAAAAGAATTTTAAATAATTGAAATTTTTGTTAAATTTTTGAAATAATTGAATTTTTAAAGAACTTTATTAAAATTATTGAAATCCAAATTGAAAAATTTTTGAAAATAATTGAATTTTCGATGAATATTTATTAAAAAAGAATTTGAAATAATTGAAATTTTTGTTAAATTTTTGAAATAATTGAATTTTCAAAGAACTTTATTAAAATTATTGAAATTTATTAATTAGACGAAGAATTTTAGTTAAAAAATTTATTTATTTAAATTTTTGGAAATTTTGGCATTTAAATCTTTTTTTTTTAATTCTATAAATTAAAAAATTTCGTTTACGAAAATTTAAAAAAATTAAAATTAATTTCAAAAATTTAATTAAAATTAATAACTAAAAGTAATAATTGTAAATTGAAAAATTTTTTTTGAAAATAATTGAATTTTCGATGATATTTATTAAAAAGAATTTAAAATAATTGAAATACCGTTGAATTTTTGATAATTTTGGAAAATAATTGAATTTTCTGAAGATTTATTCTTTATGAATTTTAGAAATAATTGAATTTCACGAGGATTTTTAAATTGAAAAATTTTAAAAATTACAATTTTAGATAATTTTCAATTATACATTTTTTTCGAAGAATTTTATTAAAAATAATTGATTAGAAAAAGAATTATAGATTCAAATTTATAAATACTTGAATTTTTGATAGAGAAAGTGTCAAAAATTTTTGAAAAATAATTGAATTTTGTTTTGTAAAATTAGAAAAAATTAAAAATTAATTAAATATAATAATTCAAAATTGAAAAAATTTTGCAAATAATTGAACTTTTCGATGAATATTTATTTTAAAAAAAGAATTTTAACTAATTAAAATTTCATTGAATTTTGAAAATAATTTAATTTTAGAAGATTTACAGTTTTTTATTTTTAGAAATAATTGAATTTCACGAGGACATTTAAATTGAAATTGTTTTTTAAATTTCGAATTGCTAAAAAAAAAATTTAATTTTACAACTTCTTAAATAATTAAATTTTCAAAAAAAAATTTATTCAAATTATTCAAAAATTATTGGTTAATTAATTATTAGATAAAAAGAAGTTTAGTTAAAAATTTGTTTAAATTAATTAAATTTTAGGAATTTTTAGCTAGTTTTTTTTCAGTAATTCCAAATTGAAAAATTTCGTTTTATAAAATTCGAAAGAATAAAAATTAAATTAAAAATCTAATAATTTTAAATTTATAAAAATTAATCAAAACGAACCAAATTTAATTTTCAAAATAAAATTAACAAATTTTTTATTTATTTCAGGAACCGCCAAAATATAATTTATCAAATCTTCTAACGGACAATTTATTCGATGCACTTTATCAATGGACATTAATATTGGATCCACATTCAGCTTTAAAAGAAGCTGTTGATTCAGTGCTTTGTGCATTTTGTCACGTTCAATCGAATGCATTTTTTATGCTTTTTCAACGTTTACAAATTTTCATACCAGTCTATTGTGATGATCATCATTTATCATCATCATCATCATCATCAGCAGCAGCAGCAGCGGTAGAAGCTGCTGCTGCTTCATCATCATCATCATCATCAATATCGGATGATAAAAAAGAAACAGAAATACAAACAGACGATACAAAAAGTGGTATTAAAACATTATTCACGGCAAATTTAATGCTCACTGAAAATCGTTATCTAAATCTTACTGAGGGACAATTATTGACAATTGCCGCTGTTTCGCGTTCACCAATTATTATTGAAAAATTAATACAAGAGGGCCTACCTTCATTTCTCATTGATATTATCACTGAATTTTGTGTCATTGAACAGGCGAAATTTAATCGTCAACAACAATCGTCAATTGTCATTGATGTGGGAATGAAAAATAATAATTGTGAAAATGCCCGACTTACGGATAATGATAAAGTTGCTGGCGAACAACAACAACAACAACAACAAAATAATCATTCTGGTTTATTGATGACTGAACCGGAGAATATTGCCGTGATATTGGAATTTTTATCGCTTGTCTGTTCAGAGGGAAGAATGCGCGATTGGTTAGGTAAAGAGGGTAGTGAATTTTGGTTACCATTATTATCATTATTAAGTAATCGACCAATTGAAAATCCTTCGATATCATTGTCACGTAATTCAAAGACAAGTCTTGCCTATGGTACATTAGAAAGTGGAATGATTAAATTTTTATCAAAATGTTGTTGGTGTCATCCGGCAAATCAAAAATTACTCGCTGAATTATTAACGGATGTGATATTACAACATCGAACACCGCCAAATATACGTTATTTACATGGAATATCGGGTTTCACAAGGCGTTTAATTTTACAATTATTATTGGAAGGTGAAAAAGTACTTGTCTCAGTGACATCGGAAACGCCAATGAAAAATTCAAATACAATTGTTAATTATAATATGCCAGTGATACCACCACATCCGGCACATCCATTGGGACATTATCATCAATTACTTTATATGTCAACGCAAGCGACTGTTGCCGATATATTGCAACAGGTATTTGGTACTTGGCTTTTGATTTTGTTGCCGAATAATAAGGGAAATGAGGCGAGCACAAGCGGTGAGTTTGAAATTAAGATATTTTTTTTTATTTTTAAATTTTCTTGAAATTTATTTATTTATTTAAATTAAAAATTCAGTGTGTCTAGCGAGCTGGAATTCCTTGAAAAAAAAGGAAAAGTCCTTGAATTTTTTATTTACCTAGAAAACCTGTAAATGAAACTATTTTCAATTTAATTTAATAAAATATATGATTTTTTTTTTTACTTTTTCTAAAACATTTTTTTTAAAAGAAATTAGAATTATTAATTAATTAATTAGGGTCAGCCGGGGTAAATCCGAACGCTAATTATTTCAGCTTAATTAAAATTTTTAAAAATAAGTTCGATATGAGAATTTTTACCTCAGATCCTCTTCAAGAGATTCTAAATATTATCCCATTTTTCGTTTGTTAATTAGCAACAGCATAAACAAAGATAACGAGTATTGCAAAAAAGATTGAAAATCAAAGATGACACTCTTTCAGTATTTTGTCTCGTATTTCAAGAAAAAGAAGCTAAAAATTTATTTTATTATTTATAATTGTTTGTTATGAATACTAGAACAGAAACTATTTTTCATTTTTGCCTTCTGTAAAATTTTATTAATAATATCAGACCGTTCGTATTTACCCAGGAAAATTGGAAAACCGGGGTAAATCCGAACGGTATTTTCAATAATTTTTTTTTACATCAGAGCCACACAAAATTGTTTTTATTTCATTACACTATTATTTTAACATTATGAAAGTACATAGAAAAAAGTTTTTCTTTCTTACGTATCCTCGTTAGTAATTAATAAGCAGAAACTTAATCTCTGTTCTCTCGAAGGAGTGCTTCAATTTTTTTGCCAAATGGTTTGTTGAAAAAAGTTTTTCAGGATCTTAATAAAATTTGGTATTCTACGGTTTTTGGGGTCGCTAATTACCTATTTGAAGTCAGTTTTTCAAAATTCAAAATGACGGACGAGAATTAAAAAATTCATTGGATTCGCTCGAAAATTGTTACTCGGGGGGTTTCAGGGTTAGCAAATTTGATCATTTTTAAAAATAAGTTTTAGGAAAGTACGCCATTTTGAATTTAAAAAATTTGACTTTTATTTTTGTATTTACATTCAATCACTCCAAAATACTTTCTGTACCAAGTTTTGCAAACATCCGTTATGATTTGATAAAGTTATTGAAGGTTTTAATTGTGTAATGCATTTTAATTTTTAACCTGTTTGATTTTTGTATTTATATATGATGCATTATTACATAATAGGTTAATTATCGTATTTTTTTTGAGTTTTTATATAAGTTTAACAATTGCAATACTTTAAATTTATTTTCCCTAAGATTTTTCTGAAATACAGTGGCGTTCGTATTTACCCCGGTATTTTAGGAAAGTTGCAAAGTATCGAGGTAAATACGAACGCTAAGTTTCCTGCGATTGTAATTTATCAAAAATTTTTGCTACCCCATAAAATTGTTCTATGGAAGTAAAGTAACAACTTCATGCACCAGAATACCGGAAGTATTGTCTTTTTAAAGAAAAAACTTATGTTATTGTTGAAACTTACTAAAAGCGTTCGGATTTACCCCGGTTGACCCTAATTAATTATTAATTATTTAATTAGAAATTATTAGAATAAAATTCAAATCGTCCAAAATTGAATTATTTAAAAGCATATTAATTAGAATACTTTGTAAAATTAATTATGTTTAATAATTTTAATCAAGTTTTTTTTTTTTTTTTTTCTAAATTCCATTATTTAAAATATTTTTCAATTGAAAGTCCTTTTAAATTCAATTATCTAAAATACTTATATAAAAAAAGAATTCATTAATTAAAATTTGAGTTTCAATTCTAAATTTCCTGAAATTCAATTATTTCTAAAAAGTTTTTTACTTGAAATCTAAAATTTATTTAATTCTAAAAATTTTAACTGCAATTTTTTAAAATTTCCAATTATTTTTAAAAATTTTACTACATTTATTTATTTTTTTTGAATAATATTTAAATAAAGTTCTTCTGAAATTTAATTATTTAAAACTTTTACCTACTAAACTTTTGAATATTCGAATAATTTGCCGAAATCATATTTCGAATGTTTTCTTTTTCATTTTAAATAATTTAAAAAATTATTTTTTAAAAAAATTTGTCTTGAATTTTTTGAATATTTGTCTCAGTTTATTATTATGAAAAATCTATAAAATTTTAATTTGAATAATTTGGAAATTTTTTGAAATTAATTAAAATTATTATTGATAAATTAATTAAAATTTATTGATAACTAAATGTAATTTTTTTTAAAAACTAAAATGATAATTATTTAAAATTAATAATGAAAAGTTGTTGTTAATTTAATTAAATTTCTGTTATTTTATTGAAAGTAATTGATAACTAAATACAATTTTTTTTTTTGAAAAATAAATAGTTGATTATTTAAAATTAATATTTGAAAATTTGTTAATAAATAATTAAATTTTAAGAATTTTTAATAGTTAATGTTTTTGTTTTATAATTTCAATTTGAAAAATTTGGATTTCTAGAATTTAAAAAAATGAAAACTAACTAAAAGTATTTAAATCTAAATTAGAATTGAAAATTTTCGTTTTGTAAAATTTGGAAAAATTAAAATTAACTGAAAGAAATTGAAAAATTTAGAAAATAATTGAATTTTGGATTTTTTAAAAAATAATTTTAATTAATTGAAATTCTGTAGAATTTGACAATTTTTTTTTTCTTAAATAATTAAATTCGTTAAATTTTGAAAATTTTGGAAAATAATTGAATTTTTGATTAATTTACTGTTTAAATTTTTAGAAATAATTGAATTTGAATTAAAATTTGAATAATTTTGAATTAAAAAAATTTAAATTGAAATATTTTTTTTATTTCAAAATTGATTTTTGAAAATAATTTTAGATAAAAATTTATAAATAATGGAATTTTTGAAAAAATAAACGTTAAAATTTTTAGAATTGAATTTCAGGAGATTTAAAATTAGAATTTTGCTAAACTTAAATACGTATTTTTTTTACAAATTTCAGAAATAAAATGACTAAATTTTAATGAATTTAAAATACTTGAATTATTGAAGAATTTTATTTCAATTATTTAAATTAATTGATTTTTGAAAACGATTTTAGATAAAAATTTATAAATAATGAAATTTTTGAAAAAATAAACGTTAAAATTTTTAGAATTGAATTTCAGGAGATTTAAAATTAGAATTTTGTTAAACTTAAATATGTATTTTTTTTTTTTACAAATTTCAGAAAAAAAATGAGTAAATTTTAGTGAATTTTGAATTACACATTTTTTTTAAATAATTGAATTTTCCAAGAATTTTTATTAAAAATAATAATTGAATAGGAAAAGAATTTTAGATTAAAATTTATAAATAATTGAATTTTTGATAGAGAAATTGTAAAGATTTTTAAAAATAATTGAATTTCTTTGTGTAAAATTTAAAAAAATTACAATTAATTGCAAGTAATAATTTTAAATTGAAAATTTTTGAAAATAATTGAATTTTTGATATTTATTTAAAAAAAAGGATTTTAAATAATTGAAATTTTCTTGAATTTTAAAAATAATTGAACTTAAGAAGAATTTCAAATTCAAATATTTTGTAAATTTCAATTTTTGAGATATTTTAATTACGAATCATTAAAAATAATTGAATTATTGAAGAATTTTATTTCAATTATTTAAAATAATTGATTTGGAAATGGATTTTAGTTTTAAAAAAAGTATAAATAATTGAATTTTGAAAGAATTACAATTGAAATTTATAGAATTAAATTTCTGGAGATTTAAAATTGAAATTTTTGTTTAATTTAAGTATTGCTGACATTTTTTTTTTTTACTAATTTCAAACAAAAAATTTCCGTTTATAAAATTTTTAATTGCACTTTTTTTATTTAAGTAATTGAATTTTCGAAGAATTTTATTAAAAATAATTGTTTAGGATAAAAATTATAGACGATATTTTTAAATAATTGAATTTGGAAAGAGTTAAAGTTAAAATTTTTAGAATTAAATTTCAGGAGATGCAAAAATTAAAATTTTGGTAAATTTTAATTTCTAAATATTGTTTAGAAATTTTTTTAAGTAATTAAACTTTCGAAGAATATTATTAAAAAAAATAATTGATTAGAAAATCGAATTTTAGTTAAAAATTTATAAATAATTGAATTTTTGATAGAGAAATTGTAAAGATTTTTAAAAATAATTGAATTTCTTTGTGTAAAATTTGAAAAAATTAAAATTAATTGCAAGTAATAATTTTAAATTGAAAATTTTTGAAAATAATTGAATTTTTGATATTTATTTAAAAAAAAGGATTTTAAATAATTGAAATTTTCTTGAATTTTAAAAATAATTAAACTTAAGAAGAATTTCAAATTCAAATATTTTGTAAATTTCAATTTTTGAGATTTTTTAATTACGAATCATTAAAAATAATTGAATTATTGAAGAATTTTATTTCAATTATTTAAAATAATTGATTTGAAAATGGATTCTAGTTTTAAAAAAATATAAATAATTGAATTTGGAAAGAGTTAAAGTTAAAATTTTTAGAATTAAATTTCAGGAGATGCAAAAATTAAAATTTTGGTAAATTTTAATTTCTAAATATTGTTTAGAAATTTTAAGTAATTGAACTTTCGAAGAATATTATTAAAAAAGTAATTGATTAGAAAATCGAATTTTAGTTAAGAATTTATAAATAATTGAATTTTAAAACAGTTGAAATTTTTAGAAATAATACTGGAGATTAAAAATTTTAATTAATTGAATTATAATTCATTATTATTTGAAATTAATTGATTATTTATTGAATTATTGATATTTAATATTGAAATTAATTGATTTTGTTCGTTGAAAAATTGAAAATTTCTATTATTTTTCATTTTTTTTTTTTATGATTGTGAATGATAACTTGTATGAAAAAAAATTCATACAATGAAGTAAATTAAAAAAGAATAAAAAAGATATAAATAAAATAAAAATAGAAATTAATATTTAAAATGAAAAACTAATTTTTTTTCAGGAATGAATCATCCAAAAGAATTCTGGGAAACTGACATGTCCCTTGTTGCTGGTAGTTTAAGTGTAGCTGCCGGTAATACAGCAAAAGATAAACGTGCAAAAGAAGCATCAAATCGTTCACAAGCACGTGCTCCACATCCAATGTTACGAAAATCACGTTTCACAACCGATGCAATACAATCGTCATCATCGTCCTCATCATCGTCGGCTGCATCAACATCAAAATCATTGTCAAGTCTTGCCGCAGCTGCGACAAGTCATACAAATATCACTAATCAACAGTACCTGATACACACATCGCATCCAAATGTTCCCCTACCACCTGAAATGACAATCGCTCAGCTACTTTCAATCACTGCCGATTCTGGTGTTTCTCTATCTGATCCGTGTCTTCATTTAATTCTACGTCAACGAAATAAGGATACAATAAAAGAATTGGATTTAACAAAAACATCACCACTCTATAATCATTCATCGAGTATTGATTCGTCACTTGAAGTTTTTAGTTCGGGTGGTGGTCTTGCGGTGCTTGCAAAACATTTACCATTGGTTTATCCCGATTCAGGTAGGCCAAGTGCAATTGTTGAAAAATCACCATCACCAGAACAAACTGATGCCGAGTGGGTGAAAATTGAACCAAATGAATATGAATATGATTTAGAAGAGGGCGGTGGACCAGTACAAGAGACTAAAATAACGCCACCAACGCCAAATGTTCCGCCACATTCGCTTACGGCTTTTGGTTTGTTTTTGAGATTACCTGGCTATTCGGAGGTATTGTTGAGGGATAGAAAACGAGCGCAATGTTTATTGAGATTGGCATTGGGTGTGACTGACGATGGTGAAGGTGGGGAAATTTTAACGTCGCCTATTGCAACATCATTGCCGACACTTCCATTTCAGGTGAGTGAGGCGAAAATTTAAATTATTTTTTAACTAGCAATATTAAATGCGCGCAAGCGCGCCAAATTGACTGTTTCATTATTTGATATAGAGAAATTAAAAATTAATATTATCAATAATTATTTAAATTTATTAGAATATTATTCCATATTAAATGATAAAAATAAAAATTATATGTTTATAGGCCTCAGAATTATTAATTATTAAATTATTAAATTTTAAATTCAAAGTCTTTTAAAATTCAATTATTTTCCAAATTTTCAATTTAAAATCAAATGAAATTCAATTATTACCCAAAATTTTCCATTCAAAATCAACTAAAATTCACTTATTTTCCAAATTTTCAATTTAAATTCAAATAAAATAAAATTATTTTCTAAAATTTCATTTCAAAATTAATTATCAAAAATCAACTAAAATTGAATTATTATTTAAAATTGTAATTGAAATTTAATTATTTTCCAAAATTTCAATTCAAAATCCAAGACAATTCAATTATTTTCCAAATTTTTAATTCAAAATCTTTTAAAATTCAATTATTTTCCAAATTTTCAATTTAAAATCACATAAAATTCAATTATTATCCGAAATTTTAATTCCAAAATCAACTAAAATTCAAATATTTTCCAAATTTTTCTATTGAAAATTAACAAAAATTCAATTATTTAATTATTTTTCAAAATTTCAATTCCAAAATTAACTAAAATTCAATTATTTCCCAAAATTTTAATTCAAAATCAAAGAAAATTCAATTACTTTCCAAATTTTTAATTCAAAATCTTTTAAAATTCAATTATTTTCCTAGTTTTCAATTTAAAATGAAATAAAATTCTTCAATTATTTTCTAAAATTTCTATTCAAAATTAATTATCCAAATTTTCAATAAAAAATGAACTTAAATTAAATTATTATTCAAAATTTCAATTAAAATTCAATTATTTCCAAAAAATTTCAATTCAAAATCAAAGAAAATTCAATTATTTTCAAAATTTTCAATTCAAAATCAACTAAAATTCAATTATTTTCTAAATTTAAAATCAAATAAAATTTAATTATTTTCTAAAATTTCAATTCAAAATTAATTATCAAAATTTTCAATAAAAAATCAACTAAAAATGAATTATTATCCAAAATTTTAATTGAAATTTAATTATTTTCCGAAATTTCAAATCAAAATAATTAAAGAAAATTTAATTATTCTAAAAAATTTGAATTCAAAATTAATTGAATTTTCAATAATTTGAATTTAAAAGCATTTAAAATTTAATTATTTCTAAAATTTTCCATCGAAAATTTTTTGAAATTTAATAATTTCAATTATAACTCTAAGGGAATTCAATTATTTTTAAATATTTTTATAATATTCTTTGAAAATTCAACTATCTGAAACCATTTTTCAATTAAAAATGATTATCAAATTATTGTATTTTGTCTGTAATTTCTAATAAATTTTTTAGTGAAATCATATAAAATTTTAATTTAAAATCACTTGAAGTTCAATTAATTTCTAAAATCTCAATTTTAAATCTTTTGAAAATTCAATTAAATTTAAAAAATGTTTTCCAACAAATTTTTTTGATAAATTATTTTTAGTTCTGTAAAATTTTATTATTGTTTGAAAATTAACAATATCTTTTGAAATTTAATTATTTCTAAAATTTTCAAGTTTAATTTGACACAAATTTGACACGTTATAAGATTACTATTCAAGAAACACGTGAAATCATAAAAGACCAACTTCAAGTTAGGACAGAAGGACAGACCAAGCATTTTATTATTATATAATTTTGAATATTTATTGGGTCAGAATTTCTCAAACGGATCACCTAAAATTCAGAAATTTTTTTTTTTAGTCTCATTTTTTTTTCTCAACAGTTTCTTACACAAAATTGTGTGGGGAATTCAAAAAAAAAAATTTAATTTTCTATAGGACGTCAAGAACAACTATTTTTTAATAACATTTTATAAATAAATAATATAAAAATCTATTTAATATGAAATTTTTTCAAAATAAAAATTATATTTAAAAACTACATTTTAAGACGAGAAGAACCCTTTTTTTTTTATTGGTGAACAGGAACTCGAAAAAAAAATTTTTTTAAAATAAGACTGCAAAAAATTTCAATTTTTTATAACTTTAACAAAAAAATTTTTTTTTGACCTAAAAATTTCAGAGACTTATTTTTATCATGTAAGGAGTCAAAAAAAAATGATTTTTGATTTAAAAAAAAATTTCTGAATTTTAGGTGATCCGTTTGAGAAATTCTGACCCTATTTATACTTTTTTTTTTAAAATGTTTTTGAATATTTGGGAAAAATTGGTATTTGGTTTTATTTTTATGTTTTTTTTTTTTGTTTTATAAATAGGAGAAAATTACTAGATTAGATTTATTTTCTCTATTGCTGTAGTTTTAGAAAGTTTTACAAAAATTTTTTGTTTCTCGAAAGTGAAGAATATGAAATGGTGACCAATACTAATTTTCACATTTTTTCAAATTTAGTAGTATTTTACAAATAAACTATTTTCCATTAAAATTTTTGATTTTACAAATTGGGACCCATTTTTTTTTCTTTTATGAAATTCTCAAAATTTATTTTTTATAAACAGGACAAAATATTCAATTTTGTAATTTAAAAAAAAGGTTTTTTAAAAATGGAACAAAATTCTCAATTTTTAGAAATTTTAATTTATTTTTATAAATTGGACAGTAATTACAAATTTTTTCTATTCTTGAAAATTTTCTGAAAATTTAATTGATTTTACAAATGGAACAAAATTAACAAATTTTTCTATTTGAAAAATTCGTTTAATTTATTTTGTTTAAAAAAGGCAACAAAATTTTTTAAAAAAATTTCTTTTATAGATAAAAACTTTCAAAAAATTTATTTATTTTTAAAATGAAACAAAATTACAAATTTTTGTCTACTTTAAATATATATATTTTTTTTATTTCTTTTTTTTTAAATTGGAAGAAAATTTTTCTTTTTTCTTAGAAACTTTTGAAATTTGTCTATTTTAAGATTTTAACAAATGAGACAAAATTTGAATTTGTTTTTTTTTTTTTGAAGTTTTTTTTTTACAAATGGGACAAAATTTTTATTTCTATGGAAAATTTATAATTTTTTTGTTTTACAAATGGGACAAAATTTTAATTTTTATGGAAAATTTAGATTTTGTTTTAAAAATGGGACAATACCTTCTTTTTTGGGAAACTTTCTGATATTTATTTATTTTTACATATGGGACAAAAATTTTAATTTCTTAAAAAATTTATAAATTTTTTTTTTTCAAATGGGATAAAATTTTTAATTCCTATGGAAAATTTATAATTATTTTTACAAAATGGGACAAATTTTTAGTTTCTTTGAAAAAATCATTAGTTTATTTTAAAAATGTGACAATGCCTTCTTTTTTTGGAAAACTTTCTAATATTTATTTATTTTTACAATTGGGACAAAAATGTTTAATTTCTTAAAAAATTAAAAAAAAAATTTTTTTTGGGACAAAATTTTAATTTCTATGGAAAATTTAGGATTTTGTTTTAAAAATGGGACAATACCTTCTTATTTTGGAAAACTTTCTAATTTTTTTTTATTTTTATAATTGGGACAAAATTTTTAATTTCTTAAAAAATTTATAAATTTTTTTTTACAAATAGGGCAAAATTTTTAATTCCTATGGGAAATTTATAACTATTTTTACAAATGGAACAAATTTTTAGTTTCTTTAAAAATTTCATTATTTTGTTTTAAAAATAGGTCAAAAGCTTCCTTTTTTGGAAAACTTTCTGATAGTTTATTATTTTTACATTTGGGACAAAAATTTTAATTTCCTAAAAAAATTTATAAATTTTTTTTTACAAAGTGGACAAAATTTTAATTTCTATGGAAAATTTATATATTTTTTTTTACAAATAGAAATTTTTAATTTTTCGTTATATTATTTATAAATTTTTTTTATAAATGTGACAAAATTTTTATTTCTATGGAAAATTTATAATTATTTTTACAAAATGGGACAAATTTTTAGTTTCTTTGAAAAAATCATTAGTTTGTTTTAAAAATGTGACAATGCCTTCTTTTTTTTTGGAAAACTTTCTAATATTTATTTATTTTTACAATTGGGGCCAAAAATGTTTAATTTCTTAAAAAATTTATAAATTTTTTTTTTTTACAAATGTGACAAAATTTTAATTTCTATGGAAAATTTTGGATTTTGTTTTAAAAATGGGACAATACCTTCTTTTTTTTTTGGAAAACTTTCTAATATTTATTTATTTTTACAATTGGGACAAAAATTTTTAATTTTTAAAAAAATTTATAATTTTTTTTTACAAATGGGAAAAAATTTTTAATTCCTATGGGAAATTTATATATTTTTTTTTACCAACAAATTTTTAATTTTACGTTAAATTCATAAAATTTGTTTTAAAAATGAAAATAGTAAAAATTACTTTATTTTTTGTCCATTTTTTATTTTACAATGTAAAAATTGGGTTTAGAAAAATTAAAAAATTCGTATAGTATTACTATTTTACAAGTTTTTTTTTTTTTTTTTAATTTTGAATTAATTTCTCAGGTATTAAAACAATTACTCGAGGACACACCGCCAACAACAGACGATGGTCTTCTCTTGCGAAGAACAATAATTGACGTTGGTGCTGTTTTATTGCTTTTGAATTGTTTTGCAATTTTCACACATCAAACAGGACCGCAAACAGGTGAAATTGAAACACAAAAATTGGGTGGCAATGGAAATGGACGTAGCGATGATAAATCACATCTCTATTGGGCAAAAGGCACTGGTTTTGGTACAGGATCAACGGCACAAAGTTGGAATGTTGAACAGGCATTAATGCGACAACGTTCTGAAGAGGAGCATGTCACTGTATTATTACAAGTACTTGCAAGTTACATTGGTTGTTGTGATCAACCACAAAAAGAATTACCCGCACAATTTCCCGAATTATTATCAACATCTTGTTTAATACCAGCGCTCTCATCATATTTACGTAATGATTCAGTATTGGATATGGCAAGGCATATTCCATTATATCGTGCTGTTTTACAATTATTGAGAGCAATGGCATTGTCATGTCAATTGGCACCATTATTATTGCCATCGTCATCTTCGTTTTCATCGTTGAATGGCGATAAAACAACAACAACAATATCGTCTTCGGATCCATCGATTGTTTCATTATTATCGAGTATGAGAGTTTGTGTTGATACTTATATGAATAAAATTAATAGAACGAGGGGTAGTAAAAAGAATTCAACAACGAAATATCCTGAACAACAGCAGCAGCAGCAACAACAACAACAACAACAACAACATTCATCGGAAGATGATGAGGGTTTAGCGACACTTATTTCTGATATTCAAGAGAGTAGCACTGTTGTTGAGAATGCAACAGCGAGATTAATGGGAATTAATGACGAGAGAGCTGGACCAAGTCCATCGGCACCTGAATTACCATTGAGAAGCATTGAGCAGAGATATTTGGAAGTTATGAAGAGACTGCAATTTGGTGAGTTTGTGCTTTTTTTTTTTATTAATTTTTTAATTTTAATGTAGGTGCAGGCCTCGGATTATACGACTTTTTTTCAACTATTTCCAACTTTTTTCGACTTTTTTTTTACATTTAAAAAAAATTTTTTTAAATAAATTACGATTTTTTTTTTTTAGTATAAAATGCAGATCTTCTTTAGATCTTCTTTATTTCAATTATTTAAAAAAAAAATTTAACTAAAACTCTTCACTAAATTAATTATTTTTAATAATTTTAATGGAATTTATCACAAATTCAACCTATTTTAAACTATTTTTCAATTAAATTTTTTAATGAAATTTAATCATTGTATATATAATTTAAAAAAAAAATTAACAAAATAAAATTACAAAAAAAATTCTAATAAATTCTTCATCAACAGAAATTATTAGAAATTTCTCTTATTATAATAATAATTATTGTCTTGAAAATTAACACAATCTTTTGAAATTAAATTATTTTCCAAAAATTTCAAATTGAAATTCAATTATTTACAAAATTTTCAATTAAAAATCTTTTAAAATTCAATTATTTTCCAAAATTTCAATTCAAAATCAATTATTTACGAAATTTTCAATTCAAAATCATTTAAAATTCAAAAAATTTTCCAAAATTTCAATTCAAAATCAACTAAAATTCAATTATTTTCAAAATTTTCAATTCAAAATCAACTAAAATTCAATTATTCTCAAAAAATTTCAATTCATAATTAATTATTATCAATATTTTTAATCTAAAATCAACTAAAATTAAATTATTATCCAAAATTTCAATTGAAATTCAATTATTTACAAAATTTTCAATTAAAAATCTTTTAAAATTCAATTATTTTCCAAAATTTCAATTCAAAATCAATTATTTACGAAATTTTCAATTCAAAATCAACTAAAATTCAATTATTCTCAAAAATTTCAATTCATAATTAATTATTATCAATATTTTTAATCTAAAATCAACTAAAATGAAATTATTATCCAAAATTTTAAATAAAATTTATTTATTTTCAAAAATTTCAAATTTAAAAGCTTTTAAAATTTGCCATCTAAAATTGTTTGAAATTTAATAATTTCAATTATAACTCTCTCATGAAATTCAATTATTTTTAACTATTTTCATAAATATTATTCGAAAATTCAATTATCTGAAACCATTTTTTAATTAAAAATCACTTGAAGTTCAATTAATTTCAAAAATCTCAATTATAAATCGTTGAAAATTCAATTACTTTTAAAAAATGTTATTTGAAATTATTTAATAAATTATTTTTAATTCTGTAAAATTTAATTATTGTCTGAAAATTAACAAAATCTTTTGAAATTCAATTATTTCAGAAAATTTCAACTTTATAACTCATCTTCTAAAATTATTATTATTTAAAAAGAAAATTTTATTTGAAAATCTGTAAAACTTTTTTTGTTAAAATAAAAAAAATCGACTTTTTCGACTTTTTTTGGAACATAAATCGACTAAAACGACTTTTTTTGTGCCTTTAAGTCGATCCGAGGCCTGTAGGTGTTAATTTATTAATTTATTAATTTCATTCAAAAAAATATTCTAAAAATAATATTTATTACACTTAGAATTAGAATTAATTGTCCCCAAAAAAAAAATGTTTGTACAATAATTTATTTATTTAAATTTTTTTTTTATTAAAATCAGTGAAATTTTTGAAAATAATAAAAATTTGTTGAATTTTCTCTAAAAAAATGTTTACATATTATTAATTATTTTAATTTATTATTTAAAAAATTCAGTTTAGAAATTAAAAATATTTTAAAAATAAAATTTTATTACACTTAGAATTAGAATTACAAAAACAAAAATTTTTTTGCAACGAAAAGTTTATACAATAATATTTATTTATTTAAAATCAGTAAATTATCAATGAAAAGTAATTAAAATTTTTGGAAAAAAATACAAATTTGCAAAATTTATGTTAAAAAGAATTTATAAATAATATTATTAATTATTTTGATCTTCATTGATGAAATTCGAATTAATAATAAATTTTAATTTCTTTAAAATTTTTTTTGTCAATTTTTTAAAAGAGGAAATATATATATATATATATATATATATATATATATATATATATATATATATATATATATATATATATATATATTTAACGAGAATTATTTTGATTTAATATTTAAATAATTGTAGGATTGAACGAACTTACCTTAAGTGAAGATCAATCCAAATTATATGAGCTGTCTCGTCCGAATAGATCATTACTTTGTAGTACCGTGGTACTGCTCGTTCCGTCACAGTATTTTAAATCCCTGAGATTTTTCGCGCCGCCTGCAGGTGTCGCCCTAGCTCTACTTCCTGCTCTCGTCATTATATTTCAAAGTTTGGCAGAAATCGCACAGGGGATTTAAGGGTAGGGTGGGTGTGATCTATTCGGACGAGACAGCTCATATAATTTGGATTGATCTTCACTTAAGGTAAGTTCGTTCAATCCTACAATTATATTTCACTGTCTCGTCCTCTAGATCATTACTTTGTAGTTGTTTAAAGTTGTAGTGCGTATTTATGCTGTATACCATTATATTTATATTTCGTTATACAACCAGAGATGAAATAGTATTAATTGAAAAAATAAAATCATGTAAAATGCTAACATTTTCAAAACAAAAAAATTTGTGTTGGGAAGATAGATATCAATCATTGTAAAATTGACGATGCAAAAGTGGTTGTATTTGCAATAGGCCGATTATAAAATCTGGCAAAAACAGACGATGAAGATGACCATCCTGCTGCTCGGCGAATAACCTCTATATTTACACCTTTCCGGGCTGCAGCTGATGTACTCGCATGACGCGTGCTTTGAGCCGAGAAAATCGTGGTATCTATTCCGCTTTTTTCTAACGTAACTCTAATCCATCGGCTTATAGTTTGCGATGAAGCCTGGTGATGAGGTTTTTTATATGTAATAAATAAATGACCCTTGTCTCGATTGCCCGGTCTCAGCGCTCTAGTTTTTGTAATATAAGTGCGTAGAACTGACGCCACACATAATTCCGGTTTTTCTGAAAATGAAGGAATTTCTAAAATTGGTTGAAATTCGCTTCGTCCTGACGTTTTGATCGGTTCGGTGATTTTTATGCGAAGCGGTTCTTTTTCTAGGTTGATATTCTGTATATCAATCGCCGTTAGTGTTTGAATACGTTGTCCAGTAATCAGGGCTAGTAGAGTGACTAATTTTTTAGTCAGTGCTTCAAGAGAAAGTCCTTCATGTGGATACCATGTAGCTAATTCGTCGAGAACTTCTTTAGGGTCCCAGGTGACGTCATATTTATATTTCTTTGGTTTCAGCTTCGCTAAACCTTTAAAAAATCTCGACACAGTCGTATTAGAGCCCAATTCATTCCCAGAAATGAGAGACAGAACTGCTCTGTATGTATTAGCCGTGCTGAATGACTTAACGTTCTCTAGGATTCCCGAAAAAAATTTGAGTACATGTGCTGTTGAAGTTTCGCAAAAACTAATCCCTTCTTTACGGCAGTACTCCCGCCACTCCCTGATAGGTTTGTCGTACTGTCGCCACGTGCCCTCGGAAATAGATTTCATCATGACCTCTGTTGCCTCTTGAGTAGCGCCTCTCATTTGAAAAGCACTCCGGACAATCGAGCGGCTGTCAAGGAAAGCGTTTGATGTAGAGGATGAATCCGCCTGTGAGGAGAAGACAACAGATTAACACTAGGTTTAAATTTAATAGGTTCTGATATTGCTAGAGACAAGAAGAGCGGATACCAAGGTTGTGTCGGCCATTCAGGCACTACTACAACCCCTTCCGCGCCGTCAACTTGAATCTTTTGCAAAACTTGTAAAATGATGGAGAACGGAGGAAAGGCATAAAATTTGTAACCTTCCCAATTCAAAGTGAATGCGTCTATTTTGATAGAGTCCGGATCTCTATGCCAAGAAACGTAAGTTTCACATTTTGCATTTGCCCGTGATGCAAAAAGGTCAATGTCAAACTGTCCGAATTGTCTCTTAATTTTAGTGAATGCCCATGAGGCCAGTTCCCACTCTGTCTCCATGGGAAGATGTCGTGATCCCTCGTCTGCCTCTTTATTTTCTTTTGAAGGTAAATACGAGGCATAGATCCAAAGATCTCGTTCTTCACACCAGGTCCATATTTGTCGAGAAAGCTGTGTCAGTCTTGGGTATTGAATGCCCCCCATTTTATTCACATACGCGATGGAAGTTTTATTGTCCATCCGTAATAAAATTTCGCAACTGCGGTCAGTTTCGACAAAACATTTCAGGCCCATGAAGGCAGCTAAAAGTTCAAGAGAGTTTATATGGAGCTTACGTTCCTGATCATTCCACAAGCCATGAGCTTTTTCTCCTTCGCAGAAAGCTCCCCAGCCTGACAGAGAAGCATCCGTGAAAACTTCTCTTTTAAATCTCAGTTCTCTGATTGGGTTGTGAGATTCTGAACTTTTCCGCAACCACCACTCAAGGTCCGATTTAACGATATTTGAGAGAGTAATGTTAGCTCTGTAATTATTGTTCGATTTTGCGAGAGATAGAAATTTCTCTCGTTCTAATCTTTTGGTGTACAGCCATCCATACTTGACTGCAGGACAAGCTGCTACCAGCGAACCGATGAGTTGAGCTAATTCCTCAATTTTGCAATTTGGATTGTTCAGGAACTTTGACACATGCTGAAAAATGGAAATTCGTTTATTTTCCGTTAATTCTAATCGGAACTTCCTACTGTCGAGAATAAAACCCAAGAATGTACATCGTTGACTTGGCTCAAGTTGGCTTTTCTTTTCGCTTATGATAAAGCCTAAAGATTCTAATAATCGACGTGTAACTGAGATGTGTCTATAACATTTGTCTTTCGACCTTGCTATAATAAGAATGTCGTCTAAATACACGACCATTATGATGCCCTGGCTTCTAAGTTTTTGAATTACAGGTTTAAGTAGTTTTGTAAAAACGAACGGGGCGGTACAGAGACCAAACGGAAGGCACTGGAACTCAAACGTTTCTCCCCTGAAAATAAAACGTAGAAACTTACGATGTTCCTCAGTTACGGGGACCATGAGGTATGCGTCAGTGAGGTCCATGACTGCCATGTGGTAATCTCTGTTTAAAAGTCGAAGAGCTGTTTTCATATCCTCTAATTTAAAATGAGAGGTTGAAATAAACTCATTCAATTTTTTCAGATTAAGAATAAAGCGGTCGTCCCCGTTTGATTTTGGCCTCAAAAAATAGGAAGACAAGAATTGCCCTTCACATGGTTGACATCGAGTGACAGCAGCAAGTTTTATAAGGTTTTGAATTGCTTTCAGTGTTTTTATTTCTTTCTCAGCTGATAGCGAGGGTGAAAATGCAATTGCTCCTTGAAAGGGCAGACTGCTGAACGGTATATTATACCCTGAGACGCAATTCATTATGAATGGATCATTTGAAACTTTCCTCCATTCTCTTATAAAAAACTTAAGGCGGCCTGCCGTTTGACTTACCTCTAATGTTTCCGATGGTATGGCTGTTGTCGCTGGTACCGAGATGGTTGACGCCCCCCCCTCTTGGAGTTCGAGTGTGCTGAGTTCTTCTTGGCGGGGGCTTTCCAGTTTAAATGAGTCTTTGTAAAAAACGTCTCAGGATGTTTTTCCTTATTGGTTGAGACTCCCTTCGAATTGCCGGGAAGATGCTTCGTGATGTCTTTGCCAGTTTTTTCACACTCTTTGGCCGATTTCAATTTTTCGCCAAGCGTGTTGCCAAATAACCAGGTGTCCACACCAGTTTCGTCAGCAATTGTTTTTAGTCGTAGACTGAATGACGGTGTGATGAATGACCTACGAGTAAGAGATAGAGTGTGCTGCAAGTCTGTTAAAATCTTACCTACATCAGACATTATTTCAAAAACATTAGAAATTTCCTTGTCATCTATTTTCTTGGCTTCAAGTAACGTTGTGAGGACTTCACCGACAGCACTAGTGGCTGCTCCGAGCTGAATTTGTGCAGCTACTTGATATTGGTCTTTTTTAATTGCCGAAGAGCTCATAACCGATTTAATTTCGGCATTTAGTTTGGGTGCTCCCATCGTGGGGCAATTTTCCGCCGGTTGAAATTTTTTAATTAATTTTGTTTTCGCGTCCTTCGGGAGACCTGATTCCAGGATTTTTGACCACATTCCAGCTATATTATTATGAATAGCCTTGCCATATGTTATTTCATCGGCAGCGCCATCTCCTAACAACTTCAGAAGCTCTTCTTCGTTTTTTGTCGGTAATTTCTCGGCATCTTTTGTCGCTGTTTTATTGGTTCCGTTAGTCGATAATTTATCGACTCTACTATTTTCGAGCCTTATGTCCTTCGGAGGTCCATTTTGGCGTTCATCACGAGTCCTGGACCTGGACCGACTACGAGAACCATATGACGCACCTCGCGGGTTACGCACTATATTATTATTTTCGCCAGACGTTTCTCTCGGAGAACGCTCTAGGCTATGTCGTGAAAAGCTCTCAGACATGCGACTTGAACTACGAAAGTCGCGACCTCGCCTATCCTTGTCGTGGGACGTTTCTCGCAGAATACGCTCTCCACCAGGACCCCTACTTTGCGACGTTCCTCTCGGGATACGCTCTCTAATGGGGCTTACGGATCGCGAGCGGCTTCGATTGTAGTCACTACCTGTGGTTGACGATGAGGACGAACTCGTTCTCTTGCGGGAATGGCGTCGAACTTTTTTAAGTTTCTTTTTTAGCTTTTTCATCTCTTTCACAAGCTTCTTTGTGGTCGAATACTTCTTCTTCTTGCTGCGTCTACGCTGTTCTTCTTCGGATGAACTGGATTCCGTCGATGAATTCATTTTATTTGGAAATAAACTTTAATTTATTCGCGATACGAAGTGCAACGGAACGCACAGAAACACGTAATGACGAGAGCAGGAAGTAGAGCTAGGGCGACACCTGCAGGCGGCGCGAAAAATCTCAGGGATTTAAAATACTGTGACGGAACGAGCAGTACCACGGTACTACAAAGTAATGATCTAGAGGACGAGACAGTGAAATATAATTCAATTTAGAAATAGTTGCAATTTGAAAATTTTGACAATAGTTTGTAAAAATTAAATAAAAAAATGTCAAAAGTTATTCAATTTTCGAAAAATTTATTAACTATTTTATTTTAAAATTACAATTTTAAAAATAATTTAATTTTTCAAAATATCTAATTACAAGGATGTTAAATAATTTTAATTTTTTCAAAATTTTTATTGCAAATTTTTAAAATAATTGAATTTTTTTTTTTTTTAAGAATTTCATTAAAATTTTTGTAAATGTATAATTTTTTTCGTATTTTGTTGTTTTTATTAATTTTTAAATTAAATTTATTTATTTAAATAAAAAAAAATATTGTAAAAATTAAAATTTATTACACTTAGAATTAGAATTTTTAATTAAGATATGTTGAGTAATTTTTAAAAATTGAAAAAAACATTGTATTACTCAAATTTATTTTTCTCGTTCAAAAATTTTAAAATTATCTTGTATTTATTTTTGAAAATAATTTAATTTTCGTTGTTATTTAATTTAAAAAATTTTAAATAATTGAAATCTTGTAAAATTTTGAAAAATAATTGAATTTTTGAATATTCAAAATTAAAAATTTTTAGAAATAATTGAATTTCAAGAGAATTTGAATTATTGGAGATTTTTTTTTCTCTACAAATTTTCAGATTGTAATATAATTTTAAAGAATTTTGTAGAGAATTTTCAAAATTGACAATTTTTTAAATTCTAATTCTATTTTCGAAAAAACCTTTTAATAAAATTATTAAAAATAAATTAATTTTTTTAAATTGATTACAAGAAAAATTTCAGATAAAAATTTATAAATAATTGAATTGTCAAAGAATTTTAAACTATAATTTAAAAAAAAAACATTAAATTTTCCTTGAATTTATTTTTTTCGTTGAAAATTTGAAAATTATTTCTAAAAATGCTACAAAAAATTATAATTTTTGGAAATTGTGAATTCAAACTTTTGCTTTTAAAAATAATTGTCTTAATTTTTTTTGTATAATTAAAAAAACCTCTTGAATTATTATTTACATTAGAGTCAGGGAAAAAAAATTTTTAATTCTAACTGAAAATTAGGGAAAAAGAAAATAAAATTTTTCTGTCAATTCTGGAAATGAAATGAAATTAAAATATTTTTGTAAATTATTGTGATGAAGAATTTTTTTTTTTTGTTTTTACAAATTTCAGACAAAAAATTGAATTTTAGAAAAGTTTAATTTGATAATTTATTAAATAATTGAATTTTTTTTTTTAAATTTGATTTGGAAAAGAATTTAAAAAAAAAAAAAATTATAAATTATTAATTTGGAAGAAGTACAGTGAATATTTCTACATAACAATAATTCAGATTTAGAGAATTTTTTTTTTATTCTAAAACTTTTTATTTTTAAATAATTCAAATTTTGCGAAGAAATGTATAAAAATTATTATTAACAATTAATTAATATTGTATGTTAAATTGATGTTAATGAATTTTTTTTTTCTCTCAATCAGATACGTTTGAAATGATAACGGAGAATCCAGACGGTGGTGGATATAAATTTGCCGTTTCCTATCATTTTGAATCAAATATGAGAGCAACCGGTGAACGAAGTCACCCAACGAGAGTCAAGAGACTGGCACAAGAGGCTGTCACTCTTTCTACAGCACTGCCACTTTCCTACAGTAGCAGCGTTTTTGTAAGATGTGATACTGATAGATTAGATGTCATGAAGGTATGTCAATTTCAAAAAAAAAAACATCTAATTTTTTTTTTAATTAAAATGAATTATTTAAAAAAAAAAAATTGCAACAGGTGCTAATCACTGGACCAGCAGAAACTCCCTACGCCAATGGCTGCTTTGAGTTTGATGTTTATTTCCCAGCGGAATATCCAAATAGTCCAATGATGATTAATTTAGAAACGACTGGTTGTCGAACAGTTAGATTTAATCCAAATCTTTATAATGATGGAAAAGTGTGCCTCAGTGTATTAAATACTTGGCACGGTCGTCCTGAAGAAAAATGGAACGCTCACACTAGCAGTTTTCTCCAGGTATTCAACGTTAAATTATTATTATTATTATATTAATAAAATCCAAAAATTATATATTTACAAAATTTGAATTTATAATAATTTCATTATTCAAAATTTAAATTATTTTATTATTGGCTTATTCTAAATTTGAATTAATTAGAATTTTATTAATTATTTTTTTTTATTAATTATTGAATTAATTATTATTTATTTAATATGTAATTTTTTATAGAGAAGTATTTATATTAAATTTGGTTATGATTTTTTTTTTCTTTTTCAATATTTGTAATCGCTTGTGCTTTGCAGGTTTTAGTATCAATTCAATCCCTGATTCTGGTTTCGGAACCGTATTTCAATGAACCAGGATACGAGCGCTCTCGGGGAACTCCTAGTGGCGCTCAATCTAGTCAAGAGTATAATGCTAATATTTGCCAAGCCACTGCGAAATGGGCAATGCTTGACCAAATACGAAATCCATGTCCTTGTTTTAAAGAGGTAGGAATCTTCCAAATTTTATTCATTTTACCAATTCAAAAAAAAAAAAAAATAATAATATAATAGGTTCAACCGGGGTAAATCCGAACGCTTTTAGTAAGTTTCAACAATAACATAAGTTTTTGAATTGTAATTGAAAATAATTGAATTGTAAAAGATTTTAAAATTGAAATTTTTGAAAATAATTGAATTTTAAAAGATTTTAAAATTGAAATTTTTAGAAATAATTGAATTTCAAAAGATTTTGTTAATTTTCAGACAATAATTAAATTTTACAGATTATAATTGAAATTATTAAATTTCAAATAATTTTAGATGGCAAATTTTTAGAAATAATTAAATTTTAGAAGCTTTTAAATTGAAATTTTTGAAAATAATTGAATTTCAAAATATTCTGTTAAAATTCGGACAATAATAATAATAATAAGAGAAATTTTTAATGATTTCTGTTAATGAAGAATTTATTAGAAATCACATTAAAAAATTGAATTCTAAAATAGTTTTTAATTGAAAAATGCTTTCAAATAGGGTCAACCGGGGTAAATCCGAACGTTTTTAGTAAGTTTCAACAATAACATAAGTTTTTTCTTTAAAAAAAAAAAAAATACTTCCGGTATTCTGGTGCATGAAGTTGTTACTTTACTTCCATAGAACAATTTTATGGGGTAGCAAAATTTTTTGATAAATTACAATCGCAGGAAACTTAGCGTTCGAATTTACCTCGATACTTTGCAACTTTCCTAAAATACCGCGGGGTAAATACGAACGCCGCACTGTATTTCAGAAAAATCTTAGGGAAAATAAATTTAAAGTATTGCAATTGTTAAACTTATATAAAAACTCAAAAAAAATACGATAATAAACCTATTATGTAATAATGCATCATATATAAATACAAAAATCAAACAGGTTAAAAATTAAAATGCATTACACAATTAAAACCTTCAATAACTTTTGTCAAATCATAACGGATTTTTGCAAAACTTGCTACAGAAAGTATTTTCGAGTGATTGAATGTAAATACAAAAATAAAAGTGAAATTTTTTAAATTCAAAATGTCGGACTTTCCTAAAAGTTATTTTTAAAAATGATCAAATTTGCTAACTTCAAATTCGTAATCAGCGACCCCGAGTAACAATTTTCGAGCGAATCCAATGAATTTTTTAATTCTCGTCCGCCATTTTGAATTTTGAAAAACTGACTTCAAATTGATAATTAGCGACTCCAAAAACCGTAGAATACCAAATTTTATTAAGATCCTGAAAAACTTTTTTCAACAAACCATTTGGCCAAAAAAATTGAAACACTCCTTCGAGAGAACAGAGATTAAGTTTCTGCTTATTAATTACTAACGAGGATACGTATAGAAAGAAAAACTTTTTTCTATGTACTTTTATAATGTTAAAATAATAGTGTAATGAAATAAAAACAATTTTGTGTGGCTCTGATGTAAAAAAAAAAATTATTGAAAATACCGTTTGGATTTACCCCGGTTTTCAAATTTTCCGGGGTAAATATACGAACGGTCTGATATTATTAATAAAATTTTACAGAAGGCAAAAATGAAAAATATAGTTTCTGTTCTAGTATTCATAACAAACAATTATAAATAATAAAATAAATTTTTAGCTTCTTTTTCTTCAAATACGAGACAAAATACTGAAAGAGTGTCGCATCTTTGATTTTCAATCTTTTTTGCAATACTCGTTATTTTTGTTTATGCTGTTGCTAATTAACAAACGAAAAATGGGATAATATTTAGAATCTCTTGAAGAGGATCTGAGGTAAAAATTCTCATATCGAACTTATTTTTAAAAATTTTAATTAAGCTGAAATAATTAGCGTTCGGATTTACCCCCCGTTCGGATTTACCCCGGCTGACCCTACTACCATTATTGTATAAACAGGGTGTCTACAAACCGGGAAAACCGGGAAAAACCGGGAAACGAAAAAAACCGGGATAAACCGGGAAATAGACGGGAAATGAAAAAAACCGGGAAAACCGGGAAAAAAATGAAATTAATAAATTTTTTTATAAAATCATGTAATTGTATTGTACAAGTTTATATTTTATTGAAATGACTTTTATAAATCCATATAAAGTTTTGGAACTTTTAATATATATATATATATATATATATATATATATATATTATATATATATATTATATATATATTTAATATATTAAAAGTATAAAATATATTTTTTAATGTTTTTAAAATTGTTTAAAGTTTATTTTTCATGATTATTATTAAATAATTAATAATTGATTAAAATTAAAGAAAGTATCTACTTTATAATATAATGTAATAAGAAGAATCTTCAATTTCTTAAAACCGGGAAAAAACCGGGAAATAGCCGGGAATTTGAAATGGGAAATTTTGTAGACACCCTGATTAAAACATTTTCAATTTTTTTTTTTGAATTATAAATAATAAATATTAGTCATTGTTATTTTTTTTTTAAAGAAATTTTCTCTATTTTTAGAAAAATAACAAATTTTTTTTTTAAATGTAAAAAGTATATAGTTTAACATTTATTATCTATTTATTTGAATTTTTATTATTTTTGTTCGTTTATTATAAAATTTAATGTTTATAAATTTAATATTTATTTATTTATTTATTATTTATTTTGTTAATTTTATTTGAATATTTATACAGGTAATTCACACGCATTTCTGGCTTAAGAGGCATGAAATTGTCGCACAAATCGAAGGATGGATACGAGATATGGAAATGCATGGGGCAGATCGAAGGTCAGGCAGAACCATTTCCCTCAATGCTTTAGCTCTAAGGGTAAGGAGAAATTTTTCATTTCTTAAAAATAATATTTTATTTTAGTATAAAATTAATTTATACTTAATCAATTTATAAATTTTTTATATTGTGGCAAAATTTTAGCCAAATATTTTGACAAAATAATTAAATATTCAATTATAATAACATTAAAGTATTATTATTGATAATAATATAAAATTATTATTATTATTATTATTATTATTATTGATAATAATTATATAAAAATTCAGGGTGGCAGGAAAATATTTATAAATTTTGATAACCAAAAACTTGAATTTATTTGTGTTTTAAAAAAGCCGTGAAAATTACGATAATATATATATATTTTTATATTCATAAACCTTGAATTTTTAAGAATATTAAATTTAAAAAAAAAGAAAATTTTAATTTTCAAGATTTATAGTTTTTTTTCTTGTGTTTAATTAAAATTTGTAACAAATTATTTATTTGATCGTGAAAAGTTTTTGAAAATTCGAAATTTGTCTATAATGAAGAATATTGTGAAAACTAATTTAGAGTTTGATTTTTTTTATAAAGGAATTTGAATTCTTTATTATTATTATTATTATTATTATTATTATTATAAAAAAAAATTATTATTATTATTATTTTATTTTTTTTTAAGTAAATATCTTCAAAAATTTTTTCTTGTTATTAAATTTTCGTATAAAATTGGAAATTGGAATCTATTTTTGAAAATAAAAATTCTATTGTAGCAATTTTAATCGCAAAATTAGGTGCAAAATTTTTATATTCTATAAATTTTTTTTTTTTTTGCATTTAACTATTAAATTTTTGTATTATTTGAAATTGGAGGCTATTTTTGAAAATAAAAATTCGCGATTTTAAACACAAAAAAATTAGATTGAAATTTTTTTCCTCTATTTAATTATTAAATTTTTATATAATTTGAAGTTTGAGGATATTTTTTGAAATAAAATTTTTTTTTTTTTTTTATCGCAAAAAATAGCTTCAATTTTTTTATTTCTTGTAAATTTAATTATTGAATTTTCGTATAATTTTGGAAATTCGAAATTATTTTTGAAAATAAAAATCATATTGCGATTTTAATTGGTAAATTAGTTGCAAATTTTGTTTTCTTTACATTTTTCTTTTAATTTAATATTATTATTATATTATATTTTATATTATAATATATTAAATTATTTTTATTATTATTATTATTATTATTATTATTATTATTATAAAAATTCGGACAAATTTAAAATTCGATGAATTGGAATTTATCTCATTTAAAAATTCGAATCACATGAAAATTCGATTGAATGCGAATCTTAAATTCAAAATTCGCTTAAATTTAAAATTCTTTTTAATGAAAAGTAAAGAAAAGTAAAGAAAAGTAAAAAAAGGAAAAAAAGGTAAAAAAAAGTATAAAAATTACTGTAAAATAAAAATTTTTCCAAACAAAAATTCGGTAGCTAAAAATTTTGCTATTATAAAAATTCGTATAAAAAAAGAAAAATCTATCAAATTTTAATTCGAAAATTGAAAATTCGTCTAAAAAATAATTATTTTTATTAAAATACTATGAAATAAAAATTGTAATTAATTATTTTTATTAAAATACTTTGAAATAAAAATTGTAATTAATTATTTTTATTAAAATATTTTGAAATAAAAATTGTAATTAATTATTTTTTTATAATTAATTACAATGAAATAAATAAAAGAATGAGAATACTTTGAAAAAAATTGCTATTTCGGGAATAAAGAAGCAAAAGAAAAAAAAAAATGAGAAAAATCAATTTTTTTTTCTTCTTCGCAGCGACATTATAGGCTATTGCGAGAAGAGCTAAATAAACTGCCAACGCCGGATGGACTTGAGGATTTAGTTGAACCATTGCCATCGCCCGGCTCACCAATTGAACTCTCAGGCACACCCGGTACGCCAAGTTCGCCACCATCGTCAGTTGTTGTTCAATCAACAGCAACGATAAACGCACCTCACAATAATCCAATTGCCTCCATCAGTAATGCCGCCGCCGCTGCCGCAAATCTTGTACATCACGAGATTGACACCGACGTCGAAATGGAGAAAATGGTTTCCAAAGTGTGCGAATAGCTAATGAGTGTTAGTTGATCATGATAATTGAGATTGTTGGACATTTTAAAAAGTCTATTTACTAGTGTTTTTATCCGACGAGATGGTTATTTATTTTATTTTCCTTTTTTTTTTTTTTTTTTTCTTTTTTTTAATCCTCCCCGCCAAAAATTTATTTTCCCGAAAGTAAATTTCAAATCGTCGAAAAAAAAAAACCCCCCTCAAAAAAAGAAAGAAACCAAAATTGACTACGAATTTGTAAAAAAAAAAAAAAAAATTGGGAATTTTATTTACAGATGAGAAGAAAAATGTGTGTGATTTTTTATTGACACTGAGTTTTTAATTTTCAAACGAGTGTGTTATTATTATTATTCTGTAAAATCGACTGACGAGAAAAAAAAGGAAAGAGGCAAAGAAAAAAAATGTGATGAATGTTGCTGCATGAGAGAATGTGATTTAGTTTTCTTTTTTTTTTATTTTTCTTTAGATTAATCGCGATTTATTCTCTTTCGCTAAAATTTTTCATAAAAAAGAAAAAATATGACTAGAGCGAAATTCATCTTTTTCTTTCAATGTGTCGAGAATATTTTCTTTCTTTTTTTTTTGTTTTTATTCGCACCTTGATCACGAAATTAATTTTCCTCTTTTTTGAAATTTTTATCTCTATTTTTCCCTTTTTTTTTCTATTTTTCAAATTTTATTTCCGTTTTATTTCTTATTATTTCTCATTTTTTTAAATTTCTTTTTATTTTCTTTTTTTTTTATTTTAATTTCCATTTTATTTGTATTAATTTCGTTTGTTTTTTTCTCCCATTTTATTGAAAGTGATCTCGGTACGAAATTCCGATTTTTTTTTTTAAAAAAAAGAAAGAAAATTGTATTTTTTTTAAAAAAATTTCTAGATACGTTTTGTATTTGTTTTCTTCTAATTACAAAAATGCGCTAATCAAAAAAAAAAAAAAAATCTCAAAGATCCTTTTCGTATTCATTTTTTTTTTTTAAAGACGAAAAGATCGAGTCAATTAAAAACTAGCGAAAACAAAAATAGAAAAATTAATTACTCGAAGTAATTAATTTTCAATGACTTTTTTTTTCTGTAAGACAAAATTTGTGTTAAAATCTTTCTCCTTATTATTTTTTTTTTGTACTTTTTCTTTTAAAAAGAATTTAATGTTCGTTTTTGTTGCGCGGAAATTTTGTTTTAACAAAAATCAAGATGAAAAATTTAAGCGCCTTTTTTTTTTTTTTTTTCTTTTAATCTATTAATAATATATATGTAATCTTTTTTTTCCAATTTCTATTTTTTTAATTTCTCAAAAAGAAATTTGATTTTTTTTTTTTTTGTAATTTTTGTTATTTAACGAGTGTTTCAGAGAAAAAAAAAAAAAAGAAAAAAAAATGGAAAAAGTGCATTCAATGTAGATAGTGTGTGATTTATTTAGTTATATATATATAAATATACGCGACGATTGTGAGAGCGCCATTTACCGTTAAAATACAAAAAAAAAAAAAAACAAAAACAAAGGAAACAAAAAACCGATTACTGTAAATAATCTTTAATAAGTAAATCGTATTTCACACACATACACAAACACGAGAGCAGTAAATATGCATAGATATGTGTTTATAATTAAAAAAAAAAAAGTAAAACTGCAAGAATGCTCCAATTTAAAAAAAAGAGTATTGTATTTGACGCATGAACTCCGGTTTAAAAAAAAAAACGATTATGATGATGATGAACGATGTGACGTGATTTAAATGCTTGAAGAACGGAGAAAACTATGTTAATAATTAATTATTTATAATAAACTATTATCACGCATATCGATTATTGTTTCAATTTATTGAAAATACTTAAAGAGAAAAAGAAAAGAAACGGAAATAGTAGTAATTTATTTAAAACAAAAAGTAACAATTTATTATCTTTTAATTGGTTTAAAAAGGCAAATTAAAAAAAATGGAATAAGGAAAAGTAACTCGATTATCATTCAAATTTATTGAAAAATTAATTTTAAAATAAAGGGAAAAGATTTTTTTGTTTCAATTAAAAAAAGAAAAAAACATTTCTAATTTTTTTGAAATTTATTTTCCTAAACGTTTTATAATTAAAAAATAATATTTTAACAAAAAAAATTTACTCTTCTTCCTCAACTTGTTCGACCTCTTTCTTTTTACACCAATTTTGTGGTACTGCTTCGGGATATTTTTCTGATAAAAAACTTCTAATATCACCATACTCGGCTATTAATTGTAATCTCACATTGTCCTGATCGCGTAATTTTTCCATTTTTTTCAAATGTAATTCCCAACCTTTTAAACGCGTATAAAATGGTGGATATTTTTTTCTTTGTAATATTACTTTTCCATCCATAACAAATTGACGAAAATCCATTATTTCAGTTGATGAAATTTCCTTTTCTGAACGTATTGTTGATGGCGATGCAACAACATTTGGAAAATAGTCAAAATTTTTATTTATTTCAACTAAATGCAATTTTTTCTCGTCAGCTAAATTTTGATGTGTTTTCTGAAAGGAATTCGCAAAAAAAAAGAAGAAGAAGAAATTTTTATTATTAATTCGTCTTTTTTTAATGATTAATTTTAAATATTTTCTTGATTATCGAATTATGATATGAATTATAATAATTATCAAAATTATAATTTGAACTACAGTAATTAAAAGAAATTAAATTATAATTTGATTTATAATTTAATTTTTTTTCTTTTTTTTGAATAGAATCAATTGTTTTTTAAAAACAAATTTACCTGACGCAATAGTCCAATTAAAAAGGCTTTGGTCAATGTTTGAACATTTGTTGTGCCTTCAATTTTTGCATGAAGATCCTTGATTCCAATCACTTCACAAATTGCTTTAATTGCACGATGACAAATTAAACCATAGCCTGGCGGTTTTTGTTTCACGAAAATTTTACAATTTCCAAAACGAGTAAAGAAATCGTGGAAAACTAAAAAAACAAAAAATTTATTTATTTAAAAATTTTATGTTACATTTTTTTTTTAATATTTACAATTTTTTTTTCCTACAAATTTTGAAAAAAGAAAGAAATTTATAAAAACAATGACTATTTTTTAATTTACAAATTACGTAAAATTTAATTAATTAAAAATCAAATTATTTTGTACAATTATTTTTTGCTATTTAATTATTTTCTTATTTAATTATTATTAATTTAATAGAAAATTATTTACTTTTAAATTCAATTTTTATCAAAAATTATTTTTGCAAAAAAATTTACTAATTTTCAAAAATAAATTATTTCAATGAAAAAAAAAATTGTTTTTTGTTTGTTCACATTTAGAAAAAAAAATTGTATAAAATAATGAATACTAAATTAATAATTAATTTTTAAAAAATAAGTAAATACCTGTATTTTTTTATTAATTCAAAGAAAACAATTTTTTTCTGTTCTGATTTTTCAAAAAAAAAAAAAAAAAATTAATTAAAACTAATATTTATACCTGTACGTTCCATATATCTATTAACGTAAAATAATTTTTTTCCAGAGCTATTTTTTGCATTTCTTACAGCTGCAGCATTGTCAGTTGATTTTCCCAAAGCAATGCCAACTAAACCATTTCCATTTCCAGTAACGACAAAACATGAGAATGTTCTCACTCTTCCCATATTTCCCGTCATGTGTCCAGTTATTTTATGCTCAAGGATAATTGTCTCAAATCCCTCAAACGATTCTTAATAAACAAAATAAAATTATAAATAAAATATTTCAATAAAATATTTACAGATATTAATAATTTCATTATTATTATTATTATTATTTACATTTTAATTCTTTAAACAATTTCAATAATAATAATAATAAAAATAATAATTAACAATAATAATAATTATTATTATTTTTATTTCATATTATTTATTTTTATAATAAATAATTTATAATTAATAATTCTTTAACGTCCGAGAGAATATATTTAAAAGGGTAAGTAAAAACGATAACATTAGGACAAATGGATTTTAATTAAGTTTTCTCCAACGTTTCGAAATCACACCGATTTCCTCTTCAGGTAGTCTAGCAATACAAAATTATAAAAATTATTAAAAATTAAAAACAACAAACAAAAATACAAAGAAATTAAATTAATAAGAGACGAAGATTATCAAAAAACAAAAATACAAAAGGCAGTCAGAATATTAAATAAATAAATAAAAATAAAAATACATACATACAAAATTATACAAGAACAATTAACAAAATATAAATCAATAAATAAAATTAATTAAAATATAGAAAAAAATTAGAAAATAAATAAAAATAATATAAATACAATAAATAAATAAATAATTTAATTTTTAGGTTTCATTAAATTTCTTTGGATTGAATTTACATTTTATTGAAATAATTTAATTTAATTTAATTAATTTCCTAAATTTAAATTAAATTTTTTTTTAAATATCTTTAATTATTAAACAATTAAATATTAAATTATTATTTATTAAAATATTAAATTATTAAAAAGAAAATAATTTTTTTTTTTTAAATTAGTAAAATAAAATCTCGATTTTTTTTTTAAATTGATAAATAAATAAATAATAATTAATAATTGAAAAAAATATTTTTTTACCATCTTCACGAGCAGCACTTGGTGGTCCAAGTTTTTTACCACCTAATTTTGCACTTGTCCAACCACGTTCAAGGGGATGAACTTTTAATTTTTTAAATTTACTCGACGCCTCTCTCATGTCAATAATTTTTTTCTCAAAATCAGGATCGTCAGGCAAACGTTGTTGTTGAATTAATGTCTTTCCTTGTATAACTGGACCAGTTAAACCAGGCCATAACATTCTTTTTTTACCAATACCAATTCTTTGACCCCAATTTAAATTTTTTTTCAATTTTGAAATTGAACCCCTTTTACCACGACCTCTTCTTCTACCCGCATTACTTACACTTGTCACTGATTTCCATAATTCTTCGCCAGATTCTGTAATTATTTTTTTTTTTAATTAATTTTAATTTTTTTTTTCGCAAAAAAAAAACAATAATTTTTTAAAAATTGAATATTTTGTTTTTCTTTCAAATAAATTAAAAAATTATTATTATTAAAAGTAAATTAAAATTAATTAAAAATTAAATTATTAATAGTGTTAAAAAAAATAATAATAATAATAATAAATTAAGGGGAAAATTTAAGAAAAAATATTTTCTTATTTTCACACTCACTTTTTGTAAAAAACGATGTTGTTCGTTGTTGATATTTTATTGGCAATTGCGGTGATAATAATTGTGTTGTTTTAATTACATTGTTCATTTGTCCTAAAAAGAAAAAATAGAAAAATTGTTTTTGTAAATTTGTTTTTTTTGCACTTACAATAAATAATATCTATAATATAGAAATAAATAATAATATACAAAAATAATAAATCAAAAAATAAATAAATATAAAAATATAATAAATAAACAAAAAAACATCACATTATAAATAGAATATAAGTGAAAAAAAATTATATAAAATAATAAAATATTTGCGTTTATAATTTCAGTTTTTCTAACCTAAAAATTTTATAAAAAATAAAATATAATTGTAAAAAAGTGCAATTTTACGGAAATAAAAAGAAAATATGAAACTAATGAAAATTAAATAGAAAAATTGATAAATAAATTAGAAATGTCATAAAATTTTATTTTTTTACAAAAAATATGTTCGAAGTATAAAAAAATTTTTGAGGTTAGGTCATACTGCACATTTTTTTTTCTAAGACAATAATTAGAAATTTAATTAAATTAAATAATAGTATTATTAACTTACGAAGCTCCAAATTGCGAACATTTTTTATGGTTTTACTTATTTGACCACAAAATTGTAAAAGACGAAATGCCATTTTTTTTTCCTGACGTGTGTGTACAATTTCTTTTCGTTAATTGTGAAATATTTACAAAAAACTTAAGAAACTTTATCCCTCCATTTGGAGGATTTAATAATAAATTACAATTAACATTATTTTGTTTCAATTTAATTAATAATTAAAAAAAAACAACAATATATAGAAGTAACCGGAGAACCGGAAAAAGTACTAGGTAAATATAGAAGAATTCCCAGTTATCGACTGGTAACTAAACGACAGTCGATAACTTAGGAAACTATTATCATTCATAGATGTCGCTGTTAAATAATAAAAATTTATAACATTTTAATTTGTAACGTCTTTTTTTCATTAGTAAAATTTGGACAATTGGAAGAAAAGGTTGTTTGTGATTTAATCAAGATACAAAATGTTTGTTTTAATTCGTTTATCCAGTTTTTATCAGCTGAATACAGTAAACAGGTAAGAATATTTATTATTAATTTTTATATATTATAAATCATTTGTGAATTAAATGAAATTTAAATATGATAATATTGACTTTATAACACAATATTGCAATTTTTTAATTTCCAAATTTTTATTATCAAATATTTTATAATAGTTTTGTGTAATATTAGGGAAAATTTTTTCGATTTGTTAGAGGAAAAAAAACGCATATAATAATTGAAGGTTAACAGGTGAAACGTGTTTTTATTTATACGAATTAATACACATTGCATATATATTTCGAATCTAACCTATAAAAAAATTATATACGCGTGTGTTATCGGCTTAGAATTTTGTTTATTAATTAAAATTTTTTTTCCTATTTTATTTTTCATAACATATATATATAAATATATATATATATATATAAAATCATTAAATTAGATACGATTAAAAATAAATAATAAACATTTTTCGCATTATTTGAATTATTTTATATCGAAAAATTAAAAAAAAATTGTTAATATTTATTTATTAATATAATGTAAAATATTATATTATTGGTAAATTTTATAATAATAGTATAATAATATTAGGATAATAATAAAAAAAAAATAATAATAATAATAAATTATTACTTCGTACATGCACAGGAAAATCCGTTAACTGAAATTAAGAACATATATTCTTGGCGACAATTTAAGAATATTTTATACTTAAATTCAGTATATATATATATATTATTAAATTAAAAACAATATTTACTGAATTTAAATATAAAATATTATTAATTTAAGAAAAATATATACTGAATTTATAGTATAAAATATTCTTAAATTAAGTATATTTATTTTCATTAAATTAATAATATTTTATACTTAAATTTAGTATATATATTATTCTTAAAATGAAAATATATACTTAATTTAAGAATATTTTATACTATAAATTCAGTATATATTTTTCTTAATTTAAGAATATATTATATACTGAATTTATATTTTATATTATTCCTAAAATAAAAATAAACTTAATTTAAGAATATTTTACACTATAAATTCAGTACATATTTTTCTTAAATTAATAATATTTTATAATTGAATTCAGTATATACATATATAATATATTCTTATATATTAAATATATTTTCATTTTAAGAATAATATATACTGAATTTAAGTATAAAATATTCTTAAATATATGCGCCAAGAATATATTCTTATAATTTCAGTTTTCGGGTTTTTTCGTGTATATTAATAAAAGGGTTTTCTTGAAAACTTTAAAAGACAAAATAATTCTAATATTAATAACAAAAAAAAATGGTTTTAGAATATATATTATATATTATAATATATCATATATTATAATAATATATCATATATACTCTCTAAATTTGAATTAGTAAAATTTTTAACTATTTTAACTATATATATATTATACAAATTATATATTAATTTGTATTACATCCCAAAGAAATGAATGTTTTATTTGAAACAAATATATTAATGTATATTTGAGTTAAATAAACGTAAATTTGTCTCACAGCCTACTAGCCTATAATTATTTGGCATAAATAAAATTTTTTATTTAAATCAAATAAAATTTTTTTTATAAATCGAAATAAAAATTTATTTGAATCAAATAAATATTATAGGCTGTGAGACAAACATATATATCATTTCTCTGTGTTTAGTGTCTCGCACATTTTGCTTTTAAAACTTAAATAAAATAATAATTAATATTTTTAATATTGAATAATAAAATGATGAATTTTTGAAAAATTATAATTAAAAAATTTTTATATTGATAAATTTTGATTGTTAATTTATTATTATTAAAAATTATATATTTCATTTTTTTAAAATTTATTTCATAATATTTATATATTTTTTATTTAATTAAATTAAAATTTTTATTATCGTTTTATAAATTATAAACGATAAACGCAGATGGCGCGCGCTTTAGCGCGCGGATTTTTTATCTAGTATATATATCATTTCTCTGTGTTTAGTGTCTCGCACATTTTGCTTTTAAAACTTTACTAATTCGATATTAAAAAATAATTTCCCACTATTAATTTGTAAAATTTAACTAATTGAAAAGAAAAAATTCAAATATATTCTAAATTCAAAAGCTAGAATTCAAATTAGTTAAAAATTTTTACTAATTCAGATATTTATAGATATAAATTTTGTGAGTTATTTTTGTATTACCATTTTAAAGAAGTATGTACAATGAAAATATTATTACTATCGCGGCTAAAGTTAAATATTCATATTTTAATTGTACACTACCTTAAAATTAATAATAATAATAACTCGCAAAACATGATTTCCTTAAATTCCTTAAATATTAAACGGGCTACTGTATAACTTTTAATCGTATATTAAAATTAAAATTGCAACTACTATATATATATATTTATAAACCATTTTTTAGTATTTAAAAATTTTGCCCTCCTGGTATGCCTAGAATTTAGTTTTTTATACTGCACGGAAAAAAATATTTACCTGGAATAGCGAAACATTTCACTATATAGTAGCAAAAGTTTCACTTCTTTCAGTTAAATCTTTTCGTTATTCTAGTGAAATCTTTCGTTATTCCAGTGAAATCTTTCGCTATTTCAGGTAAATATTGTTTTTCCGTGTGTATATTATAATAGTGAGTTTTTATCATAGTAAATAGTTTCAAAAAAAAAATATATCGACTTTTCCAAAAATCGTTAGCACTACTGAACTGCGATGCATCAAGGTCGTTGGAAGTAAGTAGCGTGTGTCACATCACCGGCGTTTTATCGAATGAGTCTTTCCTCTTCAGGCGAGTTACTCATGTGTACCCAAGTATACCTATATATATATATATATACGTGGACAAAAAGCAATGCCGGCAACTCGAAATCTAGGCGCAAGGGAATCGTTCTCGTGTATATATATATATATATATACATATACAGTGCGTGTGTGTCGAGGAATTCCCATCAAGTGACAACCAGTCTTCGTTGCCTTCCCCCTTCTCTCTCTCTCTCACACACACACACACAAACATTAAGTGGGTTGGACTAAACACTGCGGCGTTATGGCGCGTACCACGTGACATTCTCCCAATTCTGGTGGTGGAAATCTTTGTCCCAATTTCATTGGCTCTCACCAAACCCCAAGGATTTGTTGTACGCCAACCGTTAAACAGAATCGTGGACAAATGTTGAAAAACACATTGAAGGCGTTTCTCAATTCTCCACCAATACAACAGCTTGACGTTTGTGATTGGCGCCGTTTAGCCAATGGGCGAATCAGCTCAAGCCCACTTTTCTCAAGTCTCACTCCTTCTCTCGCTCTCTATCTCTCTCTTTCTCTCGAGGATTGTTGATAGAGTGGGAGAGGTGGGAGAAGCCCTCATCATCATCTCACGCAAAAGGGGACATCTCATCACGACTCTTGGTACCTAGCAGGCACTTCTCTCGTTCGTATAGTGGGTACTCCACTCATCGTGTGTCGTCTACGGGTTTCCACGAGGCTGTAGGGGCCGCCCGGGCGAACAAGCCAACGTTGGTCGAGTGGGTCTAAGCGGCCGTGAGGACCTCTCCAGGAGAGAACACCCAACAGTCCTCTCCATTCATTCATTCATCCATCCTCTAAAGCCAGCAAGCATATCCATCCATCCATATACCATCAGCCGCCGTCGCGCTCTCGCTCCTCACCACCGCGCGTATCCTCGACGAAGGTGGAGGCGAAAAGTGGTTTGGTTTGTACCATCTACCCATCTCTCGTCTATCGGACGAGTCCAAGGACTCGAAAGAACCCTCCGGGGTGATTTCAGTCGGCCGCCGGCCGGCTGTGGCCGGCCATCCCACCACGTGTTGATTTTGTCTTCCTTTTTTTTTTTTGGAAAAAAGTTATAGCCTAGTGTGTATGTCCTATCGTGAGTGTTTTCCATATTATAGTGCCAGAAAGATCATCCAGTGTTTTCCCTATATAGGATATACTGATCTGGTGCGCATCAATGGTATGTCATTCAAGAACTATTTGGGAATTTTAAAATCGGAGACCTTGAGGAGTAGGCGCAATAGTTAATACGATATCAAAGGATTTAGTCTTCCAATTTGATGCTTCGTAGAATCGAAGATTTAGTAATGTATCCCTGGATTTTGGAAATGAGTTTAACCTAGTGAAGTGTGAATATATAAAAGTGCGGGTAACGAGAAATAGGATGTTAATCAAAATTTTGGGATAAGATCGGCTCCACCATTCTGCTAAGTCGGAGCCTAAAGTACTTCGACGGTGTCGAGGTCCCCGAAATGAGCGGTGGTAGTGGCGGCGGTAACGGAGGCGGCAGCCAAGGAACCAGCAATGCTTCCTACCACCAGCATCAACAACAACAGCAGCAACAACAACAACAACATTCACAATTGGAACAGGCAGGTTTACTGCCGGATTTGAATGGCGTTGATTTGGCTATGAGCCTATCGCCTAAACAACATTCATCACACGTACAACCTGGTGCACATACAACGCCATTTAGTGTATCCGATATTTTATCGCCAATTGAAGAATCATATAGAAAATTGGAACTTGCTGCAGCTGCTGTTGGTGTTGTTGCACATCCTCAAGGTTCGCCCTATACGAATGCTTGTGGTGGTGCTCGTGGTGTTGGTGGTAATACGGGTAGTTCAAGCGCAAGCAGTGGTAGTCCACCTCTTCACGGGGGTTCAACGCCCGGTGGAAGTACACCGGGGCCCGTTGTTACGGGTACAAACGGTGGTATTGGTGCGGGAAGTGTTGGTGGTACAGGTGGTGCAATGAGTGCTATGGGTAATCCCTATGCGACAATGCAATTAACTTCGCAATATCAATATTGCGCTGCTGAATTATCGCCATATCATCATGGTGGTCATGGTGTTGGTGGTGGTGCTACTGCGACGGATCCAATGCGAACGCATGGTGTATCGTCGCATCATCATCCATGGTATGCACCAGCGCCACCGCCAACTAACGATGCACGATTTGCCAGTGAGTATTCTTTTTTGTTTTTTTTGTTTATTCGTAATAAGTTCATTTTGGATCTGCAAACATCGATATCATCAGTTCGTTAATGCAGTTTGATACTTTCAAATTAGTAATTATCCGAGTCGAAATTTAAAGTCGACTTAGAGCCTGCTCAGACGTACGTTATAGAAGGTCTTATTTACATTGCGTTAGGATCGACTTAAGACCTCATAGCATGTGAGGGTACCAAAGAGGAATTAAATCTATCTTAACAGAGGACATAGTAGGCTCTAAGTCAGTTAAACAATTTCAAATCAGGAAACTTAAGAGTACATAAATCCATCTAAATAGACCTAGTAGGTCTTAAGTCGATGATGCAGGTCTAAAAAGTATATCAAAATCAAACTTAATACTTCGTAATAGGACTTAAATCAACTCTAAATTTCGACTCGGGTTATCTATACTGCCGTATGATGTCAAAACTTAGGTAACCGACATTGTCGCTTTTAGGCTGATTTTAGAATACGTTCTTATTATTACTACTGAAATCAGCCTAGTAAGCGATAATCTTCAGTTACCTAAGTTTTTACATCGTACAGCAGTATAGATATTAATGATTAATAAAGTTATATAACAAAGTGATAAAAATTAAAAAGTCTCCAATACGGATTGGTAACATTGTTATACCAATCCGTATTGGAGAAGATCAGTTCTCTGAGTAAAATAATACAACAATTGTTGTATTTGTTGTATTATGGATTTAAGGCTGCACGATTATATATATTTTATTAATATCTCCTTTTTGTTACAGCAAAAAGAATTATCTATTATTTTAAGATGTTTTGGTAGCGTTTTTAAGATAATATTAAGATTGATGTCTTGAAAATGCTACCAAAATATCCTAAAATAAGATACTTTTTTTTGCAGTGAACCCTTTTGATAATCTTACTGTTGAAGGTATATCATAGATTGATCCTAAAAGTAGATCAAAACGTTATTACATCTCAAGATTGGGTTTCACATAATATATTTGTTATTCCGACTATAGTTTCGAACGAATGATTTTTGCGAAATTAATATACTTTTTTCGGTATTGATATTTCGAAAAAACTTTGGTGTTCGAAACTTAGTTGGAATAAAAATATATATGTAATGTGAAACCAATTCTTGAGATGTAATAATGTTTTGATCTACTTGTTAGGATCAATTTGATATCTTCAGCAGTATAATAAATTATCAAAAGGGTTTGTAGCAGAAAGGAATATTAAAACAACCGTGGAATTAAATCTCATAATTATACAATGTGATATAAATAATGATTTTCATCAGAGAACTCGCATCTTCTCCAATATACGGATAGTTATATTACATATTCCGCTAATTACTTTCTAAATTTAAATTATGTAAAACTTTAACTTTTTGCTTTTTATATAACAAATATTTCTCTAATAGTAAAAAAACCATATTTTACTATCGAATTAGTTAAATTTTACTATAATTCTAAGGCACAAAGTGAGTCACTAATTCAAAAACTATACTCCTCTAAATCTGAATTAGTATTAGTTTTCTACTAATGAAAGCGAGTGCGGATTCGTTTACCAATTGAATTAGTAACAGTTTTGATTCTTTTTATAGTAGAAAACTACTAATTGCTAGTAGAAAATTACTAATTCATGGAGTAAATCGTATTTTTTACTATTTTAAATTAGTAAGCCGATTTACTCCATGAATTAGTAGTTTTCTACTAGCAATTAGTATAGTTTTCTACTATAAAAAAGAATCAAAACTGTTACTAATTCAATTGGTAAACGAATCCGCACTCTTTCAATAGTAGAAAACTATACTAATTCAGATTTAGAGAGTAGTTAAAAATTTTAGTAATTCAGATTGAGAGCTGAGTATAATTTTTTTGTTTAAATATATATAACTTTATTAATTATTATATATAGTTATACTTCCATTATTACATTACACTATTATAATTTGAAAATATATCGCAACTTGATACCGAATTGGATCAAAATTGATACCATATAATATTTGGATAAAAAAATATAGATCCGCAAATATTGGTATCAAAATTTTGAAGGAATTAATTAATTTCATGCCGAATTGGATCAAAATTGAAACCAATATTTGGATATATGTTTTGATCCAAATACCTCCGAATTGGATCGAAACATTTAGATCCAAATATTGGTTTCAATTTTGATCCAATTCGGCATGAACTTAATTCTTCAAAAAAAAAAAAAAAAACAGTGTTAGTGGATTTATAGTTAGAAAAAAATAGAAAATCTTTTTGTCCTCAAAAGATTCGAAATTCACAGAAAATAGTTGTGGTGAAAATGGGAAACCTTTGGATTTGAGAACAAGGTACGACGCGTGGTGTCGACTTTCATTAAAAGCGACCTTACATACGTCGCATTCCTCTGGTTTGCACTCAACACTAGCACGTATTGTTTTTGCTCCTATATATATATATATATATATATATATATATATAATACTATATAGAATTCTAAAACCATTTTCCCAGGATATTAAAAATTAAATATTTTTTTACGCCCAATATTTGTAACCGCGTTTATAGGACTAATTTTTAGCAAAAAATGACTAATTTTTGATATATATATAAAACTACTAATTCATTTATTAAAGTTTATACTTATTGAAGTAGTAATGGCGGAATTAGTAGTTTTCTACACCCAGAGAAAAGATTCACAGAAAATTAAAAGGCATTAAAATAAGCTGCAACGCTTATTATTTTAATCCAATTTTGCTTATTTTAATCCATTTTGGTATTAAAATAAACAAAATTGGATTAAAATGATAAGCGATGCAGCTTATTTTAATATACCTTATAATTTTCTGTGAATGCAAATGTAGAGAGTATATATTACTATTATTATTGTTATTATTATTGAATATGCATATACACTTCAATATCATATATATACACGATTTTAAAGCATTAGACAACCTCATTTACAAACTTCTCTTATATTTTTCTGATGGGGTAAAAAAAAATCTCCTGTCCCGCGCCGTCGATCCCGCAATCGACGGGAACGGGAGGGACAATAGGAAACGGGTTTTGACTGACAGACCAGAGGGCGTTTATATATGTATATATAGGTATATATATATATATATATAGTTACGATATAACCTCTGCCAATAAAGAATACGAGATCGACGTGAATTCCTAACAGCGTGTGTGGGAGCTGCTCGTTAGAAAAGCATGCGTTTCTGGCCACCCTGTCAGGCTTTTTATTTCAAAGGAATAAGAGAGAGAACACACACTCTTCAATTTCAATCCTTTCTCAAACACCAATTCTCATCATCACAAAGAAAGAAATGAATAAATTGATTTTACTCTCTCTTTCTCTTTTGGAATTTTTTGTATTAGGTTTTTTCTAAAATTAATTTTCTTTTCATCTCTTATTATATATTATATATTATATATTTATATATAGTATATTTATATATATTATATTTATATATATATATATATATATATATATATATATATATATATATACTTAATGTAATAGAGAAAATATTTTACTCAACAGTATTTTTATACTCAATTAAGTATATTGGAATAATAGAAGTGAAGCGACAAAATTGTGCATAATAAACAATATTTGATAAGAATATAAATGTAAATGTATATTATATATAGGGTTTCACTTTGCTTTTATTTTTTTTGAAAATAATTGTCCTAAAATGGAATATTTACCATTCATCTTGTTTTCCGTGTAAATATTAATAAGAAATAAAGTGGAGAATTGTAGGTTATGTCATTTTAACGTCAAATATGTGAGGTTCGATAAATCGATTCATTTGTGAAAGTTGATTGGTTGGTTCTAAGCGAGGATTATAGTTTTTCCGAGGGGAAAATTCGTATAAATATACAATATTCCCCTCGGAAAAACTATAAACTATTGAGAATAATTTGTTATTTTATAATTGTGGATATTTATTTACTAATATATTCTATTTCCCAATCAATAAATAATTATTTTAATAAATTTTGTCATTTTTGAATAAGGGAAAAAAATATAGTACATATATATAAAGGATGATTTTTATGTTCCAGAGCCACTAAAAAATTTCTTTTAATTTCAAAAAAAAATTTCTAGGGGGTCTAAAACAAAAATCACCTACCTGCATATAGTTCTTATAAGCATATATAATAGACGCGCATATATAAAATTGAATTTTGAAGTATATGCTCAAAGCTCAAAAGTATAGATTCCTTTTTGCAGGTTTATAGGTTTCAGAATCTTTGTTTGGTTAACTAAAATCTTTCTTGATGTCTACTCGCCACGCGCCACGCGTCCATCGAATCGATATAATATATATATATATATATATATATAGTTTAGAAAACAGACAGTTGGTCTGTACTTCCAATATATATTGAACTGTATTTACATTGAGGGATGAAAATTCGTGTTCCATATATATAATATTGATCGGAATGAAATCCTTGTATGAATTTTCAAAATCCATAAATTTCTAACATGAATGCGAATAATATATTTTATTCAAATCATAATCTTTCAAAATTATATGTATTTTGCAGATATCGATATTGATCCTTTTGGCTTTAGTTTCATATACCCCAAAAACTATACTGGTAAATGAAGGAATAACTATAAAATTGGAAGCAAAAATGTCGAATAACCATATATGTAAAAATTGTTTCCTTTCTTTAGAAATTTTCTACACTGAGAAAAATATGCTGTTGAATCAATAGCATTTCTGCCAAAGGTATAAAAATTATTAATTCAAAAGCATATATGCTATAGAATCTATAAAATATTTTACAAATTTTATAGCATATGCTTTTGGATCAATAATTTTTATACCTTTGGCTGTTGATTCAATAGCATATTTTTCTCAGTGTATAATATTATTTTAAATTTCTTTTTTCTCATAAAAACCCTTAACAGAAATTGACTACTGGCGCTAATACTAGTACCAGTACCGGGCTAGTAGTATACAATTTCTGATAGGGAAATCATTAAAATTAATATTTTAATGATTTTTCTGCGTATATAACACAATACTTGAAACAAAATGTTGACGCAACCAGTTGGAATAACATAACCAGTTTAGAATTCCTTTTATTGATGACACATTTCACCCTTTATTGACATTGAAACAAGAAACTGACGCTCTTAAATATATATATTGTATAGGATGTCTAAATAGGACCTTGTCATCGAGACTCTCGCGCTAGCAAGTTGTCATGAAAGAAAAAAGATATATATATACGTGATCCGTCGGAAGTTGCTGAGCTTATATATTTTTGAAACACCTTACATATCCCATATAGAATTTTAGTCTTCGTCACTTGTTAAAATCATACACCAATATATTTGACTTGTTTGAAAAAATAACAAAATATTGCATGATTGATAATCAAAAACGTTGTTAAGAAAATAGAAATTTGTGATCAATCAAAATCTTTCTAAAATAGATATAATAAAATCTGTTTGTGTATGTATTGAAACCTATATAGAACATAGTACATAGGTTATGAAATTAATAAGTTATTTAGTATATATTACAAACACAAAATATATCACTGTAAAAAAATTAGGGATTTAACGGCATTGAGAGTTAGGTGTTAAATTTTCCGAATTAAAAATCAACTCTAAAAGGGAGTTAACAATTAAATTAACTCCTTAAAACTAACTCATCCCTATTATATAGCATTATAGAATTTATATATATATATAACCAAAAATTCACTTCACAGAATTTTTATTTGTCAGAATTTTTGTTTGCTCAAATTTTCATTTATAATATTATAGGCATCACTTTAAAGAACTCTTATTGGGTAGAATTTCATTGTATAGAATTTTCATTTTATTCTTTCAGATGAATTTTCATTTTATTCTTTCAGATGAATTTTCATTTTATTCTTTCAGATAAATTTTCATTTTATTCTTTCAGATAAATTTTCATTTGTTCGAATTATATATTATTTGATATAATTTCCCATATATAATCGATTTTTTATACTACATAATTTTTATACTTAACCGAAAAATCATTTAACAGAATTTCTAATTGATATGAATTTTCATTTGTCCGAAATTGCAAATGACCGCGAACAAACAATCGATTTTGTCGCGATTTTTAAAATCAACCAATCAAAAATTATATCCATAAAATTTTGATTGGTTGATTTTAAAAATCGCGCCGAAATCGATTGTTTGTTCGCGGTCATTTGCAATTTCGGACAAATGAAAATTCTATTAATTAGAAATTATGCGTTAAGTGATTTTTCGGTTATGTTAAAAATTCTGCAGAAAAGTCGGTTTTATGGAAATTATATCAAATAATTAATTCGAACAAATATGAAAATTCGAACAAATATAAAAATTCTGTGAAGTGAATTTTCGGTTATAAAAAAATTCTGTTATATATAAAAACTGTTTTGATGAAAATTCTATGCAAAATATTAATTCGAACATATAAAAATTCGTCTCAAAAATAATTATAACTCTAAATTTCGACTCAGGATAAGAATTTACGTGCAGATAAAATAATATATATATATATGTAAAATAAGACATGATGGGCATGTTGGCTTCCGAGAGAGTATATATATATATATATATAATATAAATAATCCGTTAAAACGTGATGAGCCTTCTTGAAAAAATATTTGACTGGTTACAAAATATAGACATGGTCTTTATATTATAATATATTACCTTCTACCTATAATGCAAAGATCGCAGAACAAAGGTAAAGTCAGTTTTCGCTCTCGCAGATATATATATTTGCTAAGCTAATTTTAATGCTTCTCACCGACGAGGAGAGCCCAGGAAAGCCTCCTTTATTGATTCTCTAAATACCGCGCGCACTTTAAGTGGTTTTCGTAATATATATATATATATATAACGAATGGAAAATTTTTCCTTCTTAGTTTAATTAATTAAATTCAATTGTAAATTAGTTTATATTCTAAATTTAAAAACTCCTATGAACTAAAAAACTTTGAAGAAACGTTTTAAAGAAAGGGACCTTATATATAGAAACAAAACGCCAACCCCTATGATTTTCCATTTTAAGGGTTAATTGTTTAATAAAAGGCTTGCAAATATTAGAATTATTAAAATTTTACCTTAATTTTGAGGTTATGTTCGTTTCTTGGTTAAGGGAATTTATAAAGATATCCTTGAATTTTAAAGGTTAGACTGTAAAAAGAATAAAGTTTATACTAAAAACAGTACCGATTTTAGGTATATCAAAATAGAACCAAATGACAATTTAGTACCTGAAGTTGGTATTAAATTAATACCTTTCTTTTTACAGTGTATGTATAACCTATGACCTTGAATTTTGAGGTTATGTTTGATCTATGATTTTGAATCCTGAAGACCTAGGACCTTGAATTTTGAAGTTATGTTCGCTTTAATACTATAAAAATAGGGTATAGATATATGGGTCATTCCACGTCAATTCGCCTGTGGGTTTGAGGTTAAAATCAAAACTAAAATACTAATATAGGTATATTTATATATATATATATATATATATATATATATATATGGGTCATTCCATATCAATGAGTATCCATTGTACTTACTATATGTCAAAACATAGGTCTTAGGATGGTTATACTCTTGAAGTGGAATGATCCATAAAAATTAAATATAGATTTCAAGTGCTAGAAAATGATGTATATTTGATTTTTCCGAGATTCATAATTTTTTTGTTTTGCTTTTGATATATTCATCTCTCGCGCACTTGTCTCTACGATGACAGAGGGTGAATAAACATATTCCCCGTGCTCTTTAAACGAAAATTCTGAATATGGGACCTCCCGTAATATTGAATGACGATGCATTTTCGCGCGTCTAAACTATTCCCATTGTCCATAAAGTCCTCTATACTTGTCTCTGTCCATCTTTCTGCATATATATATATATATATATATATATTGCTGACAAGGGTCTCTCTTCGATGAGTTTCGGTAGCTTCGATTTCTCAGTCAGTTGTTAAATTACACGTATTTTAAACTCAAGTATATCTACATTCTTAAACGTCAAGCCCTCTTCAAACTCCGCATACCATATATATATATATATATATACAATATTTTATTTTTGGAAAAGAAAATATTCTCCATTTAAGAGGATGTTATTTTGATGCAACTTTTCCTCTGCATCAAAAGATTCACTCTCAATTTAAAAGTATATTTAACGTAATTTAAGAATATTTCTCACCTATTTAAGAATTATTCTTAAATACACAGAAAATTAAAAGGTATTAAAATAAGTTGCAACGCTTCTTATTTTAATCCAATTTTGCTTATTTTAATACCAAAATGGACTAAAATAAGCAAAATTTGATTAAAATAAGAAGCGTTGCAACTTATTTTAATACCTTTTAATTTTCTGTGTATATATTTCCCAATGCATTTTATTTACTGGAATAAGAATATGCTTGGAAAATATTCTTAAATTTAGAATTTATAGTTTTCACAGAGAATTCAAAATTATCATCTCTGTATATAATTATAAAAATTGATTATATATATATAATCGAGCCTAAAGAATAATTAAGAATGTTTTAAATATGTTTTGCAGTTTCGCGACTGATGGGTGCCGGTTCAAATATGGCCGGTTGTTCGGTGGGTCAGTCAATGGGCGATATGACAAAATCATCAGGAATGGGCGTCGGCGTTGGTGTTGGCGTTGGTATGGGCGTCGGTGCCATGCAATTTCCTCTTGCTCAGAGAAGAAAACGACGTGTCCTCTTCACTCAGGCCCAGGTCTATGAATTGGAGAGGCGATTCAAGCAACAAAAATACCTCAGCGCACCCGAAAGGGAACATTTAGCTTCTCTCATTCATCTTACACCTACTCAAGTAAGTTATTTGCATGTATATATATAAATATATATATATATTTATATATTTATAAATCTTTATAAGACAGTTATAATGGTTACTATATTATTGGATGTAAAAATTTTCGTTTTTTTTTTAATTTTAAACTCTAAAAGATGACTTTTGGACTCAAAACAATAAGGATGTAAGAAGAAGAGAAGTGGCGTTTCAACAAAAAAGGGTTGTTTTATATTAATGATGAATAACAAATAATATTAACAAAAACAGACTATATACTTTTTTGAAGTATTTTTTGACTTATTGCTGAATCTGAATTTGACCTTAGAAATAACTTAGCACGTGAGGTTATCGATATTGTAACCTAAAAGTGCAAAAAGGGCGTTTTTTGACCATATATATATAGTTTCACGTACGAATAGGGAGTTTGCATTAAAATTTTTTTTAATTTTAATCGATAGATTAGGTCTAATTTATATAACAAATTTTTTTTTAAATAATTTTTTAATCAAAAATAAGCATATAATTAAATAATAATAGTTTATATTATTTTAAAACATCGAAAACGGTCCGGAAAGAGCCGAGTCTTACCGAACAGAATGTGACGTATGTAGTGCCCAAATATTGCTGCTGTCATGAACTGTTTGTGAATAACCTAATGGAACGAAAGTTTTTTCTGGAAATTTTTATGAAATGGAGAAAATCAAGAGATATAAAACGTGTTTTGTGCCAAATTGTCTTAGTACAACAATTAAAACACCCGGAAAATTGTTTTTTACTGTGCCACAGAAAGAAGATATTAGGAGACAATGGTTTCAAGTTGCAAAACGAAATGATAATAATATGTTATCGATGAATTCAAAATTTTTTTTTTGTCAAGATCACTTCAATGTGAATATTTACATTGAAATAATTTAAAATTAAACTAGTTATAAATTATATTTTTAGACATGCAAAGTTAAAAAAACTTTCAAATGTCACTATATAATGTAAATAAAAGTAGTCAACATAACCTAAAAATAAAAAATTTTAAACCTCAAAATATTTTTATCACTTATTCATTGTAGTTGAAGGATGATATGGATAATTACAATAATAATACAATAATAATTACAATAATAAATAAACACAATAAATCACTTATTTTTACTTAAAAAAAATAAAATAATTTGAAAACAGCGAACGCATATATTAGTAAACACAGATCACACATGGATCATGTAGCAGACGATGCGACAGTAGACACTTATGACGTCACGTCCCAGCACCAATAAAAATCGTTTTCTTTCAGTATAAATAGTTTCAACTTTTAAATAAAAATTTTAATATGTAAAATTTAAAAAAAATTAAAACTTTCAACACTAATATATTTTAAAATACCTATATTTACGATTTTATAAAAAAAAAACGTAACATTTTTTTTATGCAAACTCCCTATTCGCAGAAAATTAAAAGGCATTAAAATAAGCTACAACGCTTATTATTTTAATCCAATTTTGCTTATTTTAATCCATTTTGGTATAAAAATAAGCAAAATTGGATTAAAATAATAAGCGTTGCAGCTTATTTTAATGCCTTTTAATTTTCTGTGTTCTGACTAATTATAATCATCAGTTATTAAATCCCTAATCGACCAATAGTGAGCGTGATTAAAATGGTTCTAATCACTATAATTAATTCTTAATCCAAGTTGGTGAAACTATATAGTGTTAATTTATATTCTCTAAATGACAGAATATCAATATATATATAATATTCTGAATGAGAACACGAAAAAATAATTCCCATTGATGATGACTTGGATTATAAAACTTTTTCTTTTTCTCATTTAAAAAAAATGGCTGCGGATCTTTTATGTATATGAATATTAAATTTTGTTTGGATAGGATCTGACATTTCAAATATTATATTGTAAAATACAGAATCAATTGGAAGAAACGCTGCGATGACCTTGGGAATGACAATCATTAATACAAGTTCCTGTCATCTATATATATAATAGTATATGTAGTCATTATAATATAATATGCGAATCAATGAATCTTTATTTTGAGATGATGATCGCATAGTCTTTTTTTAAGAAGGGGTCAGAGTTTAAAGTCTCGAATATAATCGCACATTGAAAAAGAGAGACGCGCGGAGAGATCCAACCGTGATGAATCGAGTCAGTAGCAGTCTGGCAACAATAAATAATTGTTCATACAAATCATTGGCCGCATCCTGCGTTCGTCAAACATATATAGATACCCCTTTTGTCTGTCTGCCTTTCGTCTGCACGCTCATTTAAATATATTTTACAATACAAAAAAAACATTATTTTTCCATTTAAATATCGCTTCACCAAAAATACATATATAAAAATCGAATTTTTCGAAATATTAATATACTTTGAATTATACTTCAAATTGTAATGTTAAGTATATGGTTTTTTAAAAGAGTCGTATAGTAGTAGTAAAAAGTAGGTTTTTAAAAAATTGAATGGAAGTAGTATAACTGTTATCATAGTAACTAATGACACAGTAACTAATGCCATAGTAACTATAACTGTTATCATATAGTAACTAATGCCACACAGTAACTAATGCCATAGTATAACTATAACTGTTATCATAGTAACTAAAGCCACAGTAACTAATGCCACAGTAACTAATGCCACAGTAACTAATGCCACAGTAACTAATGCCACAGTAACTAATGCCACAGTAACTAATGCCACAGTAACTAATGCCACAGTAACTAATGCCACAGTAACTAATGCCACAGTAACTAATGCCACAGTAACTAATGCCACAGTAACTAATGCCACAGTAACTAATGCCACAGTAACTAATGCCACAGTAACTAATGCCACAGTAACTAATGCCACAGTAACTAATGCCACAGTAACTAATGCCACAGTAACTAATGCCACAGTAACTAATGCCACAGTAACTAATGCCACAGTAACTAATGCCACAGTAACTAATGCCACAGTAACTAATGCCACAGTAACTAATGCCACAGTAACTAATGCCACAGTAACTAATGCCACAGTAACTAATGCCACAGTAACTAATGCCACAGTAACTAATGCCACAGTAACTAATGACACAGTAACTAATGACACAGTAACTAATGCCACAGTAACTAATGCCACAGTAACTAATGCCACAGTAACTAATGCCACAGTAACTAATGCCACAGTAACTAATGCCATATAGTAAATAATGCCACAGTGACGAATGCAATTGTATAACTAATGCCATATAGTAACTATATAGTAGGATGGCAAAAATGGCAAAATTTGCTTTTTTTATCAGCTCTACTAGCACACCACCTCCTTATGGTTATAAACTTGACTGCAACGAGAAGACGCACTCGTGACGCGAAAGAGAGCGTTCGAGTGCGCTCTATAAGTCTCAAGTATTACGATCCCCGCGCGCGCAGTAGTACACTCAGTGTTATATATATATATGTATACTCGTTCGTATCCGTTACATCGATGGCTCATTAATTCAGATTTGATCCTTGACCTCACTTTATAGCTCTCGTTTCAATTTCTTCTGTGGGATTTCCCAATTTTTTTTCTACTTAATCATCGAGAAAACCTGGATAATTATCAACTCTTCTAATTACTAATAGTGCTCATATTTTTGATGACACTGCAAAATTTTAATGTTCCTCTTAATTCCATGTACATCAAGAATATATAATTCGCATATTGTTATATATTCATATTCTAATAATTTCTCTATTCTTGGAATAAGAAATTTATTAAAAAAAATATTCGGAAAATAATTTAAAATGCTGTTTTTTGCTATTTGGTGCGTAATCATGAATCTACTTTTGAAAAAACAATTAGGGGATATGATATCTTTAACAGCATCTGGATGTCGGAATTTTTATTTGCTCGAATTTTCATTATAATAGGCATTTTAAAGAATATTTATTATGGTTAGAATTTTCTTTCAAATGAATTTTCATTTGTTCGAATTATTATTTGATATAATTTCCCATATAACCGCTTTGTCATATACTACAGAATTTTTATACTTAACCGAAAAATCATTTAACAGAATTTCTAATTTATAGAATTTTCATTTGTCCGAACAATCGATTTTGGCGCGATTTTTAAAATCATAAACCAATAGAAAATTATCCATAAAATTTTGATTGGTTGATTTTAAAAATCGCCCCAAAATCGATTGTTTCTTCGCCGTCATTTGCAATTTCGGACAAATGAAAATTCTATCAATTATAGAAATTCTGTTAAATAATGATTTTTCGGTTAAATAAAAAATTCTTTATAGTATAAAAAATCGGTTATATGGGAAATTATATCAAATAATAATTCGAACAAATGAAAATTCATCTGAAAGAAAATTCTATGCAATAAAATTCTATATCCAATAGAAATTCTTTAAAATGCCTATTATGTTAAATGAAAATTCGTAGAAATAAAAATTCTGCGAAGAGAATTTTCGGTTATATAAAAATTCTGTAATATATAGAAAATCTTTTTGATGAAAATTCTGCAAAATATACTAATTTGAACAAATGAAAATTCGGCTCAAAAATACAAATGAAATTCCTTAAAATGAAAATTCTAAGTAATGCGATTTTTACGAGTTTTTTTTAACATATAACCATATGCGTCCCAAATTATAATACTATATATGTATATAGGAATTTATTTCTAAAGAAAAATTTATTATATATATAGTATAGGCATAATAGCAACAATACTACTAATACAACGATAATAATAATGATAGTAATAATAATAATAATAATAACAATAATGATAATAATAGTGACGATAGTGAATAAAAATACATCCTTGATGGGTATGAATTGGAGAACATGTAACGCACGCCATGTTTGCGCGCGTGGTAGAAAATCTGCTCCTCTCTTTATTGTCATATATAGTATGTGTCAGTTTTTTTTTATATATATATATAGGTGTATATATAATGTATATATGCCTCGGTGGTATGTACTCTCTTCACACGAGACACAGATGCGGCCCTCCATTTTACGTT